ACGGTCATGTCTTTTGCTGGCCGATCACAAATCACATCATACACCACGCGTTCTAGAGTGCGGGAAAATAAAATTAGGAAGAGGATATACGCCCTCACCGACAGAGATGGGGAACGGAAATATCCGGAACTTGGTAGCTTATTATTTTTTTAATTTTATTTTGTATAGTAATGCAGAAAGTAGTCCATGCAGGAGAGGATGTACATATATAGACACACACATACATACAAACGGAAAAGATCAGAACTTTTTGCATAACAAGGGTGAGGTAAATGGTAATGAATTCTTCTCTGTGATTGTTCGTGCGGGAGGAATGAATGTTTATAAAAGTTAGTTCTTGCGAATAGCAGGTTTGATGCAATCGCTACGATTTTGGCAGTGAGGATCCACCGATGTGCATCTGCAAGAAATCGTCTGAGCCTCGCCGAAGTGGTCTAGTGGCTAAGGTACTCGGCTGCTGACCCACAGGTCGCGGCATCGAATCTCGGCTGCGGCGGCTGCATTTCCTGATGGAGGCGGATATGTTGTAGGCCCGTGTGCTCAGATTTGGGTACCCGTTAAAGAACCCCAGGTGGTCGAAGTTTCCGGAGCCGTCCTCTACGGCGTCTCTCATAATATTATGGTGGTTTTGGGACGTTGAACCCCACATATCAATGAATCGAGAAATCACCTGAAATGATTCTCTGATTTCCAAAAGAAACCGAAGCTAAGACATTCGAACGCGCCTGTTTTCTTTTTTCAGATAGTGGCTCTGATTCGGCCGTGCGTATCATAAGCTGAAGGTGAATCAAGACGTCTGAAGCGTTTGTAAACGTAGCAGACGGTCAACCTTTGAATATTTTTTCGTGTTTTTCGTGTTTTTCGATGTTGAATTGGGTATGAGGATCTTATATAAACACGATGCCGGAGAAATCATTGTACAGCCTCTACGAAAGCTTGTGGCCAGGTATAATGACATACGACTAACAAATACAACCAAAAGCAAGAACGTCACTGTAGTCTAGGTATCGATGTCACCACTGCTTGCGTGGCGGGTGATCTAATAACGACACCCTCCCCCCCCCTTTTTTTTTTCTTTAAACAGTGGAAGATGTCACTGATCGACTCCCCTCCGTCCGCTAGGTTGTATCAGGTGCCGACACGAAAAGCGCGCGAACTGCAAAGCACATATGTGCAGGAGGTCAGAGAAAAGAATGAGGTTGCACTGTGACGGCTGTCGAAACCTTTAGGCGACGGCGATCGAAGTTGGAGGGGAGCAAAGAAAAAGAAAGATGTCGGCGCTGGCAGCGAGGTCAGGAACCGGGACTCAGCGAGAAAACAAGAAGTAAATAAGGAAAGACGAACAAAGAGAAGCAGGCCTTCGTTTACGAGAATAGCAAACGCGAAGAGCAGCGCTGAGCTGGTCGGTATACGACTACTTATGAGCCGAGAGCAGTTCTTGCTTAGCTGTTCCGGCGCTTCTTCTCGGGAGAGCTAGCGAAACGCGATGGGCTCCTGTTGCAAAGAGAACGCGTTAACTGCCCTAACTTTGCCCATGCGAAGGGTACAAAATCTCAGGTAAAAAGAGACCAAACGAAAACAACGCGAAACGAGACTGGACGACCGAGAGAGGAGAAATGCAGTGACGTATAAAATGGTTCTTGTGTGAGGGAGGGAGTCGATCGCGGGGCTTTTTGCGATGGCGCAACAATGACAACGCGCGCCCTTTAGCGCGGTGTACAAAGAACAGGCGCCCGGCGCCGGGGAGTTGAGATTACGTCACCAAGTACCGCATCGTCTGGACTTGCCTTCCGTAGAGAAATCGATGCCTGCGCCCCGAAGAGGAGGACCTTTCTGCCGCTAAAGTGGTTGTTACCGAGAAAGGGCAATCGTCCCTCCGGTAGGGATGAGGTGGGGGTGTGACGGTGGAGCTGCGGGAACGAAGGGGACGGGAAATGGCTTGCGCGTACACATGGGGGCGACGGAGAGCCTTGCGTCATTTTTTTTTTTTTTTTTCGTAGTTCCAGAGACACGCGAAACCGCCGCTGGTGGTGGCCGCCTCATTTAGATCCGAGAGGGTGGATTTCTTTTCTCTTGACGCTTTCGGTTTAATCTCCGCCGCGATGCGTTTCGTCAACCCGTTTTCTCCCGCGCGCTTGCTATATGGCGGCAAGAGGATTTCGAAACGGTGCACTCTTTGTTTTTTCTAGAGGTGGTAGAGGTTGGGGAGGGGGGGTACTTGAAGATTTTTTTCTCCAGCCATCGGCGACGCGAAAATAGACCTCACGTGTGATGGGTAGTCAAAATAGAGATGGTCGCATGTTACGAGAAAAACGAATAAAAATGCATATGAATAGGAACGACATTGAAGATGGATTAACTGACAAGAAATAATTGCAAGGCGAAGTGGCGAGAAGGTAAAGAAATGGACCTCACGTGTGATGGGTAGTCAAAATGGAGATGGTCGCATGTTACGAGAAAAACGAATAAAAATGCATATGAATAAAAACGACATTGACGATGCCTTAACTGACAAGGAATAATTGCAAGGCGAAGTGGGGAGACGGTAGAGGATTCTGAGCAGTGAGTACCCGTACGATATTGCAACTTCAGCATACATACAACAGGAGCTTCCCTCCATTTCTATCACGTTCTTCTCTTTAACCATGGCGGGAAGCCTGAACAGAAAATAGGTCTAGCTAACGCAGAGTAACAAAAACATTATTGAACGATCCATAAGAAAAAAAAAAAAAAAGGAGGGGGTGTCGGAGCCGACCGCATTTTGTTGGCGAGGGCGTCGGCGGCCCCCGAGCAACTCGGTGTTGCCCGGAGTCAACGTCGTAGACAAACAAAGCGACAATTTGGGCGCTCGAGCAACCGGCGCGAATGAAAGGAGAAGGAGCGGCGCGAGGGGAAGCGAGCGAGACACTGGTTTGGGAGAGACGCACGAAACGAAAACAAGGCAGAAATGTACATTTACGTACGTACACAGTGAACGGCGACGAGAGACCGTGCGCATGCGAGAGCGAGCGCTAGAGAGAGAGTGAGAAGAAGAAGAGGGGTGCGATATCGTGCGCATGTGCGCGATGTTTCTGCCGGGCCTCTTCTCGCAGTCGACGATTCGTCCGTAGACTCCTTTCCTCACTCGCTCCCCACGCGTTGTCCGGTCGATATTCTCCCGCGCACAGACAGCTCACCCCCCTCGATTCCCCCCCACGCAAGCGGCAACCAAACGTGTGAATGCTTTGGCTGCCGCCGTAGCGCCGCGTCGCACTGCGCGCGGTTTCTCTGTTTTTCTGCGAACCCTATCGGCACAAGTGAGCGAGAGCATAAGTGAAAATGAAGGTCGGGGACGTCTGGGAGAAACGTCGCTGACAATTTCGAGGCGCTCCGCTCGAACGCGCCTAATGAATTCTGCCCGTACGCGGTTTGCTCTTGGAACAAAAAGCCGCGTGTGTGCGCTCGGATGATTCCTATCCGTCTTTCACTCTCCCTTCCCAATTCGTCTTAGCTTATTTGTTTTACCCGCTTCGTGCGTGTGCATATATAGTTGTGGAGTGAGGAATGACTCTTACGTTTGCTTTGGCGCTTTGAAAATTCGTTATGAGGCGACCTGCCTGCGACGCATTTCGCAAGCCGTGCCACGCGGATTAAGCGGCTACATGGAGGCGTCGTCATCGGCGTAGTGTTCGGTGGCTTCCTTTCCTCCCCCCCCCCCCTTATCTTTCCCTCATTCACTCTTTCTTTCTGACAGGCGCTAAGTGCACCATGATGAATGTTTCCACGTGTTCGCTTATCTCGATTGGGCTTCTCTCTTTCCCGGAATTTGCATATTTTAACGATTCCCCCGCAAAGCTCGTGCGAAAAATCTAAATAAGTCAGATCGGGCTACGCGACAAATCTTTTTTTACGCAGGCTGCCACTAGTAATTCACGCGACTTTATTCTTGTACTGGAGCGTCTGCAAATAGACGTGTTCACCTTGTTAAACAGATGCGTACTTGCTTAAAATACCTTCATCATTACATACCGCCACTCATGATTACCATGGCGGCTTTTCATGCCGAAGGGAACGCGCCAAGATGTGCAGGTGCTCGAACCTTCGTACTTCTTATCGCGGACACTATCCAAACAGGAGTTCATTCGGTCCTCCAATAAACAACAAAAACAACACCGGCATTCTTCCAGATTGGGTTGGCAACTATGATGCGAAACCAAGATAAAAGAGTTTTGGTTTTGTTGGCGCGCTAGCAGACGATGTACTATCGGTAATTGGTATGTCACTCGGCAGAGGGACACGAGTTGTTAGTTACGTCTGGTATACTTACACGATAAAACAAGAAAAAAAACAACATCTGAGTCAGTCAACTGATACTCTCAGTGAGCTCTCAAACGAAATTGTAAACCATGCTTGGAACCACGCAAAGGCTCGTAGCGTCTAATAGACTAACCTCGCATTCGCCAATTAACATAAAAATAGCGGGGACATTCTTTGTACAAGCTCTCCAAATATAACTCACAGTGTTCGTTGCTTATTACAGCGTTTTTTTGGTAAATTCTACAGAAAATGAACCGGCGAGTATAACCCGTTGCGAATATTTCGGGCCTCATCATTTTAAAGCAATGCATAAAGAAGGAAATGTGTATTTACCTGCATATTTGGTTTCTTAGACTCTAGAGTGGTGGCCCTGCGTGTGTTTTTGAGTGACATAACAACTATAAGGCGGCAAAACATCATCTTTGTTGTGCGGCAAGCAAATAAAAATACTCCCATAACATTGAATATGGCGCGAAGTGGCGCAGTGATACAGCGACGTTCCCAAACGAAAAAAAGAGAAATAGCTTGAGCACTGAAATGCGTTTACCTAATATCAATACTAAAAGAAAAGTTTCTTCTACTTAGTTTGTACGCGGTGAGAACACAAATCTTTCTTGCACATGCTCACTCGAAGAGGTCACAGACTTGAAACATTTAGAACTACATTCTGAAGCGCCAAGCCGTGTGAGGTCGCGATAGCACCATCCAAAATGGCGCGACTACGTTTCCCTGGGTGTCCGGGACAGAGAATTGGAAGAAATGGTGTTACCTTTGAAGACAATAAGAGTCGTCTGCAGTGTGATCCATCGTTAAGTGCTGTGTCAAACCTTCAGCGGAGTTTTAACTGTTTTCACGAGTTGTTTGGAGCGTCGGATGAGGTAGGTGCTGCCTTACGACACATTGCGTACTTGAGGTGTCTTTTTCAGAGCGACGATATCGCAACGTTCCGACGTTTTATCGGTGGCATGATAACTCCTTTTGGCTTTTCGATTAACTTATGGACCCTCGTAGAGCGTATCGACACATCCGGTTACTGAAACAGGTGTTGTACGCGCCAAAAACTGTTTAACATGCCCTTAGGCCTAGGCCTGACCGTGCCAACACCGTGCGTCGCCGCATCGTTGTTTCAAAACTCAAATTTTTTTAACCCGCTGCCACGGTTGTCAGAGTCCGGCACGTGCACTCGTGTCGTCCTCGTCTTTTGTGCTTTGTAATGGTACAATGTGAAGCTTGTTTGAGCCTGAGAAGTTTGGATACTCTTGACCAGACGGGTTCGGCTAGGCGATGTCGGTGTGCCGAACTTGCCCGTGTACCGCTAGCGTGCCTAGCCGCTTTGCCCTCCTCGTTGTGTTCGCTGCTATTTACTGAACCTTTCATTGACTGCGCTAAGAACGACCATTTGCGAATGCCAATTAGACTCGGGTCACAGTATGCAGTGATCGCGGCCTGTCGCGAGCCACCTCGGCCAAGAGATATCCGGGCTTCGCGCATTCCGCTCTGACATTTTGCGCTTTCACGTTTGTTTGCGCGGGAGCGTGTCACGAAAATCGGGTTGCCGATCTCTGCGACAACGAGCAGCCCCTGTTTTCCAAGCAATAACCCAGGTTTTGCTTACACAACGCATTTATAACGTTGCCTCGCGATCTACTAGTTTTTGTAGCTAATCTTGGCGAGCGACCGTGCGGCTCGTTGTCCGCCGTTGCCGGCCAGTGGCTGTTTTGTGCAGGTTACATGAACATTTTTGTTTCCATCCTGTCTTCTTTACAGAGATGTCGCTGTTTCACCGATTCCATCGTCGCTCAAAGCGCTGTTGTTTGAATACTTCACCGGCCACTTTATTGCTGATGGATTGTTCCCCAAGTGTGCTAAAACGCGGTCGTTTGCGTGTTCAAACATGGCCATTTACTCCTGCTGTGGTTCGAGTGATTGATTTGCTCAAGTGTGCAGCGACCGCTATTATCGTTTACCAAAAGAGGGTGGGAGGGGGGGGGGGGGGTTGATGTCGCATCGTGCGCGGGCATGGAGCCACGCTTCGAGAAGAGGGCTGGGAGGTGCATAAGCTTGTTTGCTGCCATGTCGTCGGCCAATAAAGAGCAGAAAAAAGGCGTCGCGACGTTTTCTTCGAATTCGCACCGCTAGCGCAGCCATGTGGGAAAACACAAAGCGGCGTGTTCATGTCACACACTTTTCGTAGTGGGTCTGCGAATGTCGTTATTCACCGCCGTTTCCTGTCGTGCTGCTTGACGCAGGGTGTGTTTGTTTTGACGGCGCCTCGCTTGCACCACGCCTTGGGTATCTTTCATTTAACGTTTTCCGGGTGTTAACGGTGGCGTTGCAGTACTGCTTCCAGGTGGCTCTCCGCTTCGCTCTGCGCGTGGTCTCGTTTATAATCTTCGTGTTTTTGTCAGGGGGTGACGTTAGAACAGTTTTTCTGACACGAGAACTGCGCGCTCTTTCGTTGCGTGCTTCACGGAGTGAGTTAACGGCGGTTTTATTTCGGCGGTCATTGAAAAAATTGCATGTCTTCAGACCGCTGTTTCATGTTCTGAAACCTGGTGCAATGTGACGGTAGATATCGTCACCCATAAGAGCCGAACAATTTTTTTTTCTTTCGAGCTCGTCGTCTATTAGCCGTCCGAGCGCACTGTCTGGGCAATTTGTTGTTTTCAAACAGCCTCTTTGAAACATCTGTTCGATTGATGAAGGAGTATAGTTGATAGTCGAAATGGCTGCCTTTTCGATTTGCTTTTCAAGTAGATTTACCTCCTGGATACTGTTCTTGCATCAGAGTATCTCATCCACAGGCTTCGCTATCTGTGCCTTACACGTGGTAGCTTAGAACTTTTGTTTCAATGGATGCACTCTGTGAACTAATAAATCTCCCCTATTTTCGAAGATTGAAGGCATCCTGTGCATTACCGGCCAAACAAAATCACTCAATGTTGTGTTATTTTTCCCTCTCCGAAATTTTATTGCCATTCATTGCAAGGAATTGCTATTCCATGCAAAAGTGTGAAGTACATTTGTGATTTTTTAATAGAATAGTTAATAGATAAATTGATCGAGGATGTGGCAAGCTAAACATCAACTACATTGGTCGAGTCACATTTGTGTTCTTCATTATCGTGGATTGCATTCAGTGTGTTTGTTGCCGAGCTGGTTTTTTACTTCATTGTTCTATAGATCCACAAGATATGTTTGTACTGCGAAAACCATTCTCTTCGATTAAATGCATGAATTTCTGCCATTTTGTTGCAGGATGATGACTTTCATGGGTTCTCTACCAGGGATGTTCGGAAATCCCTCCTGAAGTTAAGACATTTCACTGGCGAACCTTCGGAACTGTGCCACAAGGATGAGTTCATCAATGACATCATACTTGTCAAGCCTGTCGAAAAACTCACAGGTCGGAGCAACCTGCCGCCAGATCCAGGTGGTGGTGGCAACCAGGCAGCCGACCGGCCACGTGATGCAGTCTCCGTCAAGCAAAGCAAACTACCAGTAGGCGGCAAGTTGCCCAAGACCCACGACAACAGGGAGCGAAGGAGAGTCTCGGGCCGTCAGGCTGCGCAGCGCCTTTTAGACCGTGCCAAACGGGGCCGTAACAAGGTCCCGCCAAAGAAGGAGAGTGCTGAGAGCCGTAACGGTGCCTTGACCACGCGGAATGGTTGTTTTCAGCTGCCTGCCATAAGTGCGCGCTCATCGAGGCGGATCATCCCACGCAAGCGATACCTGGAGGACAGCGAGGAAGATGTGCCACAGCTGCTTCACATACAGAAGAAGAAAGGCATTGGGGCACAGTTGCCGACTGTTCCTGAGGGAGCTACGGCCGAAGGCAGCGACGATGGCACCGGCCGAGTTTCCTTGCAGGAGGAAGCCAGCAGTGGTGAGCGCATCGCTGGCAGGACGGACGACTCAAGCTGCCACCTGGAGACAGACCAAAGTACAGCAGAAGGAGACAACGCTGCGGAGCGCATGGGCCTGTTTGACCAGCCCCTCGTGGTGCAAGGCAAGCGTCCGTGGAAGCCGTCCCTCAAGGTGCAGCTTCGTCTTTCAGAAGCCAACCTGGGCTCACCATTTGCTTTCAAGGGCAGTCGGAGGGGATCGCAGACCACCTCGTCGGCGGACTCGACCAGAGAGTCCATCAAGCGGGACATGGTGTCCCGCTATGCCGAGATCATGGCGACGCGAGAGGACGGCCCGTCGACGGAGGTTCCCAACTCTCCACCGGGGACGGCACCTCTCGAGGATAAGGTGGCCGCCAAGATTGCAAGGCTGCTCAAGTCGCAGTGGGAGAATCGCCTGGGCTCGGGGGGCAGCGGGCCGCGGCGGAACGTGGTGCTTCGGAAAGCGCGGCTACGACTTAGCCAGCGGACGCTTAAAAAGTTGAGGCAGCCCCTTGAGGAGAGTGCGGAGGGAAATGTTGTGTCTGAGGTGACGCCAGAAGTGGGAGCGGAGGAGATTGCAGAGCCGCCGAGGAAGCAGCGGGAACGGAGGCTTCCGCCGCTGAACGGAATGAATAGAGGTGAGGCCCGGTTACACCGCAGCCACCAACTTATGGCATGGTACGGTGCCCTGACACCGTCTCTGCCTATGAACGTTGGTCACACACTTTTATGGAAAACTAAGGTTTTGGTAGCATGTTTTTGACAGTTGTGCATTGTACTGTATGTTGTCTCGTGAGAGCACTGAACGATGCAAGAAACTTTGGGTAAGTAACACATTATCAAATGACACTACTTAAGCGCTGGGACAGGTAGCATTTAGTGAGAAATTGTTCTTTATTAATCCTGTTTTTTATATTTAGAGTTCATTTCGATGTCTGGATCATTCATTATATAAGCAATGAAGTTTGGTACATAGCGCCTTGTGCAAAAAGGTCTGCCTATACTTGTTTTATGTTATCTGCATTATCAGCAAGCAGAAATTCATGATGGTTGTCTAAAATACAGGTCAGGGATTCGTGCCTCAAACATTGTACACAGCAGTCAAGTGTTATACCACAGAGCCACAACAGCACTTGAAATTGATTTGAAAAAATAAATAAATAAATAAATTCACGCCCCGCCATGATGATCTAGTGGCTAAGGTGCTCTGCTGCTGACCCAGAGGTTGCGAGATCGAATCCCGGCTGTGGCGGCTGCAGTTGTAGGCGGAAAAGTTGTAGGCCCATGTGCTCAAATTTGGGTGTACTTTTAAGAACCCCAGGTGGTCGAAATTTCCGGAGCCCTCCACTACGGCGTCTCTCATAATCATATGGTGGTTTTGGAACGTTGAACCCCACATATCAATAAAAAAAATTTCACTGATTCTGGTACTGCCTAATGCGAATTCTGAGTGCAGCTTCGTGTTGGGGTGAGGCCAACTGTGTTTGAATTTTTACCTTACTGCAAGGTTCCGACTACGCCGCAAGTCTCCCCGCTGTGGTGGTCTAGTGGCTAAGGTACTCAGCTGCTGACCTGCAGGTTGCGGGATCGAATCCCGGTTGTGGCGGCTGCATTTTCGATGGAGGCGAAAATGCTGTAGGCCCGTGTGTTCAGATTTAGACGCACGTTAAAGAACCCCGAGGGGTCAAAATTTCCGGAGCCCTCCACTATGGCGTCTCTCATAACCATGGTGGTTTTGGGACGTTAAACCCCACATATCAATCAACGCCTTAAGTCATGAGTTTTGTGAAGTGGGACAGCACGCACTACGTCATTATTCGTGTTTTTGCAGATAAGCGAGGAACCCGCTGCCATTCTGAAAGTTATGTGCACTTTGTTGATGTTGTACGGGGCTGATGAATTATGGCTGAGCACTTTGCAGTGAAACTTTAAACTGCACTCTTGTTGCAGAGTTAGCATTGTGTGATGTCTTGTTGTTTTATATTACTTGTTTGCTACCCTACATTACGTAGGTTAGTGCGAATCCTTGTTTGACAGGACAACTGTGTAGGATTATTAATGTGATAGCGTTAGCAAGCTTGTTTTGCATAAATTCATGCCTCGGCATTGGCATCATTGGTTGTGATTGAAAAGTCACTGTGTCAGTAAGTAATCAAAATCTCATGTTGGGAATAGATGTTATGCAAAGCTTGTGGATGGAAGGTGACTGTGTTATAATTTTTTTTAATGAAATCTTGCGAAGTAGCACTAAAGATATGTGCAAATGCAAGCACAGCAGTGGTTAATCAGCCACATATGTTTTATGTCACTAGGTGGTTACGGTTGCATAACAATGCCAGGAGCAACATGGATATTAGCACGAGCAAAAGTGGTAAGCTGATATGAAGTGCTGATTCTCGCGAGGACTGTAGGCCTTGACACTGCTACATAAATGATCTTCTGTGGATGGTGCCCAACCACAATTTATTCTTGGAATTTGTCGGGCCAATGCTGTAGAAGCCAACTTTTTCTTAATGCCCATGCATTAAAATTACCAATGTCTGTTCTTGACGTTCTTGGGTAGATGTGTCAATCACCTATGGCACACACATGCATGCCAGTGGCACATACCCGTCCGCGGGTATGTGACACTGGTACATACTGGCGGCGCGGGTATGTGACCCTGGTACATACTGGCCCGGCCGGCCGGTTGAAGCTTGAGTGTCTCCCGATATTTGCAAACGAGTTTCCAGCACTGCCACTGTGATAGAACACTCAATTGCCAACTAGAGAGCACAGATTCAAATCCTGTTTTTGGGCATTTTGTTTTTTATTTAGTTTTTCATGTCTGTCATTTAGTTTTCATGTTTCTTGGACATGCCATCTACAGCAATGCGGCTCGACGCAGGCGCAGCAGCCTAAGAGTGGGGCTCTAAAAGCCCTATACTGGCGTCATGCAGGTTCAAAGGTCTTGTTACCAGACATAGTATTGCATGGCACAAGCGTAGAATCACTGCAGGTCTCAAAATGTGTGAATTGGCGAACGAGGTGGTAGTCTAAAAGCTCATCCAATGCTCAGCCATAATTATTTGTCATTGTCAGCCACTTCATCAAATAAGTGTGCAACTGTATACATGCATATATTGCCTTGCACTCATGAAGTCGGTATTTTGCAAAATGATAAATAATGGCATAGTGGGCACTTGGCAACTGTACTTGCAGTAAAGTTTACAGCAGTAAACAAGCGCACAGGCGTTCCTTTCCCATAGCATGCTTGAGGTGTCCACAATATGATTTTTTTCAAATCGGTCCATTATTTAACAACAATGAAGGAGTTAAACTACACAATCACCGTGTCTCCATGAGGGAAGTTTTACTGCTGAAACACACCCTGTCTATCTGTCTTGACTAGCCTACGCGAGCGCTGCTTACAGGGGGGGGGGGGGGGAGCATGTCATGTGAGCATGACAAGATTCACCCTTGTTTTTTTCCCCTCTTGCTCTGCAGCAACACATACTGAGGCTACACATTGAACGATGTGAGAAGTAGTGCTCGCGCTATAGGCACTCTCTTTACGAGCATTTTTCCTTTGAGAGGAAGATAACACACCCTCCCGTTTTAAGTTTTGGCAATTTTTGTTCTACACCTGTCTGCCATGTTTAGCAGACATGATTTCCATCAACTGATCTAGGCACCGAGCAAGCTCGTTCACAGTGCCCTAACCTGCTGAGAGACCTTTTAAAGGGCTTAAAAACTCGATGTCATCAGAATCGGTCTACCAATACCTCCATTACAATGTTTGGCAATCCTCAATATCGAATACCTCACCTGGTAGAGTGCACTTGTACCCCTTGCCAGGTTTGGACATTGCAAACAAACAAGTGCAGTTCCTGATGGCTTATTGGTGTGTGCATAGTACGAAACTTCACATGGCACGAGAATGATAGAAATTTCAAACCGGAGGCCACACGCACGTCATTTTGAGGTAGTTGCGGCTTGAGCGAGAGTTATGTTCACGTTCGCATTCTAATAAACACAAAAATAGATATGTCTTGCAGAGTGTGTGGAGCTTTTAATACAGCTGGTCATGGCACATAGCTTCAGGTCAATATCCAATGTAGAGTGCAAAATGCCGCTATTAGTAATTTGCTGCAATACAAAATACTAAACGAAGAAAAAAATGTAACATAGGGACTCTGCATGAGAATACGGGTGCTTCTTGACCTCTGTTACATGGGTGAACTCAGGGAAGGTACACTGCTTGTGGATGCTAAACATTTTTACAGCGAAAGCTGTTATTAGATCACAGCAGCGGCCGTTTCTGGCACGTATGAACACCACCGCTGCCGGTATCCATAACAGCTATCACACGAAATGAGAAAAGAAAGAAAGAAAATATTCCGGAGAGAATGGGATTTGAACCCGAGCACTCCGCATGGGAGCCCAGCATATTACTACAAAAAGCCACACCAAGCAGAAGCTTTGAAGGCTTCAGGTTTGTGAAGGAGTCGTGTTAAGATGTCTAATAAAGATTTTTTAGAAGAGTAAAGCCTCAATGAAGCACTGCAGGTTGCGTAACGAGTGGATTGCTGATTGTTTTAAAACCTTTGCTAAAGGCTCAGCCTTAATTCACCATCATGAGCCACAGCAACAACAAAGGGCACATGATGCCTTACAGGTGTGTGGCGGATACCACACTTTCTTAAAGAATGAATCATTATGTGGTGGGTACTTGTCTACTTCACAAAAATTATAATGATGTATGGTGTTGTTGGGGTCATGCAGGTGGATCTGTAGTAGTTGCCCCAAAAGTGTTTTAAAAAAAGGCTCTGAAGGGCCGTTCTCCCAGCTTCCACTGCGACTGCCACGGGTTCCGTGCAAGCCTGGCATTTTTTTTGTACAGTGAAAACTGTTATGACATCTCTACAACAGCCCGTTGTGATGGCCTAGCTGTCCACTGTCACCACCTACGTCCATAACTGCTAAACAGAAGGAAAAGTACTTGAGATCGTGCGCGATTTCAATCCAGGCCCTCTGCATGACAGTTGTATAGCACAGGGCCATGCCGGTGCTTGAAAATCCTATGCAAGAAGACCTTATACAGGCATTGTCAGGCTAGGAATCTTGTTAAAAGATGCAATATAGCTTGGTAGAAGAGTGAAATAACAGCCAGTTGTCACACAGTGCGAATTGCATAATGTGTGGGCTGTTTGAAGCCGCAGCATCAATGAAGTGTGCATTATGCCTTACGGATGTGTGATGGGTACCTCATGGCTCTGCATAATTGTGAGTAATGGCGTGGTGGGTGCATCCATATTTTGCGAAAATTGTGGCAATTTATGGTATTGTGGGTACCTTATAATGGTACTTGTAGTAGTTGCCCCTAGAGAATACAGTGGCCTTTAGGAAGGCCACTTGTCCGGCTTTCACGTGTTTCGCACAGGCCTGGTGGTTTTCTTTGTTATTTCGATTAGCCATTGCTTAGTATATAGGAACACAAATTTACTTTGATGCATCAACTGTGCCTGTGTTTTCTGTGCAAGCCAACATTGTGGGTTTCACTTTGCATGCGGCTGCTAATGTACTGAGGTTTGCGCATAATCAGAATAAATTGATTTTTGCCATGTTGAGAGAGCATGTGGCATGCCTTGATAACACTAGCTCTAATTTCTCTCCAGTGATGCTCGCGTTCATTGGAGGCAATGTATAGATCAGTGCATATCCGGTTTTCTGTTAACATTATAGCAAGTTAGAAGAGGGTCTCTTTAGCCCCACCGCTATTGAGTCTTTCTCTCACAATTCCCTGATTTTTGGTCCCGTGTTCGTTGTGGTACAAACCTTGTATACTTTGTACCTTAATTCCCCTTCCGTGCTGGGTATGTTGGTACTGCTACCATGCACTGTATCGTATTAACCCTCAACCTGCCATGGAACAATACCACCAGTATGCTTTTGAGTAACAGTGACTTAGTTAGACCTGTTAATTTAGTGCACCATATCAGAGTTTTCTAACCCGCAAGTGTGCTTCTCTGTGATGCATATTTCAAATGCCCTACTAGTGGTGGCACCGATGGCGTCTCAAGTGGAATTGAGGTCCTAGTTGCAAGTGCTTTAGCTTGTCTATTATCCGTGTCTAGAACAACACGGCCGAGTCAGCATTTTTCACGTCATAGCGTGAGCAAACTGTGCCCGAATACATTGCTTTTAGTAAAAGGCTAGCTGTCATTAGTAGGACAAACTGCATAGAAAGGAAGCGCACTTGCAGATTAGCAAAATCTCCTATTGTGCATATTGTTACAAAATGGATTATTATGCTTGCTCGAGTGTGAATGCAACTCATCCTTAATGCATATTTGCAGAAAAGGCAATAATGCAGGATATCTTTAATAAAATAAGCGTGTTTGTTAAAACTGGTTTAATGAATTGTATGGAACATTTGAGGTTATGCATCAACACAAAAAATTGACGATCTTTCCATTTTTACTACCTCATCTGTTTTTCTATTCCATTCCATGTATCGCGGTAAATAGCAGTGGTGATGAGGCTTAGACAAATATATAAGGTTGCAACATTAATTTGCTGTGATTGGTGCATGCAGTGGATGTCGCCTCTAAGTAGTACCACATCATAATGGGGGCTTCAGCGATTGCTTGCAGAAAGCAGTTGGTCACTAAAGTTTACGTAAGTGCGCGTTGATGCGTTCTTGCTTTTGGGCTTGCTGTATTTTTGCACCAATTCTTCATGCCGCAAGAAAAGCCAAATGCAGATTAAATTAACAATGTCTGTTCCGTCTATGATTTGTAGGAAAGAAGTTTGCTTGCATTGCACAATAAATACAGTGCAATTATGTTTAAAAATATTCGTAATCGCAGGCAGTCATTCCCGTCGTACGTGGTATGCCTGGCTTGTTTGTTCACTGAAATAGAAGTTCCTTGTCTTCTAGCTTTGATTGACATTTGTGACTTTTTTTTGCTTAATTGCAGGGGCAGAGAGAGGCTCATCGGTGACCTCAAGTGAGTCCAAGTGCAGTGTCTGCCAGCAGTACAAGCGTTCGACCGAGCTTTCCATTCGCTACGGCCAATATGCATGCCGCTTTTGCTTCCGGTTCTATGCTGCTTTCCTGAGGAAGCCCAAGAAGTTTGTCTGCCCAAAGGATGGTAAGTTCGAAAACATACGGACTTCTCTTGAGTCAATGCATTCTGGTGTGTTCCCCACTTTTCACTTGAACAGATGAGACATGAGCATATTACCGTCGCTCATTGCGGAGGTCATTCTTGTTTTGTTCATTTATTTGGTTACAAGCTGTGTAGTATAAGCAACCATAAAGCATATTACAAAGCAACATTGTACTGGTACACATAATGAGAGGCAAACATTAAAGACACACTATGAGGTGCATGTCTCTTCTACTTTTGTTTCTCATTTTGGAAGCTTTTATCAGATGATCGTGGATAACTTAATTAGCCAGTGCATAGCAGGATTATGTGTTTGGCAAGTGTTAGTTGCAGGAGAAAGCAGTGATTGCAAGAGGCTACCAAGAATGAACCTACACTTGAGAGGGCCGACACCTTGCTAAACTTTTTGCCTCCATACACTACTTTAAACATGTTCCAACATATGTATGCCCGCATTCTATGCTTCTGTCTTCTTTCTTCACCTGCATGTCCTCATACACTTATGCAACCTCCTCCTTGTAGCTTGCCATTATAGATTACTTCTCACTTCATTACAGCTGCTTCTACTGAGTATTTTTTGCTCATTTTATGCTCTAAACTCGTCAATGGTAATCCAAATAGCTGTTGCCCTAGGTAAATTTTATTGTGGTAGCAGCTGTATGGAATTTGAAATGTGTTTGTGCTCTGTCAATATCACATTTGTCAGTATGTTCCTCATACGGTGAATGTGTTCTTTTAAAAACAAACAGAAGCTCCGGACCCGATTGTTTGGCTGCATCGAAGGTCAACAGAACAACTCCGCGAGCCAGCGCCCGTGGCTCTTGCTTGGGCCTGCGCCCCTTCTTCTTCCTTTATTTGTAACACACTCACGCGGCCGCAAAGTTGCGCGTGTTTCAGAAAGCTTTATTTAAGTGAGTCTAGTCTGCAGGAGGTATTACATGGCGATGGAGGGCTTTGCCAATGATGTGATGAAGCTAGAGAGGCGGGGGGCTTGTCTATGCTCGCTGTGTTGCCCAGAGGAATTTGTGGTGCCTTTGCACTTTTTACGTTGCTTTTAGTAAAAAGAGTCTTACTCTGATCGGCTTTTGTGGACTTCCAATGCATCCCAATAATTTGCACTCACCATAAGAGTGATGTTCGTCGTCTGCTGCTATGATGCATTTGATGATTTTGTAGGCGATGCTGCTTGATCATTCCCTGCTTGACCGCTTCAGGAGTGAGGTAGCCTTTGCGCTTGGTCTGCAGGTGAATTGGAGCTTGAAAAATAAGGCCGGATCGATGACGATTCTGCATCGCTCCACGACATAGATGATGATCCAGAAGAGTCCTGGTTCTGTTGTGCAGTGACCCAGCCAAGCAGAGCAGTCTCGGCTGTTTTGGAATGTGTCATAGACTCTTCCACGTTCACTGTTGTCGGCATGGATGTTGGAGTCTGTCTGGGCATCGCAAGTGATTACATCCACCGCTTACAAGATTCTGAGTCATGGCAGCATACTTAGAGCCATCGCCACTGCATAGGTGCATCTGATTGGAACTCGCAGAAGCCTTTGATCTGCTTAAAGACTCTGAAGTCGATGACTACTATTCTTCTTTCTTGCTAGATGTGCACGATGACGATACCAAAGCTTCCTGGTTTGGTTGGCCAGTGACCTCGCCAAGGACGGGAATCTCGGTCGCGCTCGAAGGCAGCGGAGATTCGCCCACATGCTCTCTAAGAGAGCCCGTAGCGGATTGTCGGTGTTCGTCCCGACATCGCACACATTGGCGCACATTGCGCTGACGTTTTCGAGTGCATTAGTCTGAGTCATGATTGCGTCTCTGGCGACATCGCTGCGGCAGTCTCCCGATGACTTGTCCATCACGGTGTGTCCCGCTTCGCGAGAGCCCTAGTTTGCTCTGGATCCCCGCATGATGCACATGGCGTAATGCTGGAGCTGTGCAGTCTGGCGCTCATACATCCAGCGCAGGTCTGTGGCGTCAGGCGCCATCTTCGTGTGATGTTTAATGGCGTTCTAGATGATCATGGCATGCATGTATGCATGTGCTCGGTTGAGTGTGGCCCGTAGCAGCGCTGCTGCTCGCACTCCCGATTGTTGACTTGCTAGAGCTTGAAGGGATACGAACTGGAGACCCTACCGCCAGGATGAGGCCTGAGGCACATGTAGAACGAGAGGGAGGGCTCCGCGTGTTGTTCCTGAGGAAAGTCTTGGAAGTACATGGTGCTGCGTGGCGAAAACTACACGCGTTCATCTTTAGGGCCTTGAAAATAGGTCTGCTTTGGCAAGCTGCCACTTAGGCCCTGGGAAACCAGGTCCTTGTGTTCGATACGCATTGTGCACCCAAGGTTTTCCTTGTTCACCAAACTATTCACGGCGTGCCCTGCGGATGAGTCCTTGCACCGAAATGCCCTGGGTCGCGTCGAAAGTGACAGGTCTTGCAGCGTGTGCTTAAAGCTCATTGGAATTGGCGTTATAGTCAAAAGGTCGATCAAAAGCGAAGTTGCGGCCTACTGCGACATCGATGTGAGAGGAGTCGTGAAGCTTGTCGAAAGTGAAGTCGTGGCCCGCTGCGAAGTCGCGGTGGGCTGCGATCTAGATGCGGCGGGGGGGCACGTAGATCGAACTTCTGCTTATAAAGCTGTAGTGGAGGGCCAGAGTGGCTTTGGTGTCTTCAAGTCTCACTGCTTAGGCAGCGGGATTGTAGGCGATATCGGTTTTTCGACACCGCTTTCCTCCCGTCTTTTTATTTGAACTTTGATAAAAGTTACGATGTCTTTCATTTATTGCAACTAGGCTTCTTGAAGTGCCATGTCGTTCTCAGCTAGTATCGCTTCCTTTTGCTGTTGACGATATAAGATGCTCTGGTCCGGAGGTAACTCCTTCAAGAGGACGCGCCGCAGCACCGTGCAGTGCTCTCCTGGAGACACTCCGAGACCTTCTAGGGCGTTGATGCAGATTATGGTTTCATTATAAAGGTTTCTTAGCATGGTCACATCGGCAGATCTTCGAACTGGTGCGACTGACAGCAAACTGTCTAGACGGTCATCAACTAGCATGTCGCGACCGCCGAAGCGGTCTGATAGTATCGGAATGGCGACATCGTAGTTTGCTTCGGCCAGCTGAATACGTGGAATGGCTTCCTTTGCAGCCCCAGTCGGATATGTTAATTTGAACCTATCTATCTTTGGGATCAAGTTACTGGTGTGAATGCTTGCTTGGAACTTGTCCCAAAATTCTTGCCAGTTGCGTCGTTTGCGGGACAAACTCTGGATGTGCAGCTTGGGCATCGTCGTTGGAGTCGAAAGGCTGATTTAAGGCAATATCGCGGCCGGCTGCGATGTGCATGCGAGAAGGTCAGTGCGTGAAATGGTTGCGACGGCCACAGTTGTGGGTGGGGTTGGTGGCTGCGGTGCGATTGCGTGGCAAACCCTTGCCTGTGTGCAGATGACTGGATCTTCGTATTCGCTGGCAGGGGTCAAGTCTGCCTTCAATTCTTCATCATGTAGCGCAGCTTGAACCTCTTTGTTGAAGATGATGAGGTAGGTGGTGTTGGGAGCACGCTCAGGGTTTTTCATTACAGTGATGTGGAGGACATCCTGGAGCCTGTGAGCCGGGGTCGTCGAGGCGGCCTGTAGAGCGCCGAGTGTTGAAATTGCCTTGGGGATGGTGGTCTGGTAGATACCATGCTGTATTTGTAGCTGATTCGTGGGTGAAAGTCAAGGGCCAGACTATCGTGTGAGTTTCGGCACCAGAATGAAATGTGAAAAACGAAGAGGAGACCCGGACCCGAACGTCTGGCTACATCGAAGGCCAAGAGAAAAACAGTGCGAGGCAGCGCCCGTGGCTTATGCTCGTGCCCATGCCCCTTCTTCCTTAATTTCCCGCAGCCCTCTTGTGAAGGGTTATATGGTCTCCTGAAATGCGGAGTAGCATGAAAACGGCAATGCTGAGTGGAGACATCAATATCACTGTGCTCAGTTGACTTTTTGCTGGAGGTGTTATGTTTCACTTGCAGCTGCTGGCACAAATGTTGTGAGCATGTGAATTGTTAGTGCAGTAGCATTCTTTGCTAGGCTACTGTGTGTGTGCCCTTGTCTAAGTGGGACATGCACAGCAACAGTGCATAAAGCTAACATTGCCTAATACATAATTCACTGGATGCTGACTGTATGATGTCGGTGTACTCGTGGTCTTGTCTCATGCACCAAGCGACATGTGCAGCTCTTGCAAACTCTTGCAATGCCGCTCGTGGCGCTCATCACACCAGTATTATGGGACACATTGTAGCTACAGGATTCTGTTCCTTTCACTCTCCTGTACTTGGCTTGTGCATTGCATCATGTTGCGCTTGTTGCACTATGTTGCGCTTGTTGATAGAGCACCGTGTTTGGGAGTTCAAGTTCACTGCTAAACATTGCTGTGATGATCGGCCCTTCTCATTTAGTAGAAACTGCCGAAGTTTCACATTTTTAGGAAAGTTCTGTGAGGTAAATTCATCTTTAATATCATTCAGATTGTCTGAAGTGGCTAGTACATTTCATCTTGCTCTGCCTGATCGTGCGCGCCTACATGTGATTTCGCTTGTTTGGATTTGCAACAAGTCATAAGTGTGTTTTGTGCCTTTTTCTTTTTACTAAAGTTAGCGCACTCTTTAACAAAACAGAAGGCAAAGAACCGACATGGTCCTTTCTCCTCTGTTTTCTTAGCAGGTGTGCTAAAACAGTAAAATTGATTACAAGCATGCCCGAGCCTACGTCTGTCGCTACATTCTGTTCCTGTGTGCGTTACAACCATCCAGGAAACTGCAACCTCGCACAACCATCCAAGTGCAAGGGGTGCCTTGTGCATGCCTGCTGGAACTTGTTTGACATCCCGGCTCCCCTGAAACATCGCATGCAGCGACACCTTCGGCCACCTCGGGGCGACTGCCGTCCACGGCGGCCGCCACGGAAACGGAGACTATCCGAGGACAAGACGCGTGAGTGCCCATACTTGTTTTACGTTTTCCGACACGTGATGCATACCAGAGAATGCTGGTTGTCACTTAATGACCCCTTCTCGAACTAGCTCCGACGAACCTACTGAAGACCATTTGCAAAAATTATCTTGGTTCATTTGATAAGCTCAGATTACAGCAGCGTATATACAGAGCAACCTCCATACAAAACTTTCTTCTTGGAATGCAAGTATATTGAAAGGCTAGTGAAAGGCTAGTGAAACTTAGGCTCTTTCCATAATTAAGTTGAGCCCCGCCGCAATGGTCTAGTGGCTAAGGTACTCGGCTGCTGACCCGCAAATCGCAAGATCGAATTCCGCGTGCGGGGGCTGCATTTTCGATGGAGGCGAAAATGCTGTAGGCACGTGTGCTCAGATTAGGGTGCACGTTAAAGAACCCCAGGTGGTCAAAATATCCGGAGCCCTCCACTATGGCGTCTCTCACAATCAAATGGTGGTCTTGGGGTGTTAAACCCCCATATCAATTAGTCAATCAATCAATCAAATCATTTTAATTAAGTTGAAAAATAACTCCACCATTACCACTGCTACTTTCTGGAGGTGACATGTGATTTAAAATTAGGAGCTCCTCATTGGGCCGTCCTTGATGTCGCGCTCATGGCTGGCCGTGACAAACAAAAAAGTCTTGCAGATAATGTCCTATGAGTCGCCCCATGCCATCTAGCAATTATGTGCACGCATCATCTGTTAATACGAGAGTAGAGAAATACCACCACGGCAGCTCTTTTGGCATTGCTTTAGCCCAATGTGCCACACATTGAATATCAGTCTAGGTTAAACAGACTTTAATTGCATTGGTTAATAGCAGTTTTCGTGCGAAGGTCACACCTTGTTGAGATTGTCAAATAAAAAACAAAACACAAAAAAAGCAGTTCTTACATAAGTCTTTACAGTCCATATGTGCAAAAACATCATACTACTGTATTTACTCCCATAATCCTCGCACTTTCTTTCGGAAAAGATCGATGAAAAGTGGGGGGGGGGGGGGTGTGCGAGAATTATGCCGGGAAAATTTTCTGCAAAAGTGTACAGAGTGAAAAAGAAAACGAAGTGGCCACAAATCGGGATTCTCTTGCCAGCAACGTACAAGCTTTCAGAAGTACTAATTAAGACTTGCCTTAACAATAAAACCACAAATTCAACACAAGGCAAAATATATTTGAGACACAAAAACTGCAAGCAAATAGTAGAGAATTTTCTGGAATACCGTACGCGAAGCTTGTGGGCTTTGCTCATGTAGCGTTCGTCACTCAGTGGGAGCCCGCAAATGTTTAGCGTATCACGGCGACATCGGGCTCGTGGGTATCCAACACAGAATCGTCCTCAGTTGCCTTCTGACGAAATAAAGTTTACCATCTATCCTTGTCTCAAATGCATGGAAGGCCGAACGAGTCTTGGTGGCTTTCAGCTGCTCGTGCCTTCCGGCGGCCCTGTTGCCATTGTTTAGTGCATGATTAATCACTTTCAACTTGAAAGTAGTTGCGTAGTTTCCGTATCGCCCCATAGCGTAGCCACATAACAGATACAATGTGCAATACCCGCGGCAACGTGTACTTGCTACTTTGGTTTGGCATGGATTGGATTGAGGCTCCATGCATTAATAGTTCACTTCATGCCCAAGAGATGGTGCCAGACGGCGTGCGCTATCATCACCAGTGGTTGGAACGAGCAGACGACATTACTGCTGCAATTTTTGGGGGTGCGATAATTGCTCGCGCAAAAAAAAAATTGTGTTTTTGTTGGGCAATGTTGGGGCTGCAAGAATTATGCGAGTATGAGGATTACGCGAGTAAATACGGTACTACTTGAGACAGAATTAGACGGCGGATGTTTTCGCTTGTTTTCTTGCTCACCTTAAACCATTGACTGTGCTACAAACCGCCTTTGTTGTTCCTACTACGTGCAGGCGCTGAGAACCTCTCAGAAATGCCAAAGCCTGTTCTTTCTAGTCCAGATGATTCACAGGATACCCTGACTTCCAGCAGCGATTCAAGTAAGCAGCAAACTGGTGCCTCCTTTAGTTTGGCTTCTGCTTAGTTTAGACTCTGTGTCCTAGTAGTGGGAGTGTTCAGCTTTTTTTTCTGGCTTATTGCGTGTTGTGCAAGGTTTCTGTAATCAGTTTTATATATATATATATATATATATATGAGTAGTAACAACAGAATTATTCATTTGGGGACAGAAAACTTTGTTACATTAGTAAACATTAGCATCCTTTTGCATACTGAAAAGCACTTGTCGAATGTGAAGAAATGCTCCACCAGCTTTTGGCGTCACCCCGTAGTGTAAGCTTTGGTCACCTCTGCAGTATATTTGGTCTCAAAAATCACTAAACTATTCGCATTCCCCTGCTATCCTGTGTTATTTTCAGTTGCTAAGAGCTCCCTAGCACTTGGCAAAAGAATGACACTCGATGAAACAAAAACTCTGTCTCATTTTCTTTGCAGTCAAGAGCACCCATGGGCCACGCATCAAGCACGTGTGTCGGCGCGCAGCCGTTGTGCTGGGGCAGAAGCAGGCCACATTCCCACCAGCGCCTGCCGGCCGCATCAGCCTGAGTGCCCTGTCTGAGGAGGACAAGAGCCGCCTTGCTGTGCATCACTCCTCGCAAGGTGAGTGAAGGCTGGAGCAGTACTACTGTAGCTGTAGCGTGTAGTGTACTCGTATCCCGAAGGATTACGGCCACTAGCGTGGGTCCGGTTTTAGCGAGCCGCAGGCACACGTTAACCATCACCATGGCGAGAATACAGTACTGCTCAAGGTCGCAACACTTTATTGCCTGCGGCAACACCAAAAATCAGTACAGATCCTGCTGCAAATGCGCGGCGGGAAAGCAAATGGGCTTATCCACGCCACAAGCGAGAAGTACAACACAGGGTGCTGCGAGCACGTCTCCATGGTAAAAGTGATTCACGGCGACACCGGGACAAAGGGCACGGTAGCTCGAGCGACGGCAAAGGTGCTCGCGTTGACTTCAGAAAGATACGAGTCGGCATAGCTTGGCCACGCACTAAGACACCGTACCGCTCTTTGGCCTAGCGTATGGAAGGGCGGCGACACGTATGGAAGCGGTCGCCGCAGGCGCAAGGCGCTGTTGGCGAAGTCCGAACGAGCCTCAAACAAAGGGAGCCGACGGACGAAAAAAAAAAGCGTGCTTACCCCCATGTCGTCCCTGGAGAGGTCTCTCTCACTCCCGACGCGCGCGCGCAACACCTCCCGGGAAACCCCTCGTGCGCCTCCACAGTCAACATTCACTACTGGGTGAGAGGGGTTAAGTGTCACTCCTCCCTCTCCCAGCGTGGCAGGCAGCGGAGGAGAGGAGTCATGTTGGGACATGAGAATGGCAGAAAAGGCGGCAAAGCCCGCGCAAAGGCGGCGGGCTAGCCTCAATTTTCACAGGTGCAGGCTCTGTTTATTTTGTGCAAATGATCTGATAGAGCAGTATAGTAATAGATTACTTTCATAACTCACTTTGAAGGATGTTATGAGTCTGAAAAAGTGCTGCAGCTTTGGGAACGGCAGGCCATGAGACCCCCTTATTTTGAATAATCCTTTATATGGTACGGGCACGGTAATAAACCTCCCAAAAAACGGCTGCCACCCAACAGCGAGAGGAAAGTAACAGCTAATGACGGGTGTTACGAATTTTTCTGCCGTTAGTCTATCATTTGTGGAACGCTTGTCAAGTCACTCTTACTGCAGTACAGTGCTCCCCATTGGAAATGCGACGTGTTTTTTTAAAAAAATATAATGGTTGCTATTAGCGATTTGCTCGTCATAACCTACAAGCTGCCATGGAACATGTTTTTTTTTTTGTTCACACAGTCGTGCATGTGCCCTGTGATTGTAAGATTCGGCATGATCGCTGACATCTACGCACATTAGTGGAAAACATTCAGAGTGGTGTACGATGCCGCTGCATTTCTGAAAAACAAGAAATAAAAATATACGCCCTTTTTTTTTTCATGGTGGCCTATCATCACACTTCATGCAGCAGGAAACGTAACCTTCCTTGCTAAGAAAAGCTAAATGTCACTTGCTTCTTCTCAATAGTGTTATCAACTGTGCTGCAGGCTAGAGTAAGCAGGTATGGCAAGTGTTGACTTATTTCACTAACTGCACTCCAACGGACGATCTCGAAGATCACTTCTGTCGTGTACACTTGGGAAGTGCCGCAGGCACTATGCACATTTGAACCAAAAGTATGCTGAAATGGTCAGAGAAAATAAAAGGAAAAATGCATGGCAGCGCAACTGAGTGCTGGCACATCGTCTTCTTGCCGTTTCTTCGGTGTAGCTTCCAGTGTACTTATGGCAGGGGAAGCAGAGACAAAGCATTCGTTTTGCGTGGTAATGTCACCTACAGTGTGCTTGATGGATATGAAAATTTTTAAGGTACGAGTCTTTGCAAGGCACGAGAGTTGAATAGAAAAGTGGTCATTCTATGATAATTGAGGAAGATACAGCAGGGCCCCTCTGAGAGCAAAACTTTGGTTACTACTTCGCAGAAGAAGACTCCTCTCCCGAGGTGCCCGAGCGGAACCGCCGGAAGGACGACAGCAAGAAGAGGGACGACAGTGGAGGCAGGAAACGAGACGAGGGGGGCCGGAAGAGGGACCACGAGAGGAGAGGTGGCGGCAGTGCGCCTGGAAGGGACGACGAGCAACATCACCCTCCGCCACCGCAGGAGAGGTCGCGTCGCGGCAAGGACCACAACTACAGGACGGACCACCAACACCGCGACCAGCATCAGCGGCAGCAGAGTCAGGATGAAGAGCATCAACAGCAGCAGCCCGATCAGCAGCAGCAGCAACACAGGCAGGAACAGAAAGACGGCAGTGCCACGGAAGAACGGGAGTTGCCTCCACAGGAGGAGCAAGGCCAGCAGGAGAGAAGAGAGGGCACCGCAACGAGCAACAGTGAGAACAAGGTCGGTCAGGAGGAGAAGCAAGGAGCAGAGGAGGCGGCAGAAGTACCGAGAACACCGGAGGCGAAGAAGAGGAAATCGGAGACCGACAAAACAAGTGCAGGGAGCAGCCTGGTGGTCGGACAGCTCGACCAGCTTGTGAAGCAGGTGAAGCAGGAGGCAGTCAGTGATGAAATCGGCCCGCCGGCAATGCAGCCTTCTAGAACGCAGTCGCCCAACATCGCCGAGGAAAAGATGCACCCGTCGGCGGCACCCATGGAAGATCTTGCCCTGGATAAAAGTGCTAAAAGAGAGGTGCCAGTGGAGACTTCGAGGTCTGGCAGGGCGCTGCGACGCAAGACAGACCAGAACCGGGGTTCCATAACCAACCTTGGTTACACGAGGGTTCGCAAGGCCCGCTGCAACCAGTGTCCAGGTTGCCTGGCAGAAGACTGTGGAAAGTGTGCCTGTTGCCGGTCAGTGTATGCTGCTTGTTTATGAATATTTCTGCTTTTTTTATAATTCCTTCGTGCAATATGGGAGCTTAGTTATTTTTATGAATCTTCATTGAGGACAACTGTGGCATAAACAAGTTGTTTTTTGTCACAGTACTATGTTGTGATTCAGTTGTATAGCACGGCACAATTCATGGTGTGAGCTTATTTTGGCAGAGGAAGGGAAAAACTTTGGCAACTTAAGTTTTATAAATTATTTTGCCATTTTCGGTTAGAGTTCAGGATAGCGAGAAGCTAAAAAGCTAGTGGCGAGTGTGACTTACAATTATGTTCTTCTTTTTTCTAATCTCATTTCTCTCACTTTGCTCAGTATGAAAGAGGTGAGATAAATTGATCGCGTTGCTCACACCGTACTTCTAGATGTTCTTTGTGCTAGACGATGTGTTTCACATGCTTATTTGGTGCACATTATTATGAGAGTGACTCAGTACCTCGAATTGTGTTGTCTTTCAATAAAACGTAAAACGAGTGCTATATATAGCAATGAGGGCGCCTCCACATTTGCTTGTATTTACCTGTACAGTAAAACCTCGTGAGTAATATTTCACCAGAGAGAGAGCTGACTGGTAGCAGATTGTCCAACCATCACAATGTGGTCGGTAAGCTTGATGGCAATGTGTGGGCTGCTGCAAAATTTCTCTTCATCTATGGCAGCTTGTCTATTACACAGTCAAAACGGTTACGACGTCCTGCCTCTGCTGCAGGCAAATGCGTGGCCACTAGCAGTGTCCTTACATTTCTGAAGGGACTCACACTGTGTACAGTGAAACCTCGTTAATATGTACGTACCTAGAACGGTGGCTTAATTATGCTATAAACGGACTGCGCATTAACTACGATCTGTAAAGTGCGTCATTACCGTCAACAAAGGAATACATAGTGTCACAGCAAATATTGCCTGAATCACCCACTACAAATTCATCTCTTTCTTTTTGTCAAAGTGCAGAAAAGATTCTTGCACTTGCACTACCGTCCGATAACACATGGTGTCGATGTCAAGGAGAATTTTAAAACTGCTGCGGGGCCCGGGATATGCAGCGTAGTATAACGACACAACGGGCATAAGCGGCTCTCTGCGATACGTGTGTTCCGTGGTCTGCTTCTTAGCAAAGACTGACACAGTTGTTTTGAAATGCAGCACGGTCGCACAGAGCAAATTTTATACTGGCTAGCAATGTGCAGCGCTTTGCCCACTCAGTGCAAGCTGTAACTGCTGATTCGCTTGCTGTAGAATATGCCCACCCTACTTCAGACAAATTACATAGATATGAAAAATAGCCTGTTGAATCAATGCAGCAATGACGAGCTTTCTGCATCACTCTGTGATGCTTTAGCAGTCCTGGCAGCGAACAGAGGCATGTTTGGGCTGGTGCATAATAAAAGCATGCAGTATGGTTACAAAAGAGCTATGCCTGCTGTACGGTGCACATGTTAGCGTCAATACAGCAAGGTTTCTCAGTGTCCGCGACTGCATGCGACCCGAATTGCTGAACTCCACGACAGTGAGCTGCTTGTGTTGCTGCAGAGCGGTGCGCTCTTGAACACAGTCCCACACGAGGCAGCAGCGATTGGCGGCCCAACACGTTCAGGTAGCCACCTATTAAAGCGTACAGTAGGCTTAAGGGGGGAGGCTACCCTGGAGACCGAACTTTTTTATTTTTTAAGATATCTGGATGAAACTTTCAGGGGTTGTTCACTACAATAAAACTAGCACAACTGCTAAGTTTCACGAAGCTGTGTTTCTTAGTTCCAGAGTTATTGAGGTTTAACTGGGTGCTTCACATGGGTGCCTGAGGAAGAGTCGTGAGAAATCCCAGGACATAGTAGAAAGCTGAAATTCATTGTGGTCATTCCTTGATAGCTATCCCAGGGCGCTACAAAGCCGTTTTTTTTAATCCCCCCCCCCCCCCCCCCAAATTTTCACGCAACTTTAAATTTGATGTAACCAGTAATGACCAGATTTATCAAAAATTAATTGTTTATTATAAATTAACAGCACCAATTTTCAAAAAAAGGAGCTTGTTATGCCCTTGCAAGGTCATTCAGGAACAGAATAAAAAAAATGGCACACAAATCTGATGAACGGTTTTCGAGTTCTTGCTTTCCTCAGCACAACTAGCAAAAAAATCCGTTTTGAGAAAACAGGCCGAGAAAGTTCAAAACACGTGTTTTCTTCAAAAAGCTCCAGCACAGTAGCTAGAAGTGTCCTGGCGCACTCTTTTCTTCTTTTGCCTGGCCTCCATCTTCTCTTGGTGTCTTTTAGAAATCTTTTTTAGGCGTAAAGCGTCTTTTTCACGAGCTCGCTGGATGGCCAGATGACCTGGTTGAAGTCCAATGGAGTCCGATATCACTTGGGTTGCTTTGCAGCAGCCGGCATTGTAGCGCAGCACTGCTTCATGCAGTGCTGTTTCTACCGCGATCAAGGATGAGTGTTGTTCCTTCGGCATCAGAGACCACAGAATGGAGTGGAATGATTCTGATGCATTTTGCGTCTTCGCTCCCAGGCAGCGCTGAAGAAGCGACTTTTGTGACAGTCTTTCGTAGATGGGCAGCATAGCTGCAGCGACATAGTCCGGTAGGCTGTGTTTATGTTTTGGCTGTGGCTCACGCTTTGCCTCTGCAGCTCTATGGCGGCACCACGATTGAGCCCCCTCTGGGCAAAGTTCATGGTGAGGGTCCTGGTCAGTCGATGTGACGTGGTGATATGTTGCCATCACTGCACGCTGCATGGCTGTTAGGTCAGTTGAATTGTTTCTCAGGGCCCAACCATAATATCCTGTCAGCTTTTCAATGAGGGCTTTAGTCAGCTTCCCCTTCCCACTCAGTGGCTTATCACTTTTCTGCACAATGTTTCGAAGAGCACTTCCAATCCTTTTCCGAACATGGTTCAGACACTCTTCTTTTACAACTGGCACTAGCCCGTACACATTCTCTTCTGTGAGGGCAGCGAAGGTACGGCTGTCTCCGTCGGACACAAGAGTGGTGTACCGCAGGCCATGCTTGGATACAGACCTCCCAAAGAGATTCAAGCCTGCCTCCACTTCCATGCTTCCCGATTTTGCGTCTGTGTTTTTCCGGCAAATGTGGTGCTTCTGCCAGCTTTCGTATGCTGCATCTCGAGGTTTGGGCCCTGTTTGGCATCCAAGGCAGTGGTTTGAAAGAACTACAGCATCCAAGATGAGACTTGTAAAGAAGTCAATTACCGATCCCACTCCGATGTGGGATGTGTGACCCTGCTTATGCCATGTGCCATCGTACACTACGGTGATGTCCTTGCAGAAGCTGGGGTCCATTTCTTTATATGTTTTGATCACTGCTGTGGCAGAATCAGCATAAAACTTCTCCAAAGCGGTGGCCTCTGGCTTCCTGAACGTCTTTTTCAAGTGCTTTTGAAACGTCTTGTGGTAAAGACCTCTGTAAGAGACGTTCATGGCAGCCCAAAAGTCATTAAGAGCTATTCGCCCCTTGCCTATTTGCTTTATAGCCATTATGGCGCGGACATTTACATCGAAGGCCTGCGTGTCCTTTTTGCGGGGTGATGTCCATAATTTACCGACGGTGCTACAAGAGGCGCACACGACTTCAAGTTTTGTTGCAAGTCCAAGCTTCGTGCTCTCTCGGACAGTCATGGCACCTTTCAAACATTCTTTGCACACTTTGCGGCTGAGTACGACGCTAAAGTTGTTCATTTGAACGAGTGAAAAATGTTCGCCCTCACTTGTCACTGCAGGTGCAAGAGCCGGCTGCATCAGTTGAAATTTCTTCTGCGTCGCCGGCGTAGACTTGAGTTCAGCGCGAACGGCGTCACGACGTTTCGCATTCGCATCGATTTCTTCCTTCGTTAGGAAACGCGTCCGCAGATGAAGCGACGGTCCACTCACGCTCGATGGCGGCACCGATTCAGACGAAGTGCTGGGTCCGGCGATATCAGAAGCACTCGATGTCACACTGGATGGCATCGATTCGGAGCACGTGTCGAGCCCGGCGATCTCGGAAACACTCGGTGCATTTGCAACTCCAGCCACACTCGATGTGTCAAATTCTCGACTGGCGACAGCCGACAACACAGTTCCGTCGCTGCAAGCGTCTACGCAGTCGGCACCCGCAGCACAATAGCGGAATTTTGATGATCGTACAAGCCGCATAGCGCGCCTCCGCGCACCGGACTTCCGCACTGACTTCGGCTTCGTTGCCGGCATCGCCCGCAACAACAAAGACGAAAGGCACAGAACTGGTACAAAAAGAAAAAAAAAAAACCGAGAGAAAATGATCGAAAAGATAGCACAAGGCGGAGAGCGGCTCGTAAGCAGACGTCTGTCGAGGCGGACGGAGCAGAGAGCAACAACGAAGCGAGCGCGCTGGACGCGCCATCGAGAGGAGCGACCGCCCCCACTGCTGCACAGCAGCCAATGGCGGGCACGCTTTCTCCCGCGAGATATGAATGCGCTGCTCTAGCCAATCAGCGCTCCGCATCGCATCGCGGGAAAACGCCAATAGCGTCTCAACTGTGCTGCCGACGCCATTTTGCAAGGCGGCGAACGAGAGAGAAAGAATTCACGGTCAAAACAACACCAAGATGGCGCAGGTCGACCGCATGGTCCGGGAATGGCGCGCGCGCGAAGTTTGGTTTGATTTCGGGATTTGCGCCTGTTTTGGACGCCGCGGCAGCCTCGAAAATAGTATTTTTTTTGCGCTTTGCGGTTGAATTAGGTGCTGATAATTACAGAATAGGTAGTTTATGAGACATACAACCCAAAAATGTGGTTTTTCAAAAACCGACTTTTTCGCGATTTTTCGGTTTTCAAGGGCCGCATCCCCCCTTAAAGAGGTGCTACGCCACGTGTGTGCTCAAATAGATAGCTGGGGATGCTTACTGTGATGAGGCTTTTCGACGGTGATATATACCAATTTGTTGGGGGCCACCACCTACGTAGCCTTCGTTTTTTTTGCATATGATTATAGCAAAGGCATTGCCGCAGTCGTGCAGAAATCTTAATACTTAATCGGCTGATCTTCGCATTTGTCAAAATGATGGAAAACCGCTTGCGGCAAATTGTGGCATCTGCAAGTTCAGCAGCACAGTAAAGCTTTATGGTTCAAAATGTTATCGCGGTAGACGGTTGGTACTCACTAACGAGTAGGCATAAGACAACCTCTATGGCTTAAGCGGTCCGCAAATGCATTGGTCTCTTTGAGACTCTGTCGGTGATTCATCGTAACTATGTTTTAACCATTTGTAAGTTTAAAGTGGGTACGTACTAACAAGGTTTGACTGTATATGCACGAATTCAAGACGAAAGTATTGTTTGCTTCATTTACTGCAGACGGAACATAGCAGTGGAACAATGTGATCACGGATGGAGTCTGTGCATTTGTGAAGTACTGCTTTTCACAACCAATGCCGCTAGAAAACTAGTTGCTATTGACAGTATCGTAAATAGCCTCCATGCATTTGTGAAAGGCATGTGTGCTGCCTAAGCATGCACAGTCGAAATGGAAGTGTGTGCTGCAACTGCTTTAGGTGTGCCTTAGGTAGGTAATAATGCAGTCATGTATGGTAAAGACACAGTTGTACTGGCTTGCAACCAAAGGAGTAGTATTTAAGTTGACAATAAAAAAATACGAAGCATTCTTCTCATTGCTGTATGGTGTTTACTAATGAGTGTGGCAGTGCAGACTGCACCACATCATTGTGGTTGGATGCTAGCACTGCTTTTGCTCCTTTTCGTTGAACATTTGTAGTGCTTTGCACTTGGCGTTCTCGATAAATCATTTACATTAACCAGGTGTGTGGCCAAACTTAATTAATTTAATAAGGGTTTTAATAATTTAATAATGGTTAATAATTTAATAAGGGTTTTAATTAATTTAATAATGGTTAATTATTTTAATAAGGGTTTGATTCTTTAAATAATGCTTATGATTGCTGGGGCCGTAGTGCAAGGACATAAAAAAATTTTCGAATTGACGAGGTTTTACTTACTATTTATTTATTTTATGATGATCATCTCGTGTATGTACCTCGTCCCCAATCAGTCGTCTAGGATCGCTTCAGGTTTCTTTTTTTTTTCACTCCCAGCAATACATTCATGGTGGCTGATGACATCAGTTAAATAAATATTGCAATGTGAGGTTAAGCATAGAGAACGATGAAAAGGAATAAGAGAGGTGCAATTTATATTGAAGAATGGATATATTATTTTTAAATGCATTCTTAGCCGCTGATATCAACGTGTGGCACAAATGTGCTATAACCTGGTTGTGTGCCACTTGAAAGTGCCCCCTCGCTGGGGCACATTGAAGTTTTGATTTGTGTCATCAATGAAAATATGTTCTTGCAATTGCCACTTAAGAATTTGCCTTTTGTTTGGTCATTTGCAGAGACAAGAAGAAATTTGGAGGAAAGAACCTTTTGAAACAGGCGTGCTTGTGAGTTCTTTTTGTTTCCTTTTCTGCCTTTCTGTTGAGTTCACAGATGTTTTGGGCCTACATTTTCTTAAAGGGCCTCTAAACCACCTCTGCTATTTTTTCAAACATTTCAAGTGAACACGCGCATTGTGTGCAGAATGTCGTCACGATCAACGACGCCACACATGGCAGCGCTACATGCCGCCGGCGTGCCACAAATTTGAAGAAACAATCTCTCCTCCTCTCCGGGCCTTTTGGCCTGTGGGATGCGTGGCACAGCACATTCTGACACGTTGCGCATTCATGCTCCAATTGGTGTAGCAAGTGATTTGTCTGCAAGCAGTGGTCCGCGCTCCTTGTTCGTCATGTTGCCCTCGTGCGCCACCTCCATGCAGCTCACCTTCGCATGCATAGACCACATGTGAACCTGCATGCCACGCAAGAGTAGAAAGGTAGGGGTGATTTTTGAGAAAAAGACGGAAAGGTCAAAATGGGGCGTGGAGTGCACGATAACTGTCTGCCATGTGAGAACACCTCAACTGATACATCACGGGGGAACGGTGTGTGAAGGGACAGCGAGCTGAAGAAAAGTAAGGTGAAAAGAGGAGAGAAATGAGAGGAGAGTGAAAAAGCATGAAGTAAAAAAAAAGTGTGTTAGGAGGGGGGGATAAGTCAAGGAGGCAAAAAAATAATAATAAAAGCGTGATTGGCAGAGAAACACCCGGAGGGGCTGTCGGCGCGAATGGCTTTGAAAGTGGATGCCAGTGGAGGGTAGGGAAAGAAAGAGTGAAAGCAGTAATCGGCGCGTTTTGATAATCAAACGCCAATAACTACCCTATTATCGCATCGTTTCGAAACTTTTCACAGCTCTGTGTTCGTTGTACACTTGGGCACAACTTCCCCATCACAACTGAATTTCGCCCTCTGGGTGGTCTAAGGGCCCTTCAAGATTTACTGCAGGGAACTGTGGCCCTGTGATCGTTGAGCCACCAGGGGAATGATGGGTAGTACTTGGAATAGCCCATTCTTCACGCTTGTGAGTTTAAATGCACTTATGGCTTTATTCTGACTTCTGTATTGGATAAAAGAGTGGTTTGTGTGAACCACATCAGTTGATCTGAATCCATCAGTAGGAAATGGTCAAGGTGATTAAGTGGTACTGCTGAATTTATGGCTGAAATTTTTCGTGTGACAAATCTATTGCAGGACACGGCACAGAGCCGAAAGAACGAAGCTTAGGCAAATCCATGTATTACCCATCATTCCCATTGTTGCTGAAGTGCCATGCATTGTAGCTCCCATTAGCACTAGTGCCAGGCGTCTCCCTAGTGTACGGTTATAAAGCTCCCAGGGTTTGGAGCATGGAGCAGGAATTATTCAGCAAGCGATATGGCTCCTGCTTGGGTGTCCTAATAATGTCATGGTTCTAGGAACACACCGTTTTAGAGAAACTCCTTTGGTAAAGGAATGAAAGGTTTTCATGCCGTAGAAAACTCATTTTTGGCATGCTGATCAACGAGGCAAAAAAAACAGAACGTGTCTCAAGGAATCAAGCTGCGCGTGAATGCTGCAACTTCTTTGTCGGAAGTTGAAACAATGGTTAGCTCACCGATGACAAAATGTGTGGCAGTCTAGAAAGCTCACCGCGTCACTCGAGGTCTCGCTTACCACGCTCGCAACGGAGTTTCCCACGAGGTACTGGGAGGAGAGGAGTGGTGTGAGAGGGGCAGAATGTCTAGGTTCCGCGACATTATCCAATTCTACCAAAATTCAAGGCGCAGATTTTCTCCACCTAGCTCTAAATTAGACAGATCTTAGGAGGTTGACTAGAGCAGACTTCAAACCAGAACATTTCCCAACCCGGTGCTCCTAAATCGCATCTACCCCGACCTATACACATATGACTCGTGTAAACTATGTAGCATGAGGCACCCCACCTTAGAGCATATTTTGTGGGAATGCCCACAAATACAGGGCGCAAATGCAGTCTCCTCGGAACTGCTTGGGGCATGGTGGAAAGTCGCACTGATTAGCTCAGATCGGGAAGATCAAACATGGGCCTTCCAGGGAGCATGGGAGGTAGCTGAGAGAGGCGGGTCCATCACCACCCCTGGCACGGCTTGGGCCCACGCCTCAATTCGCTGGTCTGAAAAAAGTTGTTAACCACCATCTCTCTGGTAAGACTTGTCGATTCAACTTTATTCAGAACTGATTCATTCGCAAGCAATGCCTGTTCTGGAATCACTTCCAAGTGCTTGTTTTACTGTTAGCACAGCATATAGCTGGGGCAACATTCAGTAGCAGTTGCCACTGGAATGTATTTGACTTCTGTTCAGTAAGATTATAAAACGAAATCTTTAAAAGCATAAAATTTTTCGTCAGGTGCGTCTATAGAACAGCGTGTAAATGGTCAGGACATGCCGGGCCAACTGTTGGTCATCAGCAACAGAACATGCATTTCCACCTCGGTTGACGGTGGCCTCATTGCGCCACCAGTGTGGGCTCTTTCACAGGGGAAGAACAGCTGCGCCGTTTGCACCATTGTGCTCGCAACTTGTTTTCCTGCGCCGAACTACCCCTGTTGCGCAAAACTCGTTTATCAGTGCCGTACTACTCCGCTGCACCCAAGCTTAGCTGCACGACGCGACAGCCATCAATCCCCATTCCCGAAAATGTAGCTAAAACATTGTGTGTTCAGTTTTATTGGAACAATTATAGTTTTAATTGCATCAAGGCTGATTGCTAGGGCAGCAGCTGTGAACCTTAATTCTAAAGGTGCAAACGGGATCGCTGGTCTTGGCCCAGTCTTTCGGCAGGCATTAGGGCAGATGGCCTTTTATGCACTGCACTGCCAATGTGAAGACTGCGAAAGCAGCATCTCTTCCTGGCCTGGCCATATTCTCCTACACCTTCGTTTTGTAGAGTAACGCTAATATGGAATTGAAAGAGTTAGCTGCTAGCTTTACTTACATAGCATTACCATTTTTTTGCTGTCGCATTCATTGCTCGCTCTTGCAGTGAAACTGTATTTTTTTTATAACTTGATACCAGCATTAAGAAAAAAAAAAAAAAAGGGACGATGATAATGGTGTTCAAAAGAAGTGGGTGGTGTTCAGGTTCTCGTAACAGCCTAGCAAAGTCCGGTGCACAGGACTGCTCATAAAGTGAACATGCGTTTTTTCTTCATATTGCTGCTGTGCTCCATTATATGGCGCTTATTGACTTGGCAGTTTGTGCTTGCGAGTTCATGTTAGAAAATAAAAAGGGACTGTACATAGAAAAAGTTACAGTTTTACCGCAAGGGCTGAGCAATGAATGTGACAGCAACTACTTATAATGTTATACAGTCAAACCTCAATATATCGAACACGAATATATCGAATTATTGCCTATATCGAACGGTTCCTATATCATGCGGGAAATCGCATGCATTATTGATTTTTTATTCCGAACAAAGTTTGACATATAATGGATATATCGAACTCAGCCACCCCAAACCGCCCGCGCTCCATTGACAGGCGGCGAGCTTTCCCACAACTCTCGAAAGTAGCGGTAGAGCGGCGGGCGTTTAGGGCGTTTACGAATGCTGCGCACATCGATGGCGCCGAAAGTGCCACTTTAACGTAGCGGTGTACGCGCGCCGCAGCCTTGCGGCAGAGGTTCCTGAATGAGGAAAGTGAAGAGAAAAGCGCGGAGCTGTTATTGTCTTTCGATACGAAGGCACCGACACGGCTTCGCGCGGGGGAAGGGGAGTGGGAGGTAAAGATTGAGGGGGAAAGTGTAGGAGGGAAAGGACGCTGACGACTGTCTTGGACGTGGCCCGCGCTGCCGCCGGGAAAGGGAAAGCAGTCAGGCAAGCCGGCATGGGCGCGCCATGTGCGCGCTTTACAGCCGGACTCACGCCGCAGCCTTGCAGCCTGTCTCGCGCTGTGGTGCGCGACAGGCCTAACTCTGAACGGCGGAGCTCACGGCGGAGCTCACGGATGTGGAGATGAAGCTACTGCTGAGCAGCCAAATGAAGACTCTGTCGAGGTGGATCTTGCAAGCGCTGATGGTGCCCCGCTCCCGACATCAGCTGAGGTTGTAGCTGCCTTGGCCCTTGTGCGCTGCCACTGCGGTGCGATTGAAGGCACCGGCCTATCACTTATGGATCGCCTGGACTATATTGAGGACGCAGTTGTCAAACACGCCATGGCCAACAAAAAGCAGGCTACTCTTTTTCAATATTTTAAACCAACACAATAAATGCTATGTTTGAATCTTCAAGTGAGTATTTACTGCACCACGCTAGAACGGTTCGCTGGTTGTTTTCAGCAAGCTGTTGACTGCATTTTTTCGTGATTTTTTTATATCGAATTCTGGATATATCGAACTATTTCACGATCGCCGCGCCGTTCGATATATCGAGGTTCGACTGTATGAAGTAAGGCTGGCAGCTGATTCTTTTGGATCCGATCTCGGGTAAGTCTGCAAAACGCTGCTGTAAAAGAATGTCGCCATACCAGGGAGAGCAACGCTTCTCGCACAGTCTCTTCGCGATGAGAGTGTGTACGAGGGGTAAAAGACTCGCCCGCTGATTGCTGCCGAGCTAGGGCGTAGAGCTAGTGATCGTGACCGCGCCCTTAGAAGCAATGTTCACAGTTGCTGCTCAAGCGGCACCTCCACCCGCCCATCCCCCCTTTGTGTTTTTAATCCTCTCTCAAGATGGCTGGGTTGTTTCGTCTCTGCTTTGACAGCAGGCCTTTCGAGTGGAGTGATGCTATCGCATGCACCCTCCGAGTGACGGTGATGGGCTGGTTCGTTTGGTTGCTCGTTTGATCCCCCACTCGTTGGCTTTTACGCATGGGTAAGACATGTGATGAGTGGATAGATGTTATCGATTTGGACTTCATGCTGGACATTACGGCAGTGGCGACAGGGCAAACCCGTCGAGAGCACCTATATAATTGTTAGCAGAATAATAAGGCTGTTCAACAGTTAAGCTTTGTTACGCATGGGTACGACATAGTTTAGCTTTTTACGTATGGGTACAACATGTGATGAGTGGATGGATATTATTGATTTGGACTCTATGTGGGACGTTACGGCAATGGCGATGGGGAAAACTCATCGAGAGTACCTATATAATTGTTAGCATAATAATAAGGCAGTTTAACAGTTTAGCTTAGAGTTCGAAATAGGCAGCGTTGGATAAATTTTGCTTCACAAGCTCTGTGAATTGGGGCTATATCTACTGTGAACATTCTTCTCGACTGCTCTAAACTTGCTCGAAAATGAGTTTACTCCAAAATGTCTTTTTTTGATGATCTGGGCCTGCTATAAATGGCCCTTTTGCCTAGTTCCAGGACTGCTCCCAAACCCATGCACTCTGTTCCATCCCTGCTTTCATGCCTGCTTGATTTCTCTCGTTGGGTACTACCTTTTTTCTGGTTTGGGCCATATTGCGATTCCCATTCTCATGGAGACGATCGGATCTGTTGCAAATGGCTGTTGCGGTAGAAACGGAATTGGCGTGACAGCAGTCAGGTACATTACACTCACTGGTGGCAGTGGCAGTGGTGAACTTGAATTCACTGAATACGTCTCTCTGTAAAGGTGTGGGTTTGTAATAATGGTGATTAGCTTGCAAATGCCTAGGGTGGAATAAAAATGAGATAATCTTTTGACATTCCTTGCTCTCTAGAATTAAATTTTTAATTTCCAACGTGATGTTTCACTTTTGCAGGCATAGGCGCTGCTCGAACTTGTCCCTGAAGCCGTGGAACCGTTCCACACTGATTGAAGCGAGCGAGGCAGAGCTGGCGTCGGAGCAAAGTCAGAGGAGCCCCCCGCAGCCATGCAAGATCGAGGAGGAAGCCGGCAACAAGCCGGAAGCCAAGTCGAGAAAGAAGAGGAAGCCAAAGATGATGCTGCCACCAAAGCCAGTTAAAAGGTACAGGCCCAAGCTGGACAAGTACAAGCGGTTGCTGAGACAGAAGCAGAAAGCCGGCAAGAAAGCAAAGACCCCGAGGAGTCTGCTCGCCAAGAACAAATCCTCACGAAACCCCCTGGCGGCCAAGTGCAAGCCTGAGGTGCCCTGCGGAGTGGATGCCGAAGAGTCAAGAGGTTTCAAAGAGAATGGTTCCTCGGCCGGGGGTGTCACTGCTGACCAGGAGACTGGAAGCCAAGGCAGTTGGGAGAACAGCAACAGCACCAGCAGCAGCAACAGCACTGGGAATAGCAGTACCGGTGGCAGTAACAGTGTGGCTGCTAAGGAGGCCAGGCTGCAGGCAAAGGTGTGTTGGGAACTTGACTTTCTCTTATGACGGTGGTTTATTCACTTAATGTCACTAGCTATACTCCTGTCTAATTATAACAAAATGGAACAACAAAGCAAGAGTTGTAACCATGTAAATGAAATTTTTCCATTGGGCATCATATACAGTAGACTCTCAGTAACGGAAATGAGTTAAATGGAACTGCTCCCTAAAGGGACCCTGAAACACTTTTCCAAGTGACCATAGAATGGATTCATTAGAAGGGCTTATTGCCTCACGAATTCAACGCAAAAATATCAAGAATACGTCTAGCAGAAGCAGAGCTGGCAAAGATTTGTCGCTTGCTGCAATCGCATTCTCTCTTCTCTCGTCCCGACGAAAACACTGAAAGCTAAGCAGGGGGGATGCCTTGGGCAAAGAAAATATGTCTCACCCGCGTCGTGACCCTGATCAGTTTTCTTTTTTTTTTTTTTTTTTCAAAATTGGCGGGTTTTCTATGTGATCGGCGTGCACGCATGGACAAGTCGCGCCCTTCGCGAAGCGAGCGCGCCATGTTCAAATCTGGCAATGGCTGGTGGGAGGCCTTCTACAAGAGATTTTTGAGCTTCCTCCGTCATTTGTTAAGAGAAAGGAAAGCAATTTTTAGCTGACTTTGATAACTTATTGCGAACTGCAACCGCATGCTGCGCTATAAAACTTGGCTCGTGTGCTCTCGGGAGCCTTTACTACCGATCGGCAGCATTTTCTGACCATGCTCAGAACGTGTTGCAGGGCCCCTTTAAAGGGAACACATGCTCCTGACAAGAATGGTTGCGTTCTTGCATTATTCCACCCCTGGTCATCTCTCAGTTAACAGAATTCTTGTTAAATGGAACATATTTCACTGGTCGCTTCAGGTTCCATTTAATGAGTCTGCTGTATTTGAAACTTGAGTTTAATGAGATGTGTGAATCGATATAATGAACTAAGCAAATGGAAGGGTCATGACGCCCAATTTTCTATCATAATCTGTCTTTGTTAATTCTTGTGTCGATTCTCAATAAAGCTGGTGAAATTTTTGGCGCATTCAGGCTGGTAGTCACAAACCTTATCTTGCGTTTTCCTAATTGGTTTTGTGCCTTTCGTGCATTTGATAAACAAAGCAGCCCAGTGTTTCCAAACCAATCTTGTATTGATATTTCATCCTGTTACCGTTTTCCTTGGCATTATTGTCTGTTAGATCTCGTTAGTATTGTGTCAAACATGGAAAAACGAGCCCTCAAGTATACATTTCTTTCGCTTATATATATATATATATATATAAATATATATATGTATATATATATATATATATATATATATATATATATATATATATATATATATATATATATATATATATACACATTAAAAAAAAAGCACTGTAAAGACGAGCTGCTTCCACTCACGAAAGAGTTCGTACGCCACTGCAAAGACGTGAGGAAAAGACGAGATAAGGATAAGGTTGGTTTGTGAATATGGGCCTTAGTTGCGGGGCCTAGTTTATAATACGGCGTGCGAGGGATGGGCAACACTGATGCACTGGCAAGCTGTCATGTAACATGCAGCTGGGTGTGTGATCGTCCGCATTCCGTCGAAAATAATGTTCCGTGGTCATTTGTGCATGAAATAGAGATATTTTAGCTTCCTTCAGCTTGGCACTAAAAGTGAACAATTTGTGATGACTGAAACTGTGCTAAAAGTTGACGGCTCCGCTCTATACTGCTTATTGCGTCACATGCGGCAATAGCACAATGGTGGTAACTGGTAGTGGGCAGCATTTATTGTGCCCAACTTCCAGGCTTTGTTCTGCACCGAAATATTGATTGATTGATACGTAGGGTTTAATGTCCCAAAACCACCATATGATTATAAGAGACGCCATAGTGAAGGGCTTCAGAAGTTTTGACCAACTGGTGTTCTTTAACGTGCGCCCAAATCTAAGCACACAGGCCTACACCGTTTCCCCCTCCACCGAAAATGAAGCCACCGCAGCCGGGATTCGATCCCGCGACCTGCGAGTCAGTAGCAGAGTACCTTAGCCACTAGACTGCCGCGGCGGGGCACCGAAATATTGTTATGCAGTTCACTTTTCAGATATGAAAATGCATGATAGACCCTCTACTTGCAGTTTTTCAGGGGAAACCACAAATTGTTGGGGGATTGTGTCATGGCCCTTCAATTTTTTTTTTTTTTTTGAAATCAGTATGTCCTAGCACTTTTTTGCTCATTGTATTGCCTTCCAAACTGTTTAACACTCATTCGGTGCGACACTGACACTTCCATGTCTCTGTGTCGAATACGGAGTCGAGAGAGAGAGACCGAACATTCATATTAAAAAAAGTAGGTTATTTGTGGGTCAGGTTTTTTTTCAAAGGCTCCACTGACTATAACGGCTTAGCGGGCCTGACCTAAAGTCACCAGAAGGAGTGGTCCTTATCACTGCTGTCCTCAATATTGAAGTATTACACTCAAACTCCATTATAACTAAGTTGCCTATATCCGAAAATGTGTTATATTTAATGGTTTATTTCTAACACTATATTTATTTCAAGACTATTTTTTAGTTACTTTGTTATAACCAAAATTTTGTTATATCCGGGTTCACTGTACCGAAATCTGAGTGTATTCCTTTTTGTGTGGTGCACAAACAGCAGCTAGGTTCTACCAGGCTTACCGCTATGACTTTGTTGTGTCTCATTGTGGCGGCATGCTTGTGACAGAATGTCTGAATGAACCTGTATGGTTGTGTTCGTATGTAAATTGGCTGGTTGTGTAACACACTGCCATAAATTTATGCAAATGAAGTTATACTTCATGAGGGTTCTTATAACCTTTGTGTGTCAGCACTTGTAGCAAAGTCGCACTCTCCCTGTCTCTACTCTAGATGTATGCCCCTCTGGTGCCCAAGGTTGTCGACCACCCGCTGTCTTCACGACAGCTGAGCAAGAAATCTGTGGGCCATGGAAACCAGCCCCTGGTTCAGGCCTTACTGTGGGTAAGTGCTTCCTGGTAAGCTGGGGCATCAGCGCTGCTGTGCTGTCTGTAGAAACAAGTAGGAGAAGTAAATGTATAGTCGCATCCCACAAACCACTGTTACGGCTCGCACCGTCGCCGACACTGTTGTGTAGTGCGCCGAGATCACAGGCTGCCAAGGTTGTTCAGTAGCGCGTTTCTCAGCTCGCGGCTGCTTCTGCGCATAGCTGATTGACGAGTGGACAAGATGACGGTTAGTTAAAGCACTGTTTATGTACAGCGTAGAAATAGAGGCGTTACATATTCGGCACTGGGGCCGACAGCTTAGGGCCTCGAAGAGCCGAGATGTCTTCTCTCTGACGCATACGTCCGCTGCTTGGCGACGCGCCGCTTGGCTTTTTTTATGGGCCCTGGGTGATTTCTTACTTCAGCAACGTCCAATCAGAACTGCCGTTGGCTTTGATGTCAGATTCCTCTAGTCAGGAACTGCCGCTGGGTCGCACCCATAGACGAGTGATGTTGCCACGAATTGCACAAGACTCGCCAGACTGGATGGCACTGATTGCATCATCGGGCTGCTATCGAGCCGGTGGGTTGAGGGAGCTCGCCGTGCGCTGTGTAAGACAAACCGCCGCCGCCGTGTTAGGTGAGGTCGTTGAGATGATGGCATAAGGCGGGCTCACTCGCTGGTCTTGACACAGATTGTCTTTGCATAGGCAATGACATTTGGTCTGTACTCTCAGGAGTAACACCACCTGCAGCGATCCACTGCAGTAGAGCAGTGGTTAGGAGATAAGATGCTGACTCGAAGGTCGGGGATCCAATTCCAACCGCAGTTGTTGCATTTAATGCTAGGGGCTCGTGTACTGTGTGATGCCAGTGCACATTAAAGAACACCAGGTGGTCGAAATTTCCAGATCGCTACAATGATTCCGCTCATAATCGTACCGTATTGGACAAAAAAACCCCAGATATTATTAAATCGCATGAAGCTTAGCGGGCCCTTCACATGTTGCAATAGTTAGGTGCTGTGAAGTGCAAATGCTATCAGTGGTTGTGGCTCCGGCTTGGGAAAACGGGCCTGTGCTTTGTAGTATGGCAGCCAGCTGCATCGCCAATGGCGCTCTCTTACGAGTTTTGATTTCAGGTAATGAAATGGGCGCACACTTTCAGTGAAACGAGGTGTCGTGAATGTACAAAAAGTCACATGGGTCATGATATGCTGGCATTGTCATATAACTAATTTTCAAGCCAAGCCGAAAACAAGCCCAAAAATGGTTTGTTGGGGCAAGAACTTTGACTTGTTGAATTTTATGGCAAGCTCACAGGGAATAAGAAATACTTAGTTGAAGCGGCGTCCATTGTAGCGGTGTTTGACTTCATACAGCGGACATTATTTACAGACAGCAGAATTTGGAAAAAACACTGAGTTTAGTTTCAGTTCAATGCTTGCTGGCCAGCCCTCTCTCCCTCCCCACTGCCACCGAGGACCGATTGGCCTTTACTATTTTTGTGATGGATCACGAGTCATTTGGTTGTGAACAGCATGTGATATAATCCACTTGGCCACGGCGTTTTGCTGCTAAATTCAATATTTGTAGTGTTGGATGTCAGCAGGGGAAGATTTCATAAAGATTGTCTATGTGGTGACAACTCTTTAAAGGGGCACCAAGTGCAAGCATTCGATAAGTTGACGATTGTTATATCGCCTGTTTAAAAAAGCCTGCTTTATTTTTCTTATTGACTCGACCCATATTTATGCTCACGCCACCTGCGGGGTTTTGTATTCAGGACGAGTACGAGCGGTCCAAGCTGCTTTCGTCAGGTTTCCCGCTGGTGTCAGCAAAGCAGTTTGCAGTGCAGGCGGTCTGCTTTCTTTGTGGAAGTGCCGGAGAGGAAGAGGTGCGTATTGGGCTTTCTTTTTTACCTGTCTTTGCTTTTTCTTTTACCCTCGTCGTGTTAGGGTGCTCAGAATTCAGCCGCACTGTCAGTTTGTGTGACAACATTTGACGAATGGGACGTCAGCCGAACTCATATAATAAATGCAGCCTGTACTTTGGACATTGCACAATTTTCTCTACGAAGTGGTGCGTTTCAGTTTCATTGTTACGGTAAATTAGGTTGGCAAGTGGGCAGGGTTAGTTATCAAGGTGAAGTCAGAGTAGGGGTCTTAACAGGCTCCAAATACACTTTTATGTTCTTGCCAACATATACTAATTTATTGTAAGACTCTATCGTTAGAGTCTCTCTCATGATGTAAGGTTTGTGCCAACGTCACAAGCTTTACAATACTCATTTGCATGCAGTGTATTGTAAAACTTCCTTCAAAAGAGCTCAAGTACAGTCCCCAAGCAATCAGAGCCTGATGTTGTAGACTTGCTCAATATTCAAGTCTGCATGCAGCAGTGCCACCTACAGAAGAAATGTAGAGTAGCAACTGATATTTGGCTGAGGTTGCACAAACATTTTGATGGATTTCCTAAATCTCTCGGCTTATGGGGGTTTCAGATCATTCATACTGCAACATTGAAGACAAGTACCTGTTTAAATTGACACAACAGAACTGTGTCTGCCGAACTTTTTTAAACATTAGCCACCGTGAATACTGAAAACATTTCGTGTTTCTCACTAAATTTTAGTGTGTTTGTGTTCTGACTGTGTTATTATTCAAATTGTATGCATGTTTCGCAGTTCATGGGTAAAGTAAAACATAGAAAGGGTAATACAGTGGAACCCCAATTATAAGACTTTCAGAAGACCACACAAAACTGTCGTATAATCCGGGCGTCATATAATCGAAAAACTAAGAATATGGGCAGTGGCACTCAGCCTTGCACAAATAAAATGGGTGCAGACCGCTCGAATAAGACCACAACACGACCTTGTGCTTCTCCAAAGAAGGCAGATTAAATTATTCTTTTATTTTTTATTTGACTTTATTTACAGAATACTGTCACTCCCCCATTGGGTTTACGTGCTGCCATAATCCCCTAATGCTGCCAATGGTAGCATTAGTTAGCTGAGGCAGGTGTGAGAGAATTTTTATTCTCTTCTTTATAAAATTGAATCCAACGCGCATCGTTCTCCTGATAAATTGAGCTTGTAAATTGCCTGAACGTGAAAAAGAAACGGGTACTACATTGCCAACAGCCTCCCATCAGAAGAGTTAGAGTGTCCCTGCCATCACTAAATAGCGACAGACTATGAGTTCACGAGGTTGTGTAGAATTTCTTCGTGCTCGACTGAGCTATCGTAATTTGTTGCCTTATGAAGCGCAACTAGTGATGTTCCGCGGTTGTAATGAACGTTGACGTCAAGTGAAAGTTATTTTGCACAGTGCCCTTTTGCGTGCTCAAATTTGTGATCGCAAGTGCTACAAACCAATGCTGGAGATGAGCTGTACATTAACCAGGATATGTTTCCACCGATCGAAAACATGAAAATAACAGGCTGATGCTACTCTGGACAGAGCTTCTCTAGGTAATGACTCTGCATATGCACGTACGTGATCGATACGTATGCAGAAGTGCATGAACTGCCAGGAAAATAAATTTTCCATTCCAAGAAGACATCCTGTCGCAATCGATACTTTTCTAATCATAAATCGAGGGGAATTCATGTTGATATTTTGCACTTGTGAGTACTTGGTCATTGTTTTATGCGAGTAAAGATGTTTTTTTTTTTTACTTCGGGCGGAATCGGAAAGTCATCACAAGATGCGGGGTCGGTGTAAAACTGCGTCATATAACCAAGGTTTTTATAAAAAATACATTATCTCTGTGGGAATTTTGCCAGTACCAAACTGATTTGTCCTAAAAAGCGGGTCATCGCGTAGCCGGGGACGTATAATAGAAGTTACACTGTATTTGGGCTGGTTCATTTCTGTGAAGATTCATAATTTGCTTAGCTGAGACAGAGCTGTACTTGATTTTTCACACAGTCAACCATATCTTGCTGTTTGAAATAGCCACATGTTCTGCCTTGTTTATCCATAGCATCTCTTTCCCACTTTTTTTTTTTTTACACATTTGTGCTGACGTCTAGGACTTATGATTCTTCCTGCAGCTGTTGTTTTGCACTGTGTGCTGCGAGCCATACCACTGGTTCTGCCTTGACACCGAAGAAGTGCCGCAGCCAGGCATGGACCGAGAGTGCTGGTGTTGCCCGAGGTGTCAAGCCTGCATTGTCTGTGGACACCGGAGTAGTGTGAGTCCTTCGGACTTTTTATTCCTTTCTGTGCACCTACTTACGAGTTCCGATTCCTTTCTAGAGCCGTAACAGCAAGTGATAAATTGACCTGTTAGCTATTGGACACTGACTCGGATTGCGTCAATGTGACTTTTTTGATTTGAGGTAAATGTGTAAACACTCCTCAGAGCAGTCAGAGGCTAGAAGGGAAACATGTTAGGGGATCTTCTGTAGCAAACATCCAAAGCACCTAGGTGCTGAGAAACATAAGGTGTGTAGCTAAGGAACTGCTGTGTGTGTTGCCATGCGAAGTTGAGAAGCCACCTTACCAAAAAGCCACAAAATATTCTCACTTATAGGTCCAAGTTGAGAGTGCCTCGAAGTGCTCTGAGGTGCAGTGTAGCATTCTAATCAGCTGAATGTGTTCATGAGCACTTGATTTCGATCTGTCGAATGTGACGTGGATTTACAAAATGCTCGGAAGTGTACAAAATTGATTACTTGAACAAACCATAAGGAACTCCCGTGTAGTCTGAATTGATCTGTGGACAATGGGCTACAGCATTGAATTCTTTGTTTCCCTGAAAGTTTGCAGCTTATCAGTTGGTTATTTAGGCATTCAATTGAGCCATTTGATTATCCTTGCTTGTTTGTTGCACCCATGATTGTGTGCATTGCATGCCAGCTGCTTATTTGATGTTTGGAGGGTTCCTCACTGCTGCCACAGTTAAGTGCAGCATTACAATAGGCGAACAAAAGTTATTGATGAATTCCATCGGAAAAACGTCATGAAAATGCAATGCCGCTGTCATCGGGCATTTAGTTTCATGCAGTAGGCAAAAACTGCTGTGGCTACTGCAGTTGCTGCCGCGTTTTCACTGGAGCGGGGGCTGTTTGCCATGTTGCAAAGAAAAAAAAAATGATTTACTGACAAGATGCGTCGTGGTTACTTACACTGGAAAGTGTGAAAGAGGTGGAATAAGTTGCTGTCCCTTCCCTTTTTATGAAGACCGTTGCGAAAAATTTGTCGCTTCTGAGCCTTGTGTGAAGCATATTTAAAGCATAAGCCATAAGCCATTAGAAGCATGTTTAAAAGGCGCAAGCTGTATAGCTTTGCAAAATGTGGAAAATTCATCACGATTGTTGAATTTGGAGGTCAGATGGATCAGAAAGGTTTTGCAGTATTAGCATGAACTAAAGGTGTGGCTCTGTTCGTTAATGCAGCAGTGAACGAAAGCATGACTTCTGCTATACTTTTTCAAATTGTATGCGGCTGTTTTGGCTGCGATAACGCTTCCAAGAGATTTACACGTCTGTCAGACTCCACAGAGAAACAACAAGCGTTAAACGCTCTGTGTCTGTTTACAAGCTGTAGGCCTTCGCTGTCTTGACTTCATCGAACGGGCATAACCACGACCTGCGTTGGAAAACCTGACAGATATGTAGCGGCCTTGTCCAATGCATGTAGCAATTATTTGTACGTTATTGCAGCTGTATTGCCAATTAGAATCTCGCTGAGATTGGGCCCTTCGAATTTGAATGATCAACTAAACCGGCAAGTTTACGTGCGAGGATTTACCATAACAATTATGGACCTGCTCCTAACTTGACTTCGCGCATTTTCATACCACAGAAAAGAGTATCTTGTGGGACTAGGAGGTCCGCTATTGCATTAGTTAACAAATCAAAATCCACACATGAGACTACAGCAATTAAGATGGCATATTGTGGATCAGTTGCAATCGTGGTGTCAAGGTGCGTAATGTATGGTGAGGTTATCTGGGGTAGAGTTGCACGTCAGCATAGCTTTTACAGGTTCATTTCAGAGTCCTTGTTGAGGCCATTTAAGACTTCCTCCGTCACAGCCGTCCGGCTGCCAGTGAACATGCGGTGGGCACACCAACGCTCGGCGCTCGGTGCAGTTTGCAAAAATGTAGTAGGTCTATATCCTGACATCTCAACTTTGCTTCTAATTTCTGTAAGTTTTACTTTCGATAGCCTCATTTGTGTTATGAACGTTGTACGCGTGCATGATTTTAGGACTAGGTTAGGTAGAAAAAGAATGAACTGTTTGAATTTAGTTCTCTTGCCCCTTTCGTCATGCCGATAATGCAATCTTTATGTACACTCCTCGCGTATCAAGTTTAATGTCCACACTTCCTTAATTTGCAGCAACTTTTGAGGTGCAACAAGTGCCAGCAAATGTACCACACAGACTGCTTGGGCCCAGGCTATCCATCAAAGCCATCCAGGAAAAAGAAAATCTGGGTGAGAAAGTTTGCCACCGATGCCATTCTTTGTGATGTGGAAAGGATGAAGCACAGAATATTTTTGAGAAGGCATTCCGGACCTAGCCAGGTCTGCACCGAAGTAGCGTTACTTGTGACTCTCGTGTCTGTGCTGCGGACAAATATGTGAGCACCTCAGCCTGTGTGTAATATTGTTTTAAAGCATCGAAGGTGCTATGGATGACTTTCGTGCTTGTACTCTACTTGTACACACACACAAAAAAAAAGCACCGACAATAGAATTGAATATTGCTGGTTAGGGTGATATTTTGAAACGATTGCTCATGGGTGTGTTCACATTTGTGACACTGGCATCAGATTTGTTGTAGGAACGTCGATTTGTATAGAAAATTTTTTAAAGAAAATTTTGCAAGAATTATTAAAGGTGTCGATTATACTTGAAAACCGGTTTTTTTCACTCCAGAATGCCAAGGTTTCTAGCATGTTCTAGGACCTGAAAGTCTTGTGAGAACACCCCCTAATGCAGTTGTTCAAGTGGGCTACTCACACGGCTTTGTCGTGGTGTGCGCTATAGCTTGCTCTTATAAAGCTTGTGAAAGGTTGTGCTCTTAGGGTCACGCCTGAACATGCCGGCAGTAATTCAAGAAGTGGTAGTGGAGGACGTCCATGCCAATGACATTTTGTAGGCATAGCGCTCGGACATGAAATGTGACGTGCCACTTGCCAACTAGAGAGATGCAACTAGTTGACCAGTCTATGCCGTGTGCTTGACGAGACTCTTACGACAGAGCGCATGTGTGCATTGAGTCGAAGGGACGAAGAAACTCAGTGGTGTCTATTTTCTTTGTCATTTTCCTGCGCCCTCCTCAGGTCTGCATGAAGTGCATATGCTGCAAAAGTTGTGGATCCACCTCATCCAAGAACTCTTCCTGGAACTTCGATCTCTCGTTGTGCCACGAGTGCATGCTTCTCCGAGAAAAAGGTGAGCGCTGGGAAGAGTGTTCGGTGTAGCTTATAAGAAATGATTGTTGGTAAGGTGACAAGCAGCGGGGACTTGGTTCTTTGATGTTTAAACCTCTTTCACAAGTTCATCAAATCTCGGGAACATTTAAGATGACAAAGCACGCACCTAGCGCGACTGCTACTTACGAAAAAGTGGTCATACACTAACTGTTGTTGAAAATAAAGGCAAAGAAGTGAAAAAAAAAAAAAACTACAAAGAGAAGGCAGGAATGGATCGAGAGGTGATGAAAAGGGCATAAAGATAAATAGCACGATTAATATTTTCTACATGGGCTTTGCAGAAGTTATAGTTGAATCACAATAAATTTAGTTTATTTACAATGTCCCGTTATTTATGTGTCAGCTGTAAAAAATTGTAGATAACCAAGAGATCACTTGACTTCTTAAAAAGGCAATGTTTTGCCCACTCTCCCCTTTTAGATGTTTTTTTTTTTTGTTCGAATAAAATACAGAAGGCAGTACATAAAAGCATGTCCTTTGATTACATGGAAAAGCTATATACAACAAGAGGTGGAAATTGCTATGAAGAACAAGGAAAGTATCGAAAATGCTTACTGCCCGTCAATGCAAGGAAGCTATGCCAACAATAAATTGTAAAGCGAGCTAGATGTAGCAGCAGTTGCCAGGTAGTGGAAGGAAAAAATGACACCATATCCACGAAGTCAATGATGCTTTAGAGGTTGAATCTAGTAAGCCATGCAATCCTCCGTACATTCACTCGACCATCATACAAAGACGTGCCCTGTCAGGGCCAGCAGAGGTTTTAGGATGTTAAATCTTAACAATTATTATTATTGTTGTATAGCGAAGGTTTGTTGCAGCACCCCCTCCCCCTACTCCGTTAAAATCAGCCAATTTGACCGGAAGTCGCAAGCGCATCGTGCCTTGGAACGATGCCAACTATGGTCACGCCAACGGACGCCGGTCGCGTTGGTTGCGTCTCGCGTCGGAGCTCGCATTTTGCTAGCATAGCGTGGCTGGCCCAGCGTGCCCTCTCAAGCAAGAAGAGAGACGTGCGCGTCACGTTCCATTCTGACCTCGTCATTTGCTCTTTGCGTGGCTACTGCGGCGGGATGAATGGACAGGGCTCGAGCTTGAGGAGCAAGCTGTTAAAAGAGGAAGACAAAAGAAGAAAAGAATTTAAATGACCAAAGTTTAGTTATGCGTAGTTTTGTTCTTGTCACTTTGCCAATGTGTTGTCCTGCTCTAGTCTGATTTTATTTCTGCACACCCTTTTGTGGGCAGCTGCGCTTGAGTAAGGGCCCGCCTTTCAAGCGCACATTGCAGTTCTGCTCAATGTTGCTGCTCTTTCTCTTTTTTTTTCAGGAAACTATTGCCCACTCTGTGAAAAGTGCTATGAAGATGATGATTACGAGTCAATGGTATGTGGCTGCCCCACGCTGAATGGTTTTTTGTTCATCATCAGGCTTCTCGTAGAACTAGAAGTAGCGAAATTGTTTTAGGCATTTCTCACAGAGAAATTCAGCATCATAAAAATTTTGTTCATAATGGTGAATAAAAGAAAACAATTCCTTTTTTACTTGAATTGCTTCTACTTGCCACTGTGTCTGTACAATTATTTATGTGATATGATATGTGTAGTTTTCATGCTCTGATCGGTGCATTGCAGCTGTATCAAATGCAAGTTTAGTTCTGTATCAATTGGGTTCGCTATGTAAATGGGAATGGACTGAGCCACCATATTACATTCCTTAACGAATCTGAAGCTTTCTTTAAAGACTACTATATCGTACCTCCATGTTGGTGTTGCTACACGTCGCATTGCGTGATGGGAAAGGATTAGTTGTGGCCTCTTATTTTTCTCCTGACAGTTGCGCTTGAAACATGCCATAGTGTTGCTTTCTTTTAATGTGCCTTTTACAGAAAGTGCCGTTGTGTCATTGCAGATGGTCCAATGTTCCCAGTGCCAAAAATGGATTCATGCTCGCTGTGATGGCATATCGGGTAAGGGGATTAGTACGTTCTGTGTCGCGTCAGTGCTAGTTGCTCACACACTTAAACCTTGATATAACGAACCTGGATAAAATGAAATATCGGTTATAACAAAGTAAATGAAGAATAGTCTTGCAATGCAGTGTTAGGAACATACCTTTATAATGAATTTTTAGATGTAATGAACTAATTTTTGTGTAAGATGCAACTTGGTTGTAATAAGGTTTGAGTGCTTAAATTAAGATATGAGTGTACTTCTCATTAGGAGGGACTAGGTGTGTAATAATAGCTCATTATTGTCATTGATGAGTTTGATAAAGGTAGAAGTCTCTCCCACAAAAGTGTGGCATGTTACCTCCATATTACTCGAAGCAGACCCTCAAAGAAATCTTCTTTTCTTGAAGGCAAAGAAAAGATTTCTTTGAAGAATGGGTGTTTGAGCTTCCGTTACAATTGTATGAAACTAGGCTTGTGCAAATAGCGAATTTTAGGTGTAAAGCGAATCCAAAGTGAATAGTGATTTGATTGGAATACTTTCAATTCAAATTTGAATGTTTTATATCACATATATTATGAAGAAAAATGAGCATGTTTTGGATGACCCAACTGACCTGCACAACATATATTTTTAAATCAAAATAAGCCACGTGTAAATGTCACCTTTTTGGCTCAGGAAAAGTGGAAGCAACTTTGAATATTAGCAGGGTTTGACTTTCCGTAGCATGCGAATGATACGCCGTAGAATGCCTTCAGTTTTAAACTTTACGCTACTTAGATTATTGTCACACACTTCGGGTGAGGCCCCGCCGATCTAACATCGACGTGCGGCAGACTCGCAGGCTTCCACTTTACGCTTCAGCCTGCGACGCCTGAAAGGCCTCGAAGTGGCACATTTCGAATTTATTTGCGGGTTGGTCGACCCGTGCGGGGTTGCACGTGTGGTGATGTGTGGGCCTGACCGACGCACTCATAGAGCAGACACGGAGTTTGATTACACATAAACAAGCATTTAATTGAAACAAGGGCAAAGGCAGGAAAATAACAGAGAGGAATAACACTGAGGCGCGATGGAAAGAACAGCTATATAACAAAATATGCTAAAAACGCTACAAAAGATACAGGCTAAAGACAAATATGCGGAACATTAATAGAATAACAACAAGATGGAAATCAAAGGAAAGAGACACTAGAAATTAATTACAGAATGATCATGGTGGCGCTTTAGAATTTAAACGTGCGACGCAGCGCACACTACAAATATTTAAAAAAAAAAGGCTGGTTAAAACAAGTTTACGGTTTTAACAAAAAGTCACAATAAAAAGTTCCATACGGACCAAACCAGCCCTTGGTGCACGTAGGGGAGTTGACGGGTGCCGCTGAAGGTCTCGCCGGCTTGGTAGACGACGAGGGTGCCCGGAATTGCAGCCGTCTCAATACGTTGCGCGGGTCACTCCGTGCTCGCCGCCTACGCGAGACTCGCGACACCGACGACCGCACTTGTTGCTGTCTGTACGTCAACTGCCCTTCCGATGCAGTTCAAACCGCCTCAGGGGCGTACACGTGCTCCCGTCTCATCTGGGAGTAATATTCCTTGTTTAGATCGCCGGTGCCCCTTCCGGTACCGGTGCAGGGAAGACGAGCCGGCGCCACGTTGGGTCGTTATAGTCGCCGGATGTCGTCCCCCAACACAAAAGCGCCCCTCCTTGAAGGTGGGGCCCGCGGATGCTCCGAAAATTGGAGTCGTTTGTGACAATTATATAAGCCAGTATAACAAGCTCTTAAACTTTCGTTTTAATGGAAGAGTCGACGTTTGGGTAATATATTCATTTAACCTTAAAGTGGGTTTTGGCAAAATGTGTTCTTGAAATTGTGTGTTCGTGGTATAGCATGCCTTCTCTGCTGTGAAACTACCTTTACAGGTGGTTACATGCGGACCAATATACTACACCTTTTCGTTCATTCCGAATACTTTGAAATTTCCAATGATTTAAATTCAAATCCAATCGAGTTCAAATACATAATATTCGCAGAAGCCTACATGATGAAGCACATCTGGTATACTGTATTTACTCGCGCAATGAACCCACCTTTTTTCAGAAAAGTTGACGCCAATTTAGCGGGAGGGTTCATTACGCGGCAGAAAAAAGTCACGGGAGTTATAACAGCGAAAGTTTTGGGTGAAGACTTTGCTTGTTTTGATACATGAAATGCGAGACAAATTTTGTTTGTAGCCCGAAGCTCTTTTTGTTTCGTCCTATAATGAAAGTGGTTGGATCGACGTCGAAGTGTCGTCCAGCCGTTTGGTTCCTATGCTCAAGCGCATGCTGTTAATAACCAGCAGTGTAGCTAGCGTACTGGCCAAACGTGCCCTGCGCAGCTGGTGTCCCAACTAAGTTCACAACAACAAACCCAACAACGGAAATGCAGCGCCGAAAATGCAGCGCCGGATGGCAGCGCACAAACGTTGTATTAGATGTTTCGGGTGCTGTTGCGATTTGCGTAGGTCCGAGATGGTGAGCGCGCAGCGCGAGTGCTAGTTTGGACACCACGCGCTTTGTTTTTTTGCCGCTGTGTTTGCGTGGCGCTATCAGCAAAGAGGTTTCTCCTGCATTCGACAGATGGCCCTTTGCCGTACAAGGCGCGACTTTCAAATTTATGTTGACATTGTCCGCGCTCATGCTGGTCGCAACTGTTTATCATGATTGCATAACTATCTTTGGCTTTCATTGAGTTGTTATTTTGTCATATAATGGCTTGATTTAATCTTGTTTCCAACATTAACGGCACTGGCTATCATACCGAAATAAAGTCAACAGATACATTAAAACAAGTTTTTTTCCCTATTTTCAAGGATCAAGGTGGGGGGTGGCTTCATTACGCGAGTAAATATGGCATATGGTGTGTTTTTCACTACTTTTTAGATTCAGATTAGAGTAGGGAGAGTAGTCTCATTTAGCCAATGTAGCGTTGCAAACCGTGTGTTGAGGTGGGAGGAATGGTGCATCCTGACATGCCTCACATTTGGTCTGATGTTGTGCAGAGGAGTTGTACCAGGTGTTGTCCCTGTTGCCCGAGACGGAGTTGTACCTTTGTCGGCTGTGCGAGCCAGACTCTCCCCGTCTGTGGCTTGGCACGGCTGAACGCGTCCTGCAGGAGCGACTGCGCTGCATCATGAACTCCCTGACCGAGGTAAGCTGGTTTCTTGGTTCTGTGCTGTTGACAAGATTCTTAGTACTAAAATAAGCACAATATTCGGGCAATATTTATCTGTAGCTCCATCATTAGTTTTTTATAGGGTAAGTAGGTGTAGTCAGAATCGTGATCTGAAACCATGTTTTACACGTAGTTGACTTCTTGAACATCCATTTCTAGAGCTGTGTCAATAGCAAAATATTGGATGGAAAGTGATTTTGAATAATGAAGTATAAGTTTGTATCTTTTTAAATATTTTTCATACACTTTGAAGTGAAATTACAGATAGAATAAGTTAGAGAAAATTCCTAAGGTTGTTTTAAATTATATAAAGGAATTATAGCTCTGCAGCGGTGCAGCCAGGCACCGCTACTTTGCGCTTTTTGGAAAGAACTTTTACCCCTCTTCAACATTCCTTCAGCTTCAGCTAAGTCCGCTATTAAGAAACAAGCATACAAAAAAGGCAAATTTTTTAAAGTTTGTTTTGAGGCTCCCGATTGGCTGCGTCCGCCATGTTGCTTCAGTGCGCCATGCCATTGGTCGAACCCTCGCTCAGGGTAAACATTGTCTGCTGCTTGCACATCACGAGGTCTTTGCTGTCGAAAATCGGGCTACTTAGTGTAGCGTTTGCGCTCGTTCTTCTTCATGGGTTGACGATGATTTAGAATATAACTACGCTTTAGTTAGGCAGCTGCAAGCGGAACCTCAGTTATCAGATTGCAATGATGCGCAGCACTTGTCGCGAACATTGCAGATGTGCATCTCGGACCAACTGCTTATTAGCACACATCACAGAATTACTCTGTTGTACTCGTGATCGAGCATAATATACTTTGAAGCATCGAGCACCGTGACCGCACAAAGCGCGACCAAGCTCGCTGCTTAGAATTATGACTAGACGAAGTTTTGCGGGCTAGAGCCTTGCACTAACTGACACGGGAAATGAAAGGAGCCTGCTTCATCGTGAGCACCGATGTTTATCTGGCACCTTGAAACTGCGGATGGGCATTTTGCGCATCGGCAGTGGACTCCTCGGCAAACTCATTTCGCAGCAACTGCTCGGAGCACTGGTGAAAGCGGCTAGCAGTTTCTCATGTCGGTGCCCCAAAATGTGAGAACAAGCATGCTGATTCATCGTTATAATTATTTTCTGTTATTTTAAACCACCATATTTATTTTCCCGAAGCTCGAATACTTCAAATAGTGAAATTACGATGTGAATTGAATCTAATGGCAACAATATTCGGGAAATATGAATTCGTAAGTTTTTATGTTTGCACATCTATACTTGTTTCTTTTCCCATGAAGTAAAAGTGAATGGAACATGGTGTTTGGAATGTGGCATTCATGAGTTTAGAAAACGCATGTATAATTTTGTATGAACATTATCGTTGATGATGCCACATTTTCGTCTGTGCTTTGATAGCTCTTCAATGTGCAATTCCTGCTCAGTTTTCATTCGTATGCAGAAGCCTGATATTAGAGAGCAGTAGTTGTTTTACTTGTATAACCTGTTTGGATTGTCACCTGTTGCTTACTGTATCTTACTTCTGGGGTCGCCCCGCCGCGGTGGTCTAGTGGCTAAGGTACTCGGCTGCTGACCCGCAGGTTGCGGGTTCAAATCCCGGCTGCGGCGGCTGCATTTCCGATGGAGGCGAAAGTGTTGTAGGCCTGTGTGCTCAGATTTGAGTGCATGTTAAAGAACCCCAGGTGGTCGAAATTTTCGGAGCCCTCCACTACGGCGTCTCTCATAATCATATGGTGGTTTTGGGATGCTAAACCCCACATATCGATCGATTACGGCTGGGATCTTGACTGTGGCATGTTACCAAGTCAAATAAATACGTATAATTCTGACCTAGCTGTGAGGCTGGGAGTAGAGTCTGTGCTTATTTAATTGTTTACAAATTGGCCTGAGTTGATGCATTCAATACTGCATCTTTCATTATTATGATTGATTTTTGTGGTGATAAGGTTTTATCATGGTGTTAATGTAGGCAGAATGCTGCCAAAACCACTAGCCAAGTGCATGAAGCAGCACAGAAGTATAATCACAACTCTATTTTGGTCCTGGATTGATCCGTCATGCCCGTTGAGGTAATATGGTGTGCACAGGTTTGATCATCAGCTGCGCACAAATAGATTAATATTGACCGCTGAGAGTCATTTCACGAACAACTGTATGTAAGTTCACAAACCAGTGATTTTCCTTTAACAGTCTGCTCTGTTCTTGTGTGGTGAATTTTTTGTGTGCTTTTCAGACTCGTTTTAAGCAAGCCTAATTGGCAAATAATTAAGATGTTAGATTTGCTTTTATAGTCATGAGCGATGCTTCATTGCCACGTGCAGCTGCAGAAAGCGTCGAAGGACCGCTGCCAAGTGTTGGAGCAGGCGGTGCCCACACCTCCTGATCTCATGGCTTTGCCCGATGAAACACAGGACAAGGATGGTTCATTGGACTCCACTGAGCCAACAGCGACACTTGCAAGAACAGGTTAGAACCCACTTCTTCCTTCTTTCTTCCTTGCTCTCACTCTAATTTTAATGGAGTCGCATTATGAGTCACCCTGCAGTGTGTATTGATTGTGCGGCTTTCTTGCTTTGTCTGCTTGCAGAACTTCACTTCGTGGATCTTATCAAGGTGCAGCACAGACTCGAGTGTGGAGAGTACACTACTGTGGTGAGATTCGTTTCAGTAACAATGGTACACACACACGTAGTTTGTTGCAGTCTATGGCACAGTGCAACTTTTGCACTAAGCTTAGAAGGTTTCAGAGATGCTCGAGGTTTGTTATTTCTCGCGACAGAAATTAAGGCAGTGTTGCGCCGTCTGCTAGTGGCGTAAATTTTTCGTTCGCAACTTGCATGCATATCACACTGTGGGGGACACGGGTGCTTCTGAAGCTGCGAATGCCACATGTGCCGTTGCTGGCCACACCAGCATTGTTGTTGCTCTCCGTATTATCAAGAACCCCAGCCATCAAGCTAATGTGCATCAATAAATATTGCCGCCGGGGCTTTTGTGTATGAGTAGACATAGATTCACTCCAATTTTAGGTTTTTTTTTTTTGCCATTTTCTTCTGCAGCATCAGAAGCTAAGTGCATTGAATATTTTGAACTTCGGTAATCACCAGTGGTCCTTTGCTCTTGCCGAATCCTGGATTAAACGAGCCGTTTTTGAGGAATCGTTTTTGGGAGCCCTTGCGTGTGGTCGCTCTGATTGTGCTGTGAAAGCCTTGGCTGCTTTGAAATTGGTGAAATCTGACGCGTTGCAAATTTGCAGAAGGAGTTTTGCGAGGATGTCCTGCAGGCTACCACGGACAGCCGGGTCTCGGTGCAAATGGTGAGGGACTTGCTAGGAAAGGTAAGTTCCTTTTACTGCGCAGATTAAAAAAAAAAAAAAATGGCATGTGCATCTCTTCTGGTGACGATACTCACTATGCAATACTTTACCCTTAAGGGGGGACGTGGCAAGTAAAACTAATTTTTTTTATTAATGTACTGTTTGTGATGAAATTTGGTGTGTGTATGTGGATGATTGTGAGGATTCCAAATATGAAAACCGTTTTCAAATACCTCTTGTACTTTTTGAGTTACAAGCATAATTATACTAATTAATGCTCTTCATACTTAAAGAGATAATTATTGCTAAATGAAATTATTTTTTCATATTACAGTGAAATCCCGTTATAACAAACCTCAGATTAACGATTTTTTCAGATTAACGAGTATTTCGGAAATCCCCTTCCAAATGTCCATTGGTTCAATGTAAAAATATTTCACTACTACGAATTTCAGAATAACGAATGTTTCAGAATAACGTATCAAATTTTATCACCCTGGTACCTTAAGAGCACTTCAAAATAACGAATTTCTAGCGTAAAAATTACGTGCGGCGGTCTAAATGCCCAGTGCCATATGTGGCACTATCATCATCATCAGAGCTCCTGCTCATTTCTCCATGCGTTGCCTTATGCTAAATGCGCACTAGCCTGGCTAGCCCTATCGCCATCGCCAGTACCTTGTTTTCGATGTTTTTTTTTTTTTTTTTGCATGCTCGTTGAGCCAGGTTGAGCCTAACCTCGCCGCCTTTGTTTTGTTACGTCGACCGGCAACGTCGCACGATTGTCGTACAGCTTTCTCGTTTTAAAGGTTAGAGTGATTCGTTTCTGCGTTCGCGATGAGCTCCGGAAGCAGCGCGAGAAAGAAACGGAGGCAGTTTTCTTTGAAAGAAAAAGTGGATATTCTTTCTCAAGTGGACGCCGGTAAAAAACAAATCCACATTGCGAACGAGATGGGGGTTGCACCACCAACTATCGCAATCATCCTGAAGGACCGACAAAAGATCCTCGAGCTGCACCGAGGGTCCCAACTCGCACCGTCAAGAAAACGGCTCCGACTTGGGAATTTCCAAGAAGTGGATGCTGCAGTACTGACTTGGTTCAAGGACGCGCGTTCTCAAAATGTGCCGGTGTCGGGACCCATGCTGCAGGAAAAAGCCCGGCAATTCGCTGATGCTTTGGACATCACAGGCTTCGAAGCAAGCGCGGGGTGGCTTCATCGTTTCCGTGAAAGGATTGGAATCACCTGGCAAGTGGTGTCTGGTGAAGAGAAGGCGGCAGACGCAGCAAGCGCTGCTGCATGGTGGGACGAGAAGTTCCGCGAAATCGTCGCTTCATACTCCGAAGATGATATATTCAATGCGGACGAAATGGCGTTCTATCAAATGCTTCCTGATAAAACCATGCATTTTAAAGGGAACAGCTGCAAAGGCGGCAAGCAGTCTAAGTCCGGATTACGGTATTGTTATGCTGCAATTGCACAGGCACCAAGAAGCTGAAGCCCTTGGTGATCGGCAAATACAAGAAGCCTCGCTGCATGAGGAACAATGTTTCATTGCCGTGCGATTATCGGGCTAATTCACGCGCGTGGATGACACGAGAGTTATTCTCTGAGTGGCTACTAAAGGTGGACGATGAGATGAGGAGCGCAGGTAGAAAAATCTTGATTATCGCTGACAACTGCTCGGCGCATCTTGTTAATGTCAGGCTGACAAATGTACAGCTGGAATTCTTGCCTCCGAACTGTACGTCCTTGCTCCAGCCACTGGACCAAGGCATCATAAAAAGTGTCAAGGCCCATTACCGGACACGCCTGGTTCAGTGATTGCTGATAAATCTTCGGATGAAGCTGCCTACCTCCATCAATGTGCGACAGGCCACAGAAATGGTTACCGGGGCCTGGTGGAGCGTTACATCAACCACCATCCAGAACTGCTGGAGGAAGGCAGGCTTGGTAGTAATGCCATCTGAATCTGAACAAGGCAGCGAAGAAAGCGACGCGAGTGGCATGTGGCAAGAAGTCGTCGAAAGACTCGCGATGGATGCCTCGGTGACGTTCGAGGACTATGTGCAGTGCGACGAAGAAGCATGCACATCAGCCGAACTGACGACCGATGACATCGTCAGTGCTGTTCGTGGTGATAACAGCGACGAGCACGCCAATGGCGAAGATGACGCTGAGACCGCGCCCGTTAGCCAACCAGAAGAATCGCTTTCCAACGCCGACATCATGGAATGCGTGCGAAAGATGCGCACTTACCTTGGCAGGTGCAGCAATGCCACCGAAGCAGAGCATAAGAATGTGGACAACTTTGAAGCGTTCGTCCTGCGGCAGTTGAGCGGCACCCGCCAGGCCAAGATCACCGACTTTTTCAAATAAACGTGCGCTCATTCCGGAATATTTCGCGTTTTGTTTCTTTTCACGCTCGTCATAAAATCAAGCGTTTGCGGATGTGTACACAGCAAAGGTAGGCGAGTCCTTTTGTTGCATTTACGATTTTTAATGCGAATTTTCGATGTTTTCACAATAACGATATTTCAAAATAACGAACTATTTTCCGCGGTCCCTTCAAATTCGTTGTATCGAGATTTCACTGTATTATGTTCCCAAAGCATCAACTTGTGCAAAGAAGCTATTAGTTGATTTTTCTAGTTCTTGTAACCATAAATAAAATTTCCAAAACATGGATGTTGTTTTGCGCACACATCGCAGTAATTATAAAATGTGTTCTAAAATTTTAAATGAATGAGTAAGAAGAGAGATAAAGCTTTATTGCACTGCTAAAGGCCTCCTGAGCCTAGTGCAAAAAACGGAACGACTCTATCAGTCTTTGTTAGAAAATGACAGATGTTCTAGCGAAGGCACATAGGCAAAAATCAAGAGTTGAGAAAACTGACTTTGAAAGTTCACTCTTGTTTGGAAGTTCACAACATGCCTAAAACACTCAGAATCCTCCTGGGCAGTAATCCTGAGATGCTGTGGCCTTGGCCTCTGTAGAGCGCAACCCAGTTTTGCGCTTCTTTGTCTAGAACAATGCGCCTTTTGAGCCCTCTTTACCCTTTTGGCATCCTTTTCGGCTGCTCGCCGCAAAGAGCAGTCTCCTGGATTGAAGCCAATTGAGCAGTGATCTCTTGCAGCGCACTCTTGCAGCCACCATTGAAACGGCAGACTGCATCTGCAACTGCACTTTCCACACTTCGAAGGAAGGCGAACTGGCTCTTGGACTGGAGTGACCAAATGAGACTGTTCATACTCTCCACAGCGTTCTGGGTTTTTCCCTGCGCACACCTTTCAAGGAGCTCTTTGTTCGAGAGGCGCTTGTAGATTGGCAGCAGTGCCACTCGCACGTGAGGGGGCAGTTTATGTTTGTGAGGCGGCAGCGGCTCTCCCTTGGCCAATGCCTGATTGTGCGGGCACCAGGAGTCAGTCCCACTTGGGCACAGGTCGTGGTGTGGATCCTGGTCTGTGGATGTTACATGGTAATAAGTGGCCATGATGGCCCTCTCCATGCCAGGAACATCGTTGGGGTGGCTCTTAATGGCCCAGCCATAATAATTTGTCAACTTCTTTATCAGGCCCTGCATCAGCCGGCCTTTGGATTTGTGCTCATCAAGAAGGTTGCGCAAGGAAGTGCCCATTCTTTTTTTCACATGGTTCACACACTCCTGTTTCTTAATCACCATGTAGCCATACACCTTGTCTTGCGTGAGGGCAAGGTACGTACGGCTGTCACCGTCGCAGAGCACATTGATGTATTGAAGCTTGTACTTGGTAAACGATCTTTCAAACATGATCCTAGCTGCTTCTACTTCCATTTGGCCTGCATTAGCATCGGTGTTCTTTTGGCACTGTGGCTTGTGTTTCTCAAGCCACTCCTCATAGTTGTCGTCACCAGGCTTGGGGCCAACAGCACAGCCTTGGCAGTAGTTGGACAGGACACAGTGGTCCAAGACCAAGCCTGTGTACAGCTCGATTACACAGCCCACGCCAATATGACTTCTGTGCCCCCTCGTCATCCACGTGCCGTCGTAAATGACGTCAATGTTGCCTGGCACTCCTCCTAGGTCCTTGTATATGTCATGCACTTTCTGTGCACTTTCTGCTTCAATGCGGGTGGCAGCTGATGTGGTGGCAGGGTGGCTGTACTTCCTTTGCAGTCTCTGGTAGGACTTGTGGTGCAGTGCTAGATGCGAAATGTCCATCGCAGAAAAAATGTCATTTATGGCATATTGTTTTCTGCCAACTGACTGCACAGCCCTCAAAGCACGCACGTTTACCTCAAAGGGGTTCGTTTTTTGTTGCCCGGAGCACCTCGGGGACGACCACGCACTGTTCACTATGCCACAATTGTCACAAAAAAGTTCCATCCTCGCCGCGAGTCCAAGGCAGTGCGTAGTCTCGAGGCGTATCGACCCTTCGTCGCACTTGTTGCACTTTACAGACGAAAGCAGACCGTTCAGCATCTTCTTATTTACAATGAAGAATGTGGAGTCCTTACCGCCGTCATTTTCGTCGCAGCCTTCGTTTAGAAGCTCGAGCTTCCGCTTTGAAGCGGACTTCGATGCTACGGCATCCAAAACATCCCGCCTTGTCTGCGCCCGCTGCGCGATTTCTTCACTGCTCGGAATCTGGGACGAAACTCGCGATAGAATGTTCGACGCGCGCACGCCCGGAGTTGCAACGGCTGCCGACGCGGTGCCACCGCAATCGGGTTCGCGAGAGCGTCCATCACGGTCGACGGCATCCGGCGGTCTGACATACGACGATGTGGCACATTCCACACTCTCGGCCTCACAACAATCAGCGAAGGGTCTGAGTAGAGGCTCCGTGACACTTGAAGAGCATGCTCCGTCCGGAACTGCGACTGGGACGGCAGCCGCAGTCGTCTGCCCTTTGTTCCAAGCTTTCCGACGCTTGCCGTACTTGTGGACGCTCCGGAACTTTTTTTGCGGCAACATAGCACCGCAGTATGAGCAAGCACTCAAAAGAGACCACCGATGTAAACAAAGTTTGGTAAAAAAAGCACTCGAACTATCACAAAAACAGCAAACTGGCAAAAAACGAAGCGCACGCAGGATGATTCTCGACACGGCGGCCGCAGATGCGCTCGCGCTTCCAAGGTTGCCAAGGTGCGCGGCGCAGCTTTGACCAGTAAGAGGCCGCGCCTGCTACCACGTGACCCGCGCAGCCAATTGCCGTTCTTCGTTTTCGTTTTTTTACTTGCTCCTCGCGCTTTTATTTTCACTCGGCGAAATACGAGACCGCGACCATCGGGGAGCCGGCTTTCTTCTCTTTCCAAAGCTACCAAAATGGCGGCCCACGGTCAACAACTTGGCGCGTTTGTGCGGTGTGAACAACACCGTTTCAGGGGCTTTTTTTTTCGCACTTTTCGGCGACTAGCCTCGGCAAAAACACTATTTGCGGGATTTGTAGCGCACGTTTCGCTGTAATATTTTAGAACAAGGAAGTTGAAGGTCTGAAGATTACGAAAAAAAAATAAATCAGAAAATCGCATATTTTGACCAAAATCGGCACTTTACTTGCCGTGCCCCCCCTTAAAACGCACATTATGATTGACTGTATAAATGTGTGGAATTTGCATAGGTGTATGCATAGGTTCTAGAGACCAAATTTAAAGCGAAAAGTGTTCCGATAACCTATACTGTATTTGTTCTGATAACCTATACTATACTGTACTGTAAAATAATTTATCTAAATATTGCAATGTCGGTCATGCCATGTTCATAAAACGAATTCAATGCCCCACTCAGTTTGGACACAGTATTTAGCTGAAGGCTGTAACCATGTTTAAAAAGATAAAAAGGCATTTGAAAGTTCCTCTAGAAGTGCCCCATGTCCGTCTCGTTAAGACACTTCAGTGAATTCACAAAAGCGGTTATATGTAGCAACTTCCATATAGGAGTGGCACAAAGGAGCTTCAGGTTACACGAATGTTTAACTTACTGTACGCTCAATGTGCATGGCCTGCTTCTTGCTAACAGTGCACGGAATTGGCAAAATTAAGTCATGTATTGAAATTAGGATGCCGTGTTTACGAAGGTCAAGGTTGCTATAGCCTCGAGAGCCTGCAACCTTTTTTTTTTTGTTCCTCTGTTTTATCGTTGTTGGGTTATCCTACAATGCACTAAACACTGCTGCAGCTCCTGGAGGAGGCATTCCCGAACATGCGGCCCTCCCCGCTGCCACCCACGCCTCCACATGAGCCCAGTGCCCTGCTGGGCACCCCCGGATCGCTTCTGTTGGCAGACGCGGTGTTGCCACCTCACGGGGACCACCTGTACGCCCAGTGCCAGGCAAGGCCCAACGGAACCGGCCCGCCCAAACCACAGCAACCGGGACTACTACGGGACACCACTGGTGAGGGGTCACGCTGTGGTGCCCATTCGGGTGCGCATCGCTCTCTGACATCTTGGCGTCTATGCCTGCTTATGAACTTTTCGCGAAGTGTTTTTTTTTTAACTTGGGCTTCTTTTTCAATAACAACCCTTCAGGTGCAGTATGCACGCCTGTGCATGCAACTTGTTTTTGCCTGTTCAGTAGAGTCATGAAAAGTAAGCTACAAAAAAGTTAAGTGTCATAAAAAAAAGTAAGCCACATTGACCTATGAATGAATTGAACCTCCTCTTACATATTTAGTGTCCCTTCATCTGTTGTCCTTGTGCTGTGTACTGGTACATAGAGCTGCTTTTCTGAAGACTGGGAGCACTACCCTGTTCAGTGAGCCCTTTGACGTGTCATGTTTTGGCAGTGCTGCGGAAGAAAAATTTTTCTTTATGCGAGTGGCAGCGACCATTGAAATTCGCACATAAATCAAGCCTGCGATTCAATCCTTCTTAAACTAGAATGCAACGTTTTGAAGCAAGAATGAGTGGCTGTGATGAAGTAAATATTTAATGGCACTTTATTTCTCGTACTTACACAACTGTAAGTTGACTATTATACCTGAATCTGTTTGTGATTTTAAAACGATCCCCCAACTTCAGACTTCAATTTAGGGTGAAATGGGTCGACCTACAATTGTGTAAGTGCAGTACAGTCGCCAAATATTTATTAGGACTCCATGGAAACTGCCTAAAAGTTCAAATACTCAAAAGGCTGCAAAAAAGAATTCACCATACAGCATTTTTATTATCCAAGTAGCCTAAAAAACTTGCTAATGTGTGCCTGCACACAATGCCTGTTTCCATGTGACCAAGCCAGCCTGGATTTCATTCATGCACTTAATTCGTGTTTGATGGCTGGGGTGTGTGCGGTGTGTCATCATCGCAGTCACTGTCAGCCTGCCCAAACGGGCTAAAATTTCCAAACAGCTTCACATTGAAGTTGGCCGCCTTCCACTTAGCGAATAATTGCTGCTTCTTTTGCCATTGTCACTGTCTTAGTTAGTTGCTGCATTTCTTCATCAGTCTCAATGGCGCAGATGGAACAGGTGGTGTCAGAGCCATTTCAGCAGGTCCTGCCTCTATCTCGCGTGACTTTCTGTGGCAGCACAGCCAAGGAAGGCTATGAAGACAGGCACACTCTTTTACTACGCTTTCCCTGTAGTCGGCAAACGCTGTCTATATATTACGCAGCATAAAGGAAAACATAAAAAGGAAAGTTATAGTTATGCTCAAGATCGTTCGCATTGTTTTCGAGAAAGCTTATTCTGTGTGCTATTTTTTTTTCTTTACTGTTTCTAGATTTCTCGTTTTCTGTTCTCATTTCACCTTTTTTCTGCCCTGGTAAACAACAATTGCGTTACTCGGTTGCAGCAAGTTCATGCCAAAGGTTGTGAGCGAGCATGAGTGCATGTTCGTTAGGTGATCTGTGTTCATCGAGCTGATGGAAACGAAGGAAGCAATGCCTCGTCAAATATTTCATGCCCTGCATGGGCAGTCACCGAGAAAGAAGACGTGTGTGAGTGATACCATCAGCGAAAGTGGGTCTCCAAACGCGATAGCCCCCTTGAAAGTGAAACCGGCGACCTGTCAGTCTCCAGCAAGACCAGCCGATTTAAAGCAGTGTTGCAATTGTAAACTGTACAAAAAAGCAATGACCATTTCCTTAAATTGCGTTTCATATGTGGTCGATATCTTGGTTGCCTACTACAGTCGAACCCCACTACAACGAAAAATTTTCAGTTCCCCGTGAGCAGTCCATTGGAGTCAATGCATAAATGTTCTCACCACAATGAACACTTTTTCTTCTGTCGTTCTGCTTCAACAAAATTTTACAATGCAATTTCAGGCTCAAATATTTAAGGGGGGATGCTACACCTTCCAAAAACTCTTTTATTTTTGCGAGTACCTCAGTCAAATTTGGAGAGCCTATGTAGATTTTACTGCTGATTTCAAAAATCTAATTCTTTTTTTGCTGTGACAATTAGTTTTAAAGATATAATGAACTGCGACTTTTTCAATTAATGCCTAATTAGCTAATTAACTGTAACTTGGATATTGATGTGCAACCTACAGAACCAATTCGGTATGTTCACAGTGTGCAATAAAGTATAAATCATTGCTCTGGCTATTTCGAAGCAAAGTTGTGGGATGTTGAATATGACATGAAAATTTCCCCATCTACACTTGAAACAAAAGATCCATTAGAGAATTTTCTCCAAAATTATTACAATAAAACTTACTTTACGACACAATCCCCTGCATTTATCTTCGAAACAAAAAGAAATCGTAATGATAACCTAGATAGAACAAGAGATATTGCTCCGGCATAATGGGAAGCACATGAAAATTGTCGTTTGAGAAATCGAGAAAAAAACGTGGGCACACATTTTTATTGCAGAAGATGCAACAAGACAACCTCAAAACGCACCAGAAGCATAGTCTGAATGCATTCTGTGCTCATGCCTCCTCTTCACTAGCTTCCGGAGTTCCAATGAGGCTGTTCTTTTCTTGTGGAGACAATGCTGCGACGGTGGTCTTTTTCTCTCGCTCTCCTGGCACCAGTACTTGTCGCATTCATGTCCATTTCACCTAAGATTGCCGTTGCAGAATTCAAATTGTCCGTGTTGAAGCGCAGCACTGCTTCTGCAACAGCTGCTTCAACAGCGAACAGGGACGCATGGTGCTCCTTGGGGGCCAAACTCCAGATTACCGAATGTAGCCTCTCGTTGGAGTTCTGCGTTTTGCCGCATTCGCACCTCTGAAGCAGGGCTCTTTCCGAAAGCCGGGTATAAACCGGTAGTAATGCCTCTGCCACGTCTTTCGGTAGATTGTAGGCATGCCTGGGGTCGGGCTCACCCTTTGCTTTTGCGGCATTGTGCCGACACCATGAAGTTTCACCAGCTGGGCACAGACTGTGGTCCGAGCATTCATCAGTGGAGGTGACGTGGCGGTATGTGGCCATCACAGCCTTTTGCATCTCGCCCACGTCACCTTCATGCGATTTCAGAGCCCGGCCATAATATGTGCTCAGCCTGGTGATCAGCTCACCTGTGAGCCTGCCTTTCCCACCAAGGCCCCTTTTCCCATCGCACTTTCGTTTCTGCACCAGGTTTCTCAATGCGGTGCCCATCCGTTTCTGTACATGATTAATACAGTCTTCCTTCTGCACGTCAATGTAACCATACACCTTGGCGTCTTGTATGGCGCAAAAATGTCCTAGAGTCTCCATCAGACAGCATAGTTGTGTAGCGCAGGCCATGGCGTTCAAGCGACCTCTGAAATAGAATTAGAGCCGCCTCCACTTCCATTTGCCCCCGCTTTGCTGTTCGTATTTTTTGGCATTTGTGGTTAGCCTTCCATTCTTGATAGCCCTCACTACTAGGCTTTGGGCCCAACCTCGCAGCCTAGGCAAAGTTGGAAAGAACGACGTAGTCCAACACGTAGCCACTAAATAATTCGATAACTGTGCCCACGCCGATGCGGGAAGAATGGCCTCGCGTCTTCCACGTGCCGTCGTAGCTAACGGCAATATTGCCCGGGTGGCCGAAGCACAAGTCATCATAAATTGTTCTAACCTTTTCCGCACATTCGCTCATAGCGGACTCAGCCGCTCGCGTTTCAGCGGGTGCCAGCGTGTTCTTCAAATGCCGCTGAAACGTCTTGTGGTGCATACCGCGGTGTGAGATGCCCATTGTTGCGAAAATATCGTTCATTTTCGTTTGGCCGTTGCCGGTAGCCACCATCGCCCTCGAAGCGAGATTTACTTCAAACGGATTGCACGTTTTCGTGCCGTTCGTGCGGGGCGAAGTCCATTCATTCGCGATCTCGCCGCACCTTTCACACTGCACTAGCACTTTCACGGCAAGTCCGTAGTCCCGATCCCCTCTGACGATCGTAGCCGGTCCGTGGCAGGCTTTGCAACACAAGGCACCCATTATCGCGTTTAGGATATCTAGATGCATAAGCAGATAAGGAGCAGCGTGGTCCGAGTCCTGTGCGGTTGCCTCGCTACAACTCGCGGTGAAAAAGTCAATTTTCCGTGCAGTTGCTTGCGCCGATGAAAGCCGGTCGAGCGTCGCTTTCTCCCGGGCATGATTTTCTTCAACTTCGGCGTTTGTCACCACCTTGGCGTCGATTCGTAGTCGTCCGGAGTTCGCTTCACCGTCATCGTCGTCGGAGGCAACGCGCTCGGTCGCACCATCGCTGAACGCCCGCGGAGCGTCGACACATCGTTCGTCGGAGTCAACCAAGAGCTCTGATGACTTCGTAGACTTTCTCCCACGACCTTTGCGTTTCCTGCGACCAAATGCGTGCACGGTCCGATACTTTTTCGCGTTTCCAGGCATGGCGATACGAACAGAAGCTTCAGAGTGCTCTGCCGATTTCGAGGCGTCACAGTGGTAACCCTTTCAAATGGCGTCGGGTCGCGTATGCAGGCGCAAGCCGCGAGCTTCCAGCCAACCGAAAGCGCCATTTTCAGTCACGTGCGCCGTTTAGCCAATGGCAGTGAGCGCGGCTCTTCGTCTTTGAGGCCCCGTTTTTCGAGCCGGGGAAACGCTCAAATGTTGCTTACTGAATAAAAAAAAAAAACAGCTGAAAATGCGTTCTTTCAAACAAGACCAAAATGGTGCCGATCGAGCGCGTAGTTCCCGCGTATCGTAGAGCCGAAACCTGCGCTATTCTCCCTCAATTTAAAGGGCAGGACGCCTGTTTTCGGTTTTTTAAAGTTGAATAACGATAAAAGTTGATGGTATTCAGCTATGAAATTTTGTAAATAGTTGCGCGATGATGTCGGGAACGCGAAAAGAAGGTCCGCGAAAACTCGATTTTTTGGCGGATTTCCGGTCCCGAAGTGCCGCGTCCCCCCTTAATGATGTGCAGTAAAAACGATCTTGAACTTTTTGATGCCTTTTCAGAACATAAAAATACATCTATGAAGTCTAAAATGCACGTTGGCACCACAAGAAACTGCCGCTGTTTACTGAGCATGGAGGCTGCCATTGCCCGATAGCGATGGCAATAAGACTGCCCTGCTTTTGCCACTGGCTTATTTGTAAGCCACAGATAATCCGAAGCTGAAGGTTAGTTTCCTACACGCTGCTGCTGAGTGCAATCGCAAAACAATGCCTTTTCGAATGTCAGTGCTTTTGTTTATTTTTGCTGATGGCCAGTGTAGTGACCGGTCAGCCAGCTGGAGTTTGAAAAAATCGAATGTTGCACTTTTCGGTGTCTAAAGTTTCGGTCGTAAGATCGCATTACTTCAATAGGACGAGTGGCAGTGTTGCAAAGGTGTTTGAATAAACGGTTGGCCTTGGTGTATTGACTGACTAGAGAGGGCATGCCCAACACGTAGCAGTGAATTTAGTTATGCTACATTTTTCTGTTTGCTTACAGAGCAAGGAGTGGACTCTCGGCAGTGTGTCCTGTGCGGTCAGCCTGGTGACGACTCCTGCAATGTGAGTTGCCTTTGAAGTCGTTTACTAAGTCAGCCAAGAGAATACGAAGATTTGTGCTGGTTTGTGAGAACTATCATAAGACTAACGTTATTATATCTGCTACCATAGATGTTCGGTGCTTACCGCTTGCAGGTACATATCCACAGTGGTGGTTTAGCATCTGTGGTGTTGCACTGTTATGTGTGAACACCTGTGTCCAACTCCCAGCTATTGCAACTGTATTTCAGGGGGTGGGAGGGGGCAAAATGCGAGAACGGTTGCACACTTCGGTTTAGGTGCACGAAAAGGAGCCCCAAGAAGTAAAAAAATTAGAACACTTCTTGATGCACCATTGGAGCATTTCTTGTAATCATAGTTTTGGTGCATAAAACTTCAGAATCAATGAAAGTTTGTACTGATCCAATTCTGTGAGACTTGGAGACCATTAAACAACCCCCTAACCACTTCGAGCTCAGAATTTTGCTGAATAGTTGCTCCTTTATAACTCGTTTCTAGCTTTGTTCAAACAGTAAATTTTAGGTTCCAAGCGAATTCGAACAAATACTGATTTGGTTGAGTAATTTTGAATTGACTTCGAATAGTATGTATCGCGTATAATACAGAAAAATTAGCATTTTTTTTGTGACTCTACAGACCTGGTCAATATATTTTAAAAATTTGAAGCAAGGCGTGTGAATACAGTGGACTCCCAATAAACGAAACTCGCGTATACGAAAATGCCTCGTTAACGGAACTAAACAGGCTCATATGGCTGTATTTCTATGTGTTGCACTGTAAAATTTATCGGTTAATCGAAACAGGGCTTATTGGCCACCTACGGTTAAACGGCACACTCTAAACACAGCATAGACTCGCTCATGCCAAAGCTAGTCTCACAACCATGGCAACACCTCGGGATCGAGACAGCCAATTCAGTAGCTGTTCTCGCTTGCGGCTGTGGGAGCCGAGCCAGGCAGTCAATTGTGCGTTAGGCCTATTTGTGCGGCTGAGTGCCGTGGATAACGGTGTTATTTAAGCCTGATGGAAAGGAAGCGGCCGCACTATGCACCCTCGCTTGGAAAAAAAAAAAAAAAAAAAAGCTGCAAATTCTTCAGGAGCTCGATCGAAGCGGCTTGCCCAAGACGGAGGTGGCGAAAAAATACATCCCGAAATCGACGCTGTCGCGGATATGGAAAGACAGAAAAAAGATTGAAGGCACTGTTAAGAACGGGACCTTTACATCTAAATGGATGCAGATGACGTTTTATGAACAATTCGAAAAAGTTCTTTTTCTGTAGTTCAAGGGTGCACGGAGTTCCATTTTCAAGCGTGCACGGAGTTCCAGTTTGCCCATAAGCGGACCAATTCTTGAGCAGAAAGCTCGAGATATCGCTATGCAAATGGGTGTTGCGAACTTTGTCCTAAGCTACGGATGGCTCAGCCGCTTCAAAACACGCCATGGCTTAGTCTTCAAAGCAATCTCAGGTGACAGTGGTGCAGTCAACGGGGACATTTGCACTGACTGGCAACAGGGGAGGCTTAATGATTTTTTTATGATCTTTGATTCATGATATGTCTTCACTGTCAACGAGATGGGTCTTTTTTATAAGGCGCTTCTGTCATAGACTCACCTTCAAAGGCGAAGCCTGTTGTGGAGGAAAACACAGTGAAGATCACATCACTGTGCTGGTGGGTGCAAACATGGCAGGAGATGAGAAATTGAAGCTGTTGTTAATAGGAAAATCAAGGCACCCACGTTGTTTCAAAGGCGTTCGACACTTTGCCGTTGCGTACCATGGGAACGGAAGAGCGTGGATGGCCATGGCCATTTTCGAAAACTGGTTTCGAAAGGAAGACACAGAATTTACGAGGCAAGACAGGAAGGTTGTTTTCATCTTGGATAATTGCCCAGCCCACGGTCAGGTTCAAGGACTCCAAGTAGAGTTCTTGCCAGCCAATGCAACGGCAGTGATCCAGCCGATGGATCAAGGAGTTATTCAGTACATTAAAGTTCATTAGCGCAGACAATTGCTCCATCAAATGCTGCTAAGAGCAGGCAGCGGGAAATGCTACAGCATAGATTTATTGGCAGACATTCAGATTTTGGCTTCTGTCTAGGAGCAGGTGAAGCAACAAGAATACACAGATGCTTTCACTATGCTGGCTTTCAAGTGCAAGAAAGCAGTACCCGATGAAGAAGAAAGCCCTGCTCATGCCGACATTGAGACAGTATTCAGTCAGGTCGTGCCCTCTGCCCCTTTCACGCTGCAGGACTTTGAATGAATTGATGAAAATGTTCGTAGCTGTTGTGAAGAGACTGCCGAGGAAATGATTGCAGAAGTGCAAGTCGAGGATAAACCTTCCAGCGATGACTGGACAATACTGCCAGTGCAGTGGTGCCACCAGATCGATCAGCTAAAGAGGCTGTTGAACTTTCGCAGGGCTATTTCGAGCATGAGGCTTGTGCAGAATTTCTAGCCAGTTTGTCAGGCATGGGTGCGTACCTTGTGAAAAAACAACTCAAGCTGGCCAAACAGACCACTCTTCACTCCCTTTTCTCCTACTCATCCTCGTGAGTAAGGTGAGGTTTGTGCAATTTGACTAAAGGTCTTGGTTCACTAAATAAGGGTACTTTGCTTAAATGAAACTTCTGATAAACGGAACTACTTTATGGATCCCCTTTGAGTTCCGTTTAAGAAGAGTCGACTGTATGTCATTATTTTTGGATCAAAGGGAGTGAAAGCAACTTTGAATAGTAGCAGGATTTGACCTTCGACAGAATGGAAGTAATCACCTATAAATATGTTGCATTTTAAAATTTACTATACTTGGAGCATATAGCCTGGTACGTGCTCAGTGGTGGTCCAACTATGCCATTTTCCTACAATTCCATATCCCTGCACCTTGCTGTGCACATTCGAGTACAACTTGTGCAAACTGTGCCAAAGTTCACTAGTCCACCTAATTAGACGGGATTGGACTACTTAAAGGGCCACTCACCAGGCCCCATACCAAATTTTAGTTAGACAGTGGCAGTTGTTGGGTGTCCGATGAGGAACATTTTGCCACAAAGATTTTTCGAATCGTTTCATCACGAGCGGATAAAACAGGTTTTTTGAAGCGGTGTGAAACGAGGATGAGAGGAGGCGAGCTCGAAACCCTTGCCGCTCTTCCGCGTAGCCTTCGCAAGACAAATCTCTTCCCCACCCTCTCCGGCATCCTACCATGAGGTGACGTGCACATGACGGGCCCAAACAAGTCCAACCCTCGGAGCACAGCGAGCGGCGTTGCCTTGTTGACCAGCGTTATTTTGTAGTCGTCTGCCTGTTTCTGCGGGATGGTTTGGAAACGCTGGCTTAGACGCGGTAGAGTAGATGAGCACAATGAGTGCGCGAACGCGTAGGAGCGTTCCACGGTGGTCGTCTGCTCAATGCGCTGACCGCGGGAAACGCATGGGAAACGCTGGCACCTTAGCCCCGCATCTCGTAGCATTTCACGGAAAATAATGAAAAGAAAAATGCACACAATTTTTATTGCGTCTCATTATTTATTTCAAGTTTTATTAATCTCCTAAAGTAACAAATACATAAACTACGCATGCTGTGTTAAATAACTTTTGCCATGTCACGTGGTATACTGCTGACAACGTCAGAGCAGAGTCGTCTACGTAGATAACCAACGTCATTGCATTACCATGTACGTAGGGCCATTCCTACGTCCACGTCATGCCCTCATTCTCTAGGCGTGCGCCGGCAGAGGGGAGGGGGAGCAGCGTTCAGTCTTCAATTTTGACCCATTTCCGCGGCGCGTAGTGTTGCGAACTTTGGCGTACGTGATCATGAACGCCTCATCTGCGCATTGCGCTTGTCAGCTTAAAACTGTCAGACCTGGTGAGTGGCCCTTTAAGGCCCGAAAATATTCTTGGTGGCAACACTATTAGAGCTTTTCAATAATATTGCCTATGCCTCTCGGTCCATTCCAGCGATGCTCTTTTTGTCTTTTTGACATGTGAAACTGAGCTACACAGTCGGCCACAAATAAAGAACAAGTGCTCTCTTGCATATTGAACGCCGTTAGAACAATCAGTGTTGTTTTCAATTGGGGGAAAGAAAAACGAGGTCAGGGAGGTCATCTCAGTGTGCAAATCTTCCCAGCGGACTCCTTCCCAGGCCACTTGTTGTTTGCAAATCGCACATTGATGAGCGTTAAGTGGTGCTGCGAGGATTTCTCACTGTTCTTGGACTACCTAATGAGCCATGTGCAAATCTTCCCAGTGAACTCCTTCCCAGGCCACCTTTTGTTAAGCAAATCGCACATTGATGAGTGTTGAGGTGCACTGCTGTGGGGATTTCTCGCTATTCGTGGACTGTTTAAGGAGCCGTGTGGATGTTCTTCAAAACAGAAGTTTGTATTGCAAAGCAGCACTGTTAATTAAGTCTAGTCACATTGAGGGCAGAGGGGGGGTCGGCGGTGCTCGCTATGCCCCACTATGGTAATTGCGATTGCGAGTTTACGTGCAAGCATGTTATGGCGTCCCGTGGCGGCGTCATTGATAATTATGCAGTTCACAAGGCTCAATCCAGTCAGTGGTCGTGAATATGGGTGTATGGTATGGTTATATGGGCATATCGCATCATTTTTAGAGAGAAGAGGGGACTTCTAGCTGGCTTTGAGATTTAATTGCAAGTTCCAGGCGGTGTGCTGTGCATAATGCTTGGCTTGCATGTTCTCTGGAGCCTCGACTGCCGATTGGCAGCGTTTGTTGAACATGCTGAAAAAGCATTTCAGGGCTTATATTAAAGTGTGGATTTGAGGAATTTAAGGTGTCTAACGTTCTGTTGGTGTGTGTGTCGTTGATTTTGCAGAAGTCTGGCCGACTCTTGTATGCTGGTCAGGACAACTGGGTGCACGTCAACTGTGCGCTCTGGTCTGCGGAGGTCTTTGAGCAGGGAGATGGCGCTCTGCACCGGGTGCACTCTGCAATCTCAAGAGGGCGCTACCTGGTGAGTATGTGGCCAGTATGGTGTGGCCACAATTCACGCAACCTCAAGTTGCTTCCTTCCTATAAGTTATAATGTATTCTTTTTAAAAGATGAAAAATTTGTGAACACTGGTTGTCATTGGACCTAACGCTTCGTCAAGCGGATTTGTTTTCTTCAGGAAGACAAGTCTGCTTGTGAGAACATTGGTTCTGACGGCGCCCCGTGTTCACGAATTTTTCATCCCTTCAAGCTTCCATGTTTCCCCGAACTTTTGTCGTTAATGTATTCTTTAGTTGCAGATAATAACAGATTCTAAGAAAGCTAAATCACTCATTACGCAGTGCAACACTACGTGTTATGGACGAAGTGAAGTAAAAACAAGCATTACTGTATTTACTGAGTTGTAACATGACCATGATTGTAATAAGAGGGGTGACTTCGCTGCATCCAGGACGAAAGAAAAAATAGAATTCTTGTGTTGGAGTTTGACGTGAGGGTCGACATTGGATAGAAACCATTGGACCAAAAACTGGCATTACGTTAAGAGTAAATATAATAATTTAATGCATTTCCAGTTGGCTTTTTTTTTTTTTTTTTTTGCAACTGCCATAACAGAATCGCTGATGTTTATGATCTTCTTGACAAAATGCAGCGCTGCGAGGTATGTGGCATTGTGGGCGCCACGGTCGGGTGCTGCGTGCGGGGTTGTCCCGCCAACTTCCACTTTGGCTGTGCACAAGCGGCGCAAGCCGTCTTCCAGGCCGACAAGAAGGTCTTCTGTTCCTTCCATCAGGGCAACGTCAACCGTGAGGTGCGCTATAATATTCAGCTGTCTTAGCAACGTAGAGGTGCACACAGTGCAGAGGTGTCACGCTGAGCATGCACAGAATGTTGTAGTGAATCATATCCAGACAGGAAATAGGCATAGTGATGGGGCAAGATAATACACTTGCGTCCGGATGTCTTCTTCCTAATTTTCAGAGCCATTTCGGACATAGGTGTGACGATTTTAGCCTTTAAGGTTGTGTGAAAAGGCATGAATTGCTTCTTTTATGTCTACCCGACTTTTCAGATAACTTTGCAGACTCGGACATTGACGGCAGCTGAACTTTCATTCTGGTTTTATTTGTACTTTTCTTTAGTGCTTTTATCTCTTGTAAACTACATTTTTGAGGTGCAAAGAGCGGATGTGTGTTTTTCTGGCTGTTGCTTGTGCTGAATTCTCGGGTTGGTGTTTGTATTCTTGTCAAATACAGAAATGGGTTGCCCCTTGTGCAGGTGGTTGAAGGGGACAAGTTTTCTGTCTGCCGTGCTGTCTACGTGGACCAGCAGGACGTCAACTCCAAATGGCAAAAAGCGTGGGAGGCAACTCTTGCCCAGGAGATGACAGTCATCGCAGGTGGCATGACTAGTACATTTGTTTTGCCCGCGTGCCTAACGTAGCTTGTGGTTTCCTTTGCATTGCCTTAATAACCTTGTCGTCATTCTCGGTTCTAATCGCTTTTGGGAATGGTTGAAGGCATCTCCGCAACATTTGCAGTAAAGAGTGTTTTCGTTTTGCTCAGTGGAAAGCTAGTTAGGCAAGTCTCTGGCAGGGGACTTAATCCCACAGTGCACCTAATTAGGATTTCTACGATATCCCTTGGCCTTCAAAACAGTGGACGGCTTACTGATGGCATCAGTGGCGCAACATTTCACTAAACCACCACTGCGACCACGGCAGCTCACGTCTACGGTGGTTGCGACTGCGGTGGCTTGATTGTCCTGTCAAAAAGGAGAAATTGTCGGTGGCATGTTGTGGAGTTGTCCTCACTTGTCCGAAACGCAATTCACAGTGTGTTTTGGTATTTTAAAGTTCAGTTGATGGTAGCTTTTGCTTCTTTACCTCTGAGGCTCATAACATATTTGTCACTCGTGGAAACCATGGATGCCTCTTTAAACTCTGCGTCATGGTCACCTTTCTCTAGGAGTCTGTGTGTCATTTGGTCCCTACTAAGTGTCGCTTTTTGTGTGTTTATGCAGGGGCCATGACGATTGAGTGTCTGGGATACTTGACAGAGGCGTCGGACCTTGAAGATGTCCTTGTTCCAGTCAACTACAGGTATAGATTTTTCCACTCCCGATTCTGACAGCAGCAATGGCCTGTTTGCTTTAACGAACAGTATTTTTAGTTTGAGCAGTGGTACGGTGACTAGCATTGCTAAAGTTTGCATCTCCCAGAGTTTCTAATGCAGAAATAAATTATGCTGTGAAAGATAAAGAACTGTGCACCTGTGAAAGAGCAAATTTCTCTTGTAGACTCTCTTTTAACTCAGCTGCGGCATCCTCATTCATGCACTCGTTAGCATATTTTCAGGCTGTTGGTTTGGTTGGTTTCTATGTGGCAATGTGCGCAGGTTGGCGACACCCTGCACTATGTCGCTTTCTCTGGTCTCTTACACTGCCCTAACGTGTGCATCCCGGTTTATTATGTACTGTGTAATACATACTACCCCACTGACACCTCACTATTCCGACAGAAATGCCGCAGTCACTGCACTGACGAACACGGTACACTCTCTCCCCCCTCTCTCGCTACTGGTCTCCGTCACTGTAGCACCATTGCCACTGTTTCCCCTCTGCCCTGTCTGTTTCCATTCTTGTCCACTCGCTGTATCCTCAGTATGTACGTAAACTGCCCGGGGTTGTCCCCCTGGGATCGCATGCGGGAGATGGGGCTTTGCTGTAAATAATCTTGATGTTTCGCTTGCACGGTGCAGGTGTCGGCGCATGTTCTGGAGCACCCAGAACCCTAGGCAGAGAGTGGTGTATGTGTGCCGGACATACGAGGTGCGCCCGCCACGTCCTCCTCCGTGCGAGGAGGACTGGGGTGCAAATGTGACCACTGCACACGACGACACGCCTCCCGGCGTGAATGAATTCGCGCAATGTGATATTTCGTCTGAAAACTGTGATAACACTGGTGGTGGGCTCACCGTGCCGACAAGTGAGTGTTTGCCCGCTTCCTCGTCTGCCCCCGATTTGGACGACCTCGACGCCAAGATCCTCGATGAACTTGCTAGGTGTGTCCAGAATAGTGACAGCCAGATGGACTTTGCTGAGCTGCTGGAGAACATATCTAGGTCCTGTGACCCAGCAGCTGCTTCCGTTAGAAATTCTGGTGGAGGTGGCGGCAGCAGCAGTAGCAGTAGCAGTGTGGCACCAACAGCCAGTGTAAATAGTGGTTGCAGCGAGTCTGCAGAGGCAGCGACATCGGCAGCACCTCCTGTTGTGGCCAACCAGTCATTGACAATGTGTCAGGACAAATCAGTGAGGAGTGTTGATGTGGCAAAATGCGAGGCAGCTACTGCCTCTGTGGTTGGTGGTCAGGACCAGCAGCCATTTCATCAGGACAGTGTTCATGGGGCCGCTGAGGTACCACCAGCGCCTGCTGTGCCCATGCCTGAGGCACACATGACGGTGCAGAGCAATGGACAGCAACTCGGTGGCAGTGGTGAAACGTCGTCGTCTGTATTGAAGTTTGTGGCAAAACCAGTGAAACAGCAGCAGCAAAGTGTGTGTGGGTGCACCTGTGAAAACCGGACTGCCAAGGCAGCAGCTAGCAGACTGGCCATGACGCCCACCCGGGTGCGATCGCGGCCGCCTGCTTCCCCCAAGATCATTCTGCCCAAGGTGCCAGGTTCCCAGTCTCAGGGTTGCCAGCAGAGGTCCAGGCACGCCCCCTGCCAACAGCAACCCCACCAGCATCAGCCGCAGCATCAGCATCACCAGCATCAGCATCAGCAGCAGCAGAGAGCAACTGCAATGGTTCCACCAGCCTTGCAGGCCCAGTCAACATGCCTCGGCATCCCCCCCGTGGCCGCCACGCAACCCTTAGTCAGCTACTCCCCATATGCCTACAACTTTCCTATGATAAACCAGTTCCCATCGACCATTAACATGACGAGCGTGAGCTGCGACAAGTTTGAGGTGTATGAAGTGCCCGGTGGCACCATCATCATACCGCGGCAGCACTACCGACTCGAAAATTGTGTGTCTACACTGAGCATGGCAGCAGCAGGGGCTCAAGTAGCCTATCTTGGCTCGCTGCCACTAGTGGCGGCGCCATTTATGCAGCCGGCAGCGCCGCCACTCGCGTTTATCGGTGGCCTCGGAGGCCAAGCTGCGGCACCTGTAATGCCACTTGCCTTGCAGTCGCCTGGTGTGTGCGGCCAGGTGCCTCTCGTCACGGGTGGCGGGCTAGTAGCGAATGCAGGTGTCATGGCCCCCAGCGTAGCCTCTGCGGGGCTTATGACGTCGGTCACCAGTCAGACCTCTGTGGTGAACACCGGTCCAATGCCAGGTACTAGGTCTAGCTCAACGGCCAAGCGTGTTCCTTGTTACGCGAATGCTCACCGCAACATGCTCGCCCAGAAGCAGAGCGCCAAGGCAGCCATGATGCGCAAGCGGATGCTGCAGTCTGGTAAACAAGTCACAAAAGCTATTGTGGCCCAAGGCCAAGCATTTGTGGCTCGGGAACGGTGTGCGAAATGTCTTGTTCTGCCAGTGCGTACGGCAGCCGCTGCCACTGCAGGAATCGCTGCTCCGGGGGATGCCTTAAAAGTTACACCCGCGGCCACCGCTGCATCTCAACCGGCAGCCTCTGTGGCCACGCCCACAAGCACGACTTCGGCTCCGCCTGCAACAGTGTTGCCAGTGGCGGCGCAAGCACAGCGCAGTGTCCCGTCCCCCGAGGTTTACCCCGAGCCGGACTCGTCGACGGAGTTCCTCAGTGGACCGGGGCGCGTGTCGCCAGTGCTTCTGCCACCGCCGCAGCCACCGTTCAGCCCCAGCCCTCAGGAGAGCCCTCGAGGTGCTGGTGACTCCGGTTCTCTTGGTGCGGAGTCCATCTTTGCGCTGCTGCAAAAAGCGGCTCAGCGCATTCTGCAGGATGGCTGGCCGCCCGACACCGATTCTGATCCATGCCCACCGACATCATCTAATGCCATGCCACCAGACGGCAAGGAACCTGTGCATAGCACGGTGGGAATTCTCCCTCCAGCAGTGCCACAGCGGGAGGAGGTGCGCTCATCGCACTTTGACAGGCCCTACATTGTCTACGAGATCAGCAGCGAGGATGGCTTCCTGCACTCTTCACCCAATGCACACGGTACGAGATACTTTTTACTGTTACGAAGTTTAACCTCTTGCTGCTTGTTGCATGCTCAATGCCATGCGCAGGTGCTCACGAAGTAATTCGAAATTCCGGACAAGTGGCTGCTTAGCAGCAAAGTGTGCTATTTAAAGAAAAAAAAAAAAAGAAAAGGAAGTTGTGTGTGCCTGTGCCTCCAGCTAGCAAGTCAAACACTAGTTCATGTAGAATGGCATTGCCTTAGCCGGTAGGATAGTGCTAGGTGCCTCATAGCACTTTTCAAAGGCAGGGCTTTGAGAGTGCTAGTCACAGCTCATGCGCCATAAATAGTTCTGCCCAATCAGGCACGTAGTGCCAAAGAAATAAATGGTGCTCATTGTCACAAAAGCTAAAGGGCGGTCGAGCAGACCAATACGTGGGCACACATGGCATGTCGTAGACTTCATCCACACAGCCTTCTATTACAGCACTAAGATGCATTTATAGCTTGATACGACACAACACCATTTTAAATCATTAGAGAGCTTGCTTGGACCGTAGACCTATGGCTGTATTGCATTATAGGTGTGCTCCACTAAGTAGCGAGCTTCTGTCCGACATTCAAAATTACACTTAACTTCATTATAAAAAAGATGTATCTTGGAAGAAAATAAGGTCATTATAAAAAGCACTCTCAGTTAATGGAAATCTCTTAAACGGACCTGCTGCTTACACGGTACAGCTGCCTCTAGCACAGTAGGTTTTGTACCTGAATTCTGCATCCCTGCTCATCTCTCTGTAAACGGAACTCCTGTTGAACAAAACACATTGTCCTGGTCCCTTCAGGTTCCGTTTATTGGCGCTACTGTATCCGAAAATTCGTTATAAAGATTTATTCCTAACACTGAATCTATTGCAAGAGTAATTTTTATTTGCTTTGTTACAACCAATATTTCGTTATATCCATGTTCGTTATTTATTAAGGTTTGAATGTATTCTGTGAGCACCTGTGCTTGGTCTTGAGGTTGCCTTGCGTGGTTTGTGAAGTAGGTTGTTTTTTGGCAAAGGAATTTACATGGTGACAAGTGTACTGTGGCACTATCAATATTTGGTATCCTTGTTGCCTCAATTGTTGGAACGGCTGGGCATTAAAAATGGACGATCCAGAGTTAAAACCCCCTACCAAAGTGACTTTTTAGTCAACTAAGAAGCTTTTCTATCCAAGAAATCTGTGTGGATTTTCGAGTAGCTTTGTGCTACAAACCAGCAGGTGCCAATTTTTTCTTTCAGAATACTCGTGATTTACCGGCTTTTTGAAACATACGTATGTTCTTTTTGTAAATATCTGTAGTGTTTTACAATCCATCAAGGTCATGACAGAGGGAATTCATGGTTACATAAGCCTATTTAAGAAATGTAACTTGAAAACCACCTATTAGTAGCACAAAGCCAAAAGAAAATCCCTATGGATTTCTCAAAAAGGAAACTTCGTGCTAGTGGGTGGCTGTCAAGTTCCTTCTGCCACATTATGGGATTCTGCAAAACCTATTTCAGTAAACATTTGTGCTGTTTTGCTCCTAAGTTCATGAGAGTTTTGTGCTCACTCTTATATTTTTTTTAGGACATGCTTTGTTGCATTAACCTACTTTGACAATTCATGAAAGGCACTAGTGCCACCCATTACAAAAAAAATTTGCTGTTTATTCGCCAGCTTGCTTCACTTCATCCCTAGTGTACTTTGCAGCGATGCTGCATTTACAGTCAAAGCTCATCACTTTGAGAGAGTGCACTGGCTAATGCCTGCTTTATTTCTTGTTTCTAAGTAGGGCCTTTTCAATATTTGAGCGTGAATAGAGTGTTAATTAGATGATTAGTGGTAGTGTTAAATGACTTCAGCCTGATTCTGGTGTTATTGGCGTTAAATTTTTATTTTTAACATTGGTGCTATAATACCATACCTAGCCTTCAATTCCACTTTGAAGTGTGGTTTCAGGGGCCGAATTGAGAAAAAGTCATTCGTAAGTATGCTTAGCCATTGGATGGCTGCCTTTGCTAATAAGTAGAGACTGACTAGCGTTGGCAAATGCCTATTTGCTGCTGGATGCCAGGGCCTCACTGTTTTGTTGCTTCAGCTGAAACTTCGAGCAAAAAAATGGTTTACAAATGACTTTCGTATGAGTTAAAATGCTTGTTTGTTGCTTATATGAAAATGTCTTTCTGAAAGAAAAGAGCAAATGAGAAATGCTTTTGTAATGCTCTTTTTGTTTCAAAAGTATATTAAGTTTGCTTGTAGTGGTACCGGTAGTATTGAAATGATAGACACGATTGGTAATGACTGAATATGTGACGGTGCGACTTGGACATTAGAGCTATTGTGGTCAGCTTTAGTCACGGAGCAAGAAAGACAGGCAGGGGAAACTTTCTTTGGGCCGGCGCCAGCGCCAGCACGTGCCTTGATAATGTCACCCTGGGAGTGGAGGTTGGGGCATGTGCGCGCAGCGATCCTTGCGGCGACGCACAGAAGTATTCGTTTTCTGCCGTGGTAGGAGAGAGCGCGCTCCCCCGGCTCCCGCGGTCTCTGACGGTGCCCGAATGTGGTCTGCTACATTTGCTTCTCGCCGACTCCACTATACTATGGGATGCAGCTATGAAAGTTTTTTGCTGGCGCGGTTTGCCAAAACAAAATGGAAGCAAGTAGAACGTCTTAGTGCTAGCATTTTTCATTATATATGTTGGATCAGATTCTCTGCGAACAAAGAAAGAAATGAAGTGGTAGAATTAAAAAACAAAACAAAGAACAGACGATCAGTAATCATTGCTAGGCGCGTCCCTAAAATCATTCATTGTGTGGCTTGAGGATGGATTTTGCACATTCTTCACTATAACTGCGTCATACAAAACTACTGCAGTGCGAAAGAAAGAGATTGATGAAGCACTTTTGAGCAGACTGCAATTGATTTGAACAAAAGAGCGGAGACTGCCTTGAGCTGTGGATCAATTCTGCGTTAAAAAAGAAGCTTGACGTTGCAACGCTCCGTCTGACCAAGAACAGTAGCAAGAATGGACGAGGGCTATATGAAGAGGACATAGACAATGGAAGGGAAGCGACTGCGCCTAGGAAAATTATTTTCGCAGCGGAACGGACGGCAGACGCAACACTGCGCTAAGTTTAAATTTACAGTCATCTCTGACCAGCCAAAGATCTTGGGACTTGCTGAAGTGGCGCCTTAAGTTTTTGAGCGGAGGCTTAACTTACTCGCGCCCATAAAAAGAAGCCAAGAACGGGCAGAATATCGCTGAAATTACCGATAAAAGCAGCACCAAACGAGCGAAGGTAGAGGATACTCGTCGCGAGTCGGAAGTCTTTGGCGAATATTTAACCAACCTCCAAACTTCCAGGTAAACTACATCACGAAAAAGCGTGGTTCTCAGTTTTACATGTTTGGTTGTTGTAGCTTGGCATGAACGATTGGTTCTCAAGAAGTTCCAACATAAAACAGCTTCGGGAGAGAGTAGGACACATGCAAAAAATGTTTTTTTTGTTGCTGTTTTTAAAATTTTTCTTTAATGGGGCAGACTGGTCTTTGGGACCAAAAGTGACAAAAGAATGCATTTTTTAAAATTGGCATATTTGGTTTCTGCAAGTATTTTTCTATCTCTCTGCAAATTTTCACACATCAGGAAGTGGTAATTTTTTTGTAATATCATTCTACCTGTCCAGATTCCTGTTGATGTTAACATGCAGAACCTGCAAAAAAAAGGGGGGAACAGACTTTAAGGCTTCTTTACAATTTGCCGGGACCTATGTTAGAAGCTCTGCTATGAATTTATGAGCACCTTTATGAGGAATGCAAAACATGCACCCATGATCGTTGTTTTTTGAAGGTGGATGTGTGTTTTCAGTTTTTTCCATTTTTCTCAAAAAAGTAAATTTACGACTGTTCAACATTGAGGCCTCAATATCTCTGCAGCTAGGGCAGGTACAACTATAATTATTTTTGCAGTGTAAACCTGTATTTGTTTAGAATGCAAGTATAGGAGCAGAATTTAGAGCACAAGCCTTTTTAAAAAAATTAATTACTCATCAAAATTGTTACGAAATTCCAACTGCTTTTGAAAATGGATAGTTCATTTTGCTGTAAAATAACCAAGAAAGGCCCAAAAACAGAAGAAAAAAAACTCTTGCATGCTTTTAATCTATAGTCATAAGTCCATGTTGGCATATCTTAAATATCACTTCTAGTTGAGCACTTTTTTTATGGCAGCCTTAAACAATATGAGGTGAACTTTTATCTTGGGAACAAGATGAGTGACAGGAAAACTAATGAAATATATGAAATCGGCAGAAAAAAAGCTGCATGATCCTGTGCAGTTTGATCAAGATTACTGAAGAAATAAACAAAAAATGTCTAAGACCAGTCTGCCCTCTTAATATGAAAAGCCTCCCTGTATGTTTTTTTTTTATTACCGCATATTGTATGCCTTGTTCCCAAAAATAATATTTTTACCTTCGCATGCGAAGGTGGAAGAGTGAAAGCGAACCTGTTTAGTGCTTGTGGACAGCTTCGTGAAACTATCGCAGTATGGTCTCTCTCGCAAGGCGATCTGGCTAGCTTAGCGAAAACTCGTCGTAACGATTTGCCGTCTCGTTTAGCGAGTGTGTCTGAGCTATGCACTGATACACTGAGCAGCAAGCACAAGCGTGCAAGCAGACAACGCTTCTCGCGTCTGCTGTTTCGGCGTGGAAGTTTGGCCGCGGCTCTGTAGGTGGTTCTGTCGCAACGTTCGCCGCCGCCACTCTGGGGGGGGGGGGGAGGTGACACAATCGTGGCGCGAAAAGGAGCAGAGTTTCTCCTCCTGTCTATTGTTCCTCCGTGGCCTTAGTTGAACTTTTTAGGGCCTTTTGGTATCTGCCTGACAATTGTTAAAAATACGGGAGCAAGCGTCCACACTGCTGGAAGTTGTTTCAGACATAAGGGTGCTGAAATAAAGAAAAGAAAAATATGTAGTGTAGACCTCAGTGGCTGGCTGTGTTCTGAAATAGGAATTTCGTTAGGATTATAATTTTAAAAAAACAGAAGGGGGTGTTAAATTACTTGTTTTTGCTTCATAGCTCAAGGTGTTACGTAGAAATACATTTCTTGTGATATCCCGATTATTTTTCATAGAGCAAAGCGTTAAGTGAGTGTGTCACTTTATAGCTGCTGCCGTTGAAGCCTCCTGCTGACATGTCGCCATTTGCCTTGCGTCTTTTTTAACTTTTGTAGAAGTATGGCGATACCTTTTTGAAAAGCTTCAGGATGCTCGTGCTGGTGCCAACATGCAACCCTTGACTAATGATGGTAAGCGACATTGTTCTCACTGCATTTCGTGTATCCGTTTCTTGTCTCTGGCATACCTCGCTCGTGAACTTTACTGCACGAATGTATGAACGTGAGATTCAGATTTCGGACAGGGGCGCATGAAGAAAGTGATGACGGCAGCTAGCGTTGTAATAAAGATGGTGACCATGGCCTAGCCGCGATGATGATGGCACTGCGGTAAGAACATGGCAGGTGCATGTGTCATAGTTGTCGGCTGCGATGTTGAGTACGGAGTTTTTGCCTGAACTTACTTCCCCAATCAAGGCAACATGAATAGGACAAACAAGACGTTGGCCCGGACACTAACACTGTAATGGTCAAATGATACTCCATCATGGTAGAACAGCAGTTATGGTGCTTGATTATGTGTTCGAACCAGACCGCAGCGATTGCATTTCAACGAAGACGAAATGGTAGAGGCTCATGTACTGTGCAATGTCTGAGCACGTTTAAGAATACCAACCAGATGGTGGAAATTTCCAGAGCCCTCTACTACGTCCCTCATAATCATGTCATGGTTTTGGTGCGTAAAACCCCAGATGATAGGTCGCACCACGCAGTCTTTATTAATTAAGAATTTAATGAAGTACTCCATAACTTCAAAGTATTATCCCAATCTGTGTGATCTATAGGAATGGGCACATGAGAAATCACAAAGGTGGAACAGCACACACTTGTGAAGGGCAATTTATTTGAGTTTTCATAATGTAATTGGAGACATTCCAGTCAACCGGTCATGTTATGGTTTTAATAAAGTGCCTTACTTTGTCTTATTCATGTGATAATGCTAACGCCTTGCAGTGCGTGAGGTAAGCCACGTCTTGGGTTTTGCTAGCTCTCTTGCCTTAACAGAGATGGTTTGCAGCCGTCAAAACTTTTGCACTTGTTGGATCACTAAAATAGAAGTTGCTCAAGCTGAAACCTTATGGCAGTTTTTGTTTGTGTTTGACAGGTGCTACGAGAAAGGTTATTGAACTGTATTCTTCACATGGAGCGTGTGTCGAATTCTGATGCAGAGGGTCTGCGCTAAGATATCAGACAATGAGTCTTTGGAGCGATGCAAAAGACATTTTTTTTGAGTTGGTCGTAATCCTAAACTCTAAACAGCTAAAGTGATACTGACACCATTTTTTTAGGATGGGGAAGGGAGGGGGGGGGGGTGATGTTCATGCACCATAAGCCTCCTGTATGCAGAGGACAGCTCTGAGCAGGTGTGAAGCTTAGCAATTGCTGGGAATGATATTTTATTTTGACATTAAAGTCAGTTTTACCATTGTGCACCTACCAACGTGGACACTTACTTGATATCTGGGTTACAGTGCAAATTTTGGTGGCTTCACGAAGCAGTCTGGTTAGCTGCGATGACGATAGGCACCAAACTTCCAAAATGGCTGCTTGTGCCACAGTCACCAGCGGAGCCACGGTGCCAAATGGCTATGGAAATGTCACGTTATCCTGCACGAGCACGTGACAAGAAGCGCATATTATGTAGTGATGTCAGGGTACAGTAGGAATTGAAATTAGCTTTCAAAAGCACACTGTACGTACTTTTTGAGGGTGCATTCATACTTGGCAGTACGTTTTACAGGCTCTTGAGCGCTTGACCTTTCATTTGACGCTGAAAAGCAGCAAGTGAAATTTTTCTTGTCAGTACCCCTAGCAGTTTTTCCCAGTAATGCAATGATTACTTGAAAGTTAGTCATTAATCTGAGTAACAATTGTGTGCGTTCATCAGTTTACCGATACATGTAGCTTCAACTCAAGGTCTGCTAATGTGTCACTACGATAGACATTGAATATTTATTAACCCTGAAAAATTCCCAGTTGAAAATGCCCACTCGGGATTTGGTATGTGGGCATTTCAGCCACACTTGGCGCAAGTAACTGGCATAGCTCGAAGGAGGTAAAAAGAGTTCAGCCTCCCCCCCCCCCCCCCCCAAAAAAAAATTTCTATTTTGCATGTTTATATGTACACATGCAAACACATGTACAAATATACATGAGTTATAGTTGAAATCCCCCCATCCTTCAAAAAAAAAAAAAAGAATTTTTATCTGTGCTATTGGTGGAATTGCCTGGAAGCATGCAGCAATCAGTCTTAAAAAGTTTGGAGAGCCCCTTTCCAAGTGTAGAATCTTAAATATCCCACAGGCTCAGTGTGATAAATGTTCAAGTTGATGTTGATGAGGTTTGATGTTGGTTATTTTTCACTTGGTATTGTATACTTTCATTTGTCTTGAACTTGCAGTGGAACTGCTCCAAGACATTCAGCAGCAAAAGGCTTACATAGCTTTTAAAGTCTTCTTCCAAGTGTAAAACCTGAGGATCCGACAGACTCAGTGCAATAAGATGTTGAAATTGATTGGCAACTTGCATCTTGATTGACCGCAGAAGATTGAGTGCTTGGAGCACATTCGCTTCGTTCTTTCAGATCACCGCATTAGCTTGTAGCGCTTTGAGTATGATCCAGATCTGGCCAAATTGAATTGAATTTGTTTACAGTTGACTTGCAAGGATGACCAGACAATAAAAGCTGCAATTAGCAGCTGGAGGTTAATGTGGCCACCTCATACGAAGCTCAACTTCACAGTGGGCAAATAGAACTGGTTAATGCGTGTGCGTAAGCAGTTATGGTTCAAATGACTGACAGCGTAAAAAAAATGTCACAGCTTTGCTGCAAAGGAGATGCAATGAACGCAATAGAAATAAATTGGAAAGTCACGCGTAGAATGGCAAGCAGATGGGAACGTGCCCTGCGTTTCTCACGTACAAATGACGCATGAAACATACTCACAGTTACAGATGAACGCGAATAAGAGTCTCAGTTGCTATTTCGATGTGTCTGAAAAGCTCGCTCTTTTCCCAAAAGAAGGCTTTGCAACGATTGTAGTGACCCTTGTGCACCCCGTAACTAGAACAGAATCGTTCCAGTGCAAGCCCAATGCCAGCTAAGACGTATGATCCTCCCCACTGGGCGCGCGAGAGATCATACACTCCCCTCCTCTTTGCGAGCCAAAGTACGTGATAGTTCAGAGCCGCCCCATGCTCATTGCGCCATCTTGCTGATAATCCTGAAAACACACTAGTCCCCCCCCCCCCCCCCCCCCCCCCGAGATGTCTGCCATTCATGACTCGAAGGTCCCATGTTCGATTTTGCGTGCCGGACTCTTTTTTCCGGATTGTTTTCTTTCTTCTCATATATATATATATATATATATATATATATATATATATATATATATATATATACATCACATACATACACGATGAATGACATCGACACGCCGATGCCAGCGGCGAAATCCAGCCGAGAGTGTCCATATAATTGCTATCGCAATAAACAGACATTTTGTGCGGCCGTAACAAAGATGGTTGATCAAACAAAACAGGGACCTCTTACACGAGTATCTACAGTCATACAAATATATGTTATAGATCCTTTAAATTTAGAACAAATATGTTTAGGTTATATTCTTTTTACATGTGGTTTAATAGTTTCAGCTAAGAAAATTTTGCCTCATACTTTTTCTGGCTCGCATTCAGAAGCAGGCTCTGCATGTTGGAGTCTGTTTCTGGGTGATGTCTGCAATCGCTGTCTTCATTAACTGGCTTTTGCTTCTCATGCTACGCAGATGTGGACGGTTTTGCCCTGATGGGTCTCACGCACAAGGCTGTTGTGTATCTCACTGAGCAGCTGCGAGGGGCTGACAACTGTGAGAACTACATCTTCAAGTACCACAAGCGCAACAGCACCAAGGCAAGTTTCGTGTGCACGGGTCTGATAAGAATTGCTCGCTAAATCTGCTTCTAAATCGGTCGGCCCCACTTTCATGTCACTGTTGATGCAAGAAGTGATTGACTTGGCGTACTAAGCGTGGCATGCATACCAGACTATTCTTGATAAACGACGAAACAGCTTGTTCCTTCTGAAACTTTCTACGCAGTGGTGCGTTATGTAGCACATAGAGCTTAGTACAACTTATTAAAGTGTGTTACTCATGTTTTGTCTACGATGTCTCTAAAAGTATCACACCAAAATTTTCTATTTGGTTCTACAAAACAGTTCTTCGTTTCGTGCATAGCATTTCAAGTGGGTAAATTATTCTACAATACGAGGATTGGCTAATGTTTGAAAAATTTAAGTCACCTGTTTGCTCTGAAACAGTTACTTCATGGAAACATGTTTGGGACTTTAAACATTTGTGTGGTTCATGCTTTTGCAAATATACTACTGTGCCTATAAACATTTGTGTTGTTCATGTTTTTGCTAATATACTACTGTGCCTAGTAGTATTGGCATATTACGTGTGGTTTCTTCATTTTCTGACTTCGCATTGCTATTTTCTTTCCACAAAAGCATTCAAGTTGGAGTTGACAATACACCGTTTCTTTTTCATGTGATAGGCACTTGTTGCTGATATTTTGTCTCTTGTTTCGTGAGCCCGGCTGAACAACTATTTAAATGTGCAACAGTCGTTAGAGGATGCAGATGTTATTACGCTCATGACAAATGCATAAAATGTCCAGCAGTGCCATTCGAACTTGAAGTCAGAGCATGAAGATTAAGTGTCCATGTTGACATGGCAAAATTACATTTCTTAGTTGAAACTATACAGCACACAGAGTGACTTTTCCAGTTCTGACTTCCGAAGATTCCTAGTGAAGTCGTGGAACATTTTCTGGCGGGATATATTTAGGTGCATGTGTGCAGAATGGCACTTATGTTCATGGTGAGAGGAAAATGGGGAGCTGGCCTCCTGCTGGTGCCACCCCAGTCTGGCAGCAGTGTGTCTCAGTTCCATTGCTTTTCTAGCCAGAAACACTGTCTATCTGTACAGTGCTGTACAAATGCAGACTGTAGTGCTGTGCAAACATGTATGTAATAGCTATATTGCACGCTGCAGCTTCCAGAGAACCCATCAGGCTGTGCCCGACTAGAGGGCTTCAAGTCACGGGGACACCATGACATGTTCAAGTTCCTGGCGTCTGCACATCGGTCGCCGCCTTGCTACGACCCGAGCAGCGACAATGGAGATGAGGTGGAGGTTCTGCACAAGTCGTCGCGACGCCTGACCAGCTTGGACCTTCCCATGGCCATGCGCTTCCGGCACCTCAAGAACACGGCCAAGGAGGCCGTTGGTGTCTACAGGTATGCCCTGCTGCAAGACACTCCTGACCCTCCAGATACAATATATGAGGGACAGACATAGATGTAGCATACATGATGTTTGGTCCTTGAAGGTAAGCTAAAGTGCCAGGATTGTAGCGAAAAGCCACATTCTGCCTGGTTATATTTGGCAAGAAAGATTTTATTTATTTAAAAGTTCTATCATAAGAGTGGGTTTGAGCCTGCACGTAGTAAGTGAGAACTGAATGTGTGTCTTAAAGTCGTTATAATTCATCAAAGCAAGCTGAAGCGCTCCGCTTGCTCACCACAGAGTCTACGTGCATGGTCTTCTACGTTCAAATGCAACTGCCCACTCCAAAGTTTCGTGTTCTCTTTTATAAACAACGTTCTCGAGCTATGTGTTTCGATTGAATACTTTTATTTCGCGTTAACTTCCCTGTTCTTTTTATATGAACAGGTTCTTGTTGTCATCAGCTTACCTTCCCTTCCTCGTAGGTCGAGTATTCATGGAAGAGGGCTGTACTGCAAGCGCAACATTGATGGAGGAGAGATGATAATTGAGTATGCCGGAGAAGTGATCCGAGCAGCCCTCACGGACAAGAGGGAGAAGTACTACGAGAGCAAGGCGAGTTGCCGTCCTCGTCTCTTCAAGGTCGCTCCGAAAGGGGCCTGTTCGTGGTTCTTTCCATAGAGTCTCCTAAAATTAACTACCAGAGGGGACTCTGGTGCTGCAATCGTTGGCCACTATGAGAAATTTGCCTAGTCTTCGTGCTTGCGAGCTTCGAACGCTCTTGTGGCTTGGTTTGTTGTTGTGTTTTGGTTTTGTCTCGTATAAAAGAGTCGACTGTTGTGAATTTCGTGCGCCAACTTGAGTTGGCGAGCCTGAATAGGTCATGGCGGTGAAGCGTAACTGCTATACCTTTGTGTAACTTAGTCTTGCGGCAAATGGATTCAAGCCACCTGGAGCCAAACGACTAAAAGAACAAAAGATTACACAAATCTGTGTACTACCCATCATTTCCATGCAATCCGAAGCGCCATGCGTTGCAGCTTCCACAGACACTAGCTCGAGAGTTCCCTCTGTTGTACTTAATGGAAACTCCGTGGTTCTTTCTACTTGCTTATTGGCTGACAGAATGGCAGGAATGGGAACACTGATATAAATGACCATTGGGTATGAGACACCAGTGCGTCTGCGCTAAAATACGAGTTTATAGAAAAAATGTATACGTGGAAGCCTGCTTATAAGAGACATCTCGTATAAAAGACACGAATTGTCGTTCGAAGCATGCCTGATTCAAAATACAAAATATGCTTATTTTGTATTCAGAGATCCTTAACAAGTGCAAATAAACCGATTCGCTCACAGTATAATAAAGAACAAGGTTTGAACTACTTCTTTTGCAATTTACCGCACTTCATTTCGCATGAAAATAGTCCACGAACTTGTCTTGCTTTTTGTGCGCCATCACGCCACTGTGTCATTTTTCATACCATTGAAGTTTTCTGAATGAACAAATTCAGCACTTTCGGTCATAACAGCAGCGATTGACACCGAACGCCGATGCAAGCTTTGCAGCGTGGTAAAAGGTTGGTTTGCAGTAGTGAGCAGCATTGGCATTTTCATAACCGCGCGGTACTTGCCGCATTGCACCTCCGCGGCACCACTAACATAAGCCTTGACTGTGGCATCGATGCAGTCAGAACAGCTACATCATCACCTGCACTGATGAAGTCACTTGTTTTCAAGATGGTGCCCAAAAGCACTAATAAGTCACGAAGTACACTAAGGCACTGTGCGCAGTTGTCAGTGGTCATGATGCACCCGAAGTCATCCTCTTGGTACTAATGCCCAAGGGGAAACAATTCACGACAATGCTTTGCTTGACGTCACTCCAAGCACCAGTGATAATTTTTGTCGCTGCAAGTGGGTAAATGTTTGGTCGACTCCTGGCTGACGATATATCGGGAACGAGGCGAGAAGTACGCAAGTCCACAAGCCACAACCAACAATGGTGCCCACAAACAACAAAGGAACAAGTCCCCACCGTCGACACGGTGGTGAAAGCGATGTCAGTGTGGTTCTGCAGCAAGCAGCTGCTTCTTTGGCAGGGAAAAAAAAGCAAGAAAAAGTGTAGCCTCAGAGATGCGTGTTCTAAAACCAAAAACACCGAAAGAACGTTACGAGATTGCACATCTTGAAGGCCATATTTTTTGGGCCCACATGCCATTGTGTGTGAACAAACAAGGAAGGGAGTGTGAACATTGCAGCAAAATCGCCAAGTCTTTTTGCATTCTCGTTTTTGGTGCCCTCAGGAAATGGTGTTTTTGAAAGAGACTGTGCCCGCGCATTAAAACCTGAAGATTGCGTATCAAAGATACCAGTGCCCTTGCAAGTACTGCACAACCAACCAGATAAATGCGATACAGTCTCCTTTTTGTTGCTTGCGTGCAATGAAAAATCAGAACTTGTTGAAGCGCGGCTGAAAAGTTATGAATGTTTGTTGAGAAGAATGCACTTTCTGGGCTTCAGCGTGGTGTTTAACATAGCGGATGTACCGCTTTTATATATCTGGGATGTTCCGCTGTTGGGTATATCTGGGATCGCCTGTATGCATAGTTAAAGGGGCCTTGCAACACTTCATCAAGTAGCCATTGAATGGATTTATACTAAAGGAGGTTATTGCCCCACGAATTCACGGCCACCGAAAATTTGAGAATCCATCCAGTAGGAGCAGAGTTGCAATGATTTGTTGCATGCTACGATTGCATTCTCTTGTCTCTCGTCCCAACGAAAGCACTGGAAGCCAAGCAGGGAGGGATGGCACGTGGTAAATAAGTGCGTCACATGCATATTGTGACCTCGAGCACTTTTTCTCTCCCTCTTTTTTTTTTCATCAACACGTGGCTATTCAGTGAAATCGCACGCACCACGCGTGGGCAAGTAGCGGCCTCTAACGGAGGGCGCCATGCTCAAATCAGCCAAAGGCTAATGCAGTGGCTGTGACTTGTATTGCCATTTGTTGAGAGAAGAGAAAGCAATCTTTAGCTGGCCTTGAAAACTTATTGCGAGTTCCAAGCCACGTGCTACATTTTAACGTTTGGCTCACGTGTCTTGGGAGCCTCGACTCCTGATCAACAGCGTTTTCTGACCATGCTTTAACAGCGCTGCGAGGCCCCTCCTAATCACATAAAGGGGTTGTGCTGTGTGTGACCCCTCCCTCCCTTGAAGGCGGACCCCATGCACGCTTATATGTACAAACGGTGCAAGCCGTTTTAGGGGCGAAGCTCTTCATGCCGAGGGTCGTACGTCTCGTGTCGCCATAGTCGTCAAAGTAGCCAGTTGCATTGCATTCCATGTCAATAAAAACGATGTCACAGCATATCCACTGAGGCGTCCGTCAGTCCGCCCATGCGTTCGTTCGCACATCCGTTTCAGGTGATCTGGCCTCGTACTTCTGAAAAATGTTGAGCTTCCAGGCATCGGTGGACAAAGCACTGACGTTTGCCAATTCCTCGTTAGTCTTATGCTAGTGCACTCGTATTAGCCACGAGGACAGCTGCGAAGAGCTTCGCCCCACTCGTCATCATTCACCTCATAGTTGTGCTGTGAATTTGTTTTTTTTTTTTTTTTTGCTTGTGACCTTGCTTGAGCCATTGTGTGGAATATTATGTAACCCAGCTTGTGTTTGGTTCTTAGTCACTAAGAGAGAGAGTTATGAAAGCTACAAGATGTCATCTCAGCTTCGTCTGTTAAATCTAATCATTCATATTTTCTGTATGTGTTAAGTATCTCCTACCTAAATTTTAGTGCTAATGACTGGAAATGTTGTCTTACTTAAAAGGTATTTACCTCGTACTACAATGTGCCTAGCAGAAACTTGATCTCATGCATATTTTTAATTTGAATAAGAATGCATCAGCTCCTGTCACAGTGACAGCTTCCAGTTTTAAAATATTTATCTGCGTTCTCGTCTGGAATATATCAATTTATTAAGTTAGCAAGGTGCCAGGAATGTGAAAACCTCTATGAAGTGCTAAGATGGGCAAGTTGTGTTGTACAAATAGAAATGAACAGCCTTACTCCTAGGATTTGACTGCAAACTCGTATTAATTGTAGGTTAACAATCTGGGTCCTTGAAAGCAAGAGTGATTATGGCTAATTGTTCATTGCAGGGGATTGGTTGTTACATGTTCCGCATTGACGACCACGAGGTTGTTGATGCCACTATGCATGGCAATGCTGCCAGATTCATCAACCACTCCTGCGAGGTGAGTAGGACATTGTTACCATCGGCGTTTCAGGTTCAGAAGCTGAAATGTCAGTGCCATGACGTATTTTTTGCTTGCTACTTGCTTCAGTGACCAGCAGGGACTAGCTTTTCTTATTTCTGTGCTGCTGTGATGTTTTCACAACACCGAGTTTTAGGCCTGAGTTTATTAAAAAGTTGCATTTTTAGGAAGTTCCTGTTCCTGTTATGCATATATATAACTGACTTAACTCTATTAGAGATGATGGGATGAAGCAGTCCCACGTTTTATTATTCAGTAAAAACTTCCTCCTCCGCTGCACGTTGAAATCAGCGCTAATATTTTATGCTGTGGAGGGTAAAAAACATTTAGGAAACCAGGAAAAAATGTTTCTTAAGTTCACGTGACACCACGTTGGTGATGCGTTGACCTGAACTTCTTTTTGCTATGTATCAATTTAATAAGATAGTTGTTCCAGTTCATGCAAGATGGCTAATGTTCCAGATATATGGTATTTTTTTCTTTTCCTGAATTTCAAGAGAGGTAGATGTAGTATGAATCTATGTAATTTGTTTCAGAGCTGGAGCTGTAAATTGGCCGATAATTGAGTCCAAAAATGAAGCAGTTTTTTTCTAAGCACAACTACAGATCAGACCCCATAAATATTTTTTTCAAGTTTTATGTACACTTACATCGCATGGCATGCTTTTTGATGGAGGATACTTTGATATTTCTTTTTTTTTTGTCTTCTTTTTTATGACTACGGTACCAGTGGCAACAAGACTGAAAGGTGCAGTTGTTAAGGCGTTGTTCCTGGAATTGAGAACTAAAAGAAAAGAATGGCAAAATCAATGCTCTAGGCGAAGGGGGAAGGGAAAGACAATGCGAATATAAGACATCTTAGGGACAAGCAAATACCTCAGACATGGATGGAGTTTGTAAATGCATTTGCAGAATCCAGTGCATTCTGTGATACCACATTAATGTGGCTTGCCTTGATTCATAGCTGCAATTTTATTCACGTGTGGAGATTGAGGTTTTGTTACACTTCTTCCAAGGCCCGTCATAGGTCAATGGGACACACACTTTTTCTTTTTTTCTTGTAAATCTAATTGTCATATTTGGTGAAATTGGCTTATAACTTCTAAGTACCTTGTGATATTCCGCAGGCTCTTGTTGTGTGGAAATTATATACTCTTCAGAATGCATAGTCATGTCTACTAGGTAATTTATTTCAGCATAGTCATGTCCTGTATGATTAGCAGCATCAGCACATTTCTTACTGACGCCAGCTGTGATGAGTTTGTGTTTGCCGCATGCGACCATCATGATTATGCTTTGATTGTGGGTACCTTCTGTCACCACTAATTTGGCCACTATCATCAGCAAATGCTTTGGTTAAATCTTATTTTTCGTTGCACATTTACTGATATCTTTGATGGGTGCTTCTTTTTGCAGCCCAACTGTTACTCAAAGGTGATTACTGTGGAAAACAAGAAACACATTGTGATATTCGCACTGAGAAGGTGAGTCATGAAAACAAATAAGCTGCAGACCAGTGCACTAAGGGAAAATGTGCGACTGCATGTATCAACTTAAAGCATACTGGTATTTTGCCACGTTTTTGTGCTGTCTAGTATACCGCATTTTATGCTTTCATCTAGCCATAGCCTCGTCTATTTTTTCCATGCCAGCCATACGCGCCCAATTCAGCTGTTCACCATCTCCTATAGCCCTTTACTGGTCTTGCCCATTGCCCAGCCTTTGCGTGTGCTTTGCGGTCATGTAGGATAGAACCCATCGTGTAGCGCCTCACGACAGGAATTATATCAAGTAATTTTTTGTTCAGTTGTGTGCAGATCCGTGGGGCGGTGTCTTGCATACCTCATGTTCACAATGTTGGCAGTCACGCTGGCTCATTCAAGAGATACGGTGTTTTGAGGTAGTGTGTCGTCGTTTGTGGCGCTATGCAGGCAATGAGAAGCGTCGCAGCAATGCGCTGACTTTAAAAGTGCTGCGATGCAGCGGCAGCATTGTTTCGAGCGACAAGGAAGGAGCACGAAGGAACAAAGCTGACAGACATATTGTTACGGATGTGATGGGTTTATTTACACTGAAAATGCCAGCGCTCAACCGTCACTGCCGAGTCACCATCGCTCGAGAACCTCCTACCTCCTCTTTTTTCTCGCTCTTTTAGTCCGCGTTACATTTTCCTCCTGGCAAAACGAAGCTCACTGAGCGAGTATAAGCGAATGGTTGTTGTAGGACCTCAATTGGGCAATGTGCACAATTTGCGTCTTACGCGAACGTTGGTTCTGAGCTGTCACTTTAGCAACAACGTAAGTGACGTCACTTGTGGAGATAGGTTTGCACAAGGCTTACCTACTAAGCGCAACCATGTAGGGATGCGACGTCCTCCACTGCCGCTGCGTGCGAAGACGCTGCGGCCGGGTTCGTCGATTTTTCCGGCACGGCGCAGAAACCACGCACGAGGCAGGATAACAACAACAACGGGTTTATTAACCCAAGATGTAGCACAGTGCGACACTCACGGGCTTGCTGGCCGTATAGGGAACTCCGCAAGACCGAGCAAGTATGCTTGCCTAGGGCGCGACGGCTCCCGCACAAGGGCCGAAGTCGGAACGCACGAACGAGAAGCCGCCTGCTTAGCAGCGCGTCAACCCCTCGTGAAGGCCTGAGAGCATCTGCCGTGACGAGCGAATCGTCGGGCACAACGTAGCTCGTAGGAGAGGAGGATGTCACGTACACCTAAAAGGAAATGGCGCTGCGTTGTGACATAAGCCCGCGCAGCGTGGCGTGCCCGGACATGCCAGCGCGGGACGGAGCCGAGGTTTGACTCGCCCACACCAACAGGCGCCCTGGCAGCCATCTTGGCGAATGCCGGTGATTATACCAGCCCTGGCTACGCGGTCGGCGCGCGCGGCAGCTGGGGAACGAGGCGCCTGGTAGGGGGGCGCTCTCGATTCCCACACACCCAAGCACTGAGTCATGACGAATAGTCGTAAGTACTTGGGAAGAAGCTTCTGGCAAAGTCCCTTCTTACGAACGGGCGTCCGCAGCCAGACGAAATGACCCGTAGCGAAAGTCACACGCGGGTGTTTGCGTCGTAACGATATTTCGCGCGAGCGTGGGCGGAAAGAGTTCGGAGCTGAGCAAGTCGACGAGCTTTTTCGGCGCAACACTGGTGTTTTCGTTCGTCGAAAAAGGAAGTATGGTGTCAAGGAAACTTTGGCATAGAGCATAGAGAAGAAAAAAAGGCGTATAACCTGTGACCTCGTGTTTCGTGGTATTAAAGGCGTATGTAACAAAAGGTAATACGGCATTCCAGTTCTTGTGATACGCTACAACGTACATTGAAAGCATGTTAATGATGGTACGATTGGTGCACTCAGTGAAACCGTTGGTCTGAGGGTGGTATGGTGTGGAATGCCGATACTGGCACCCACAAAGCCGTAGCAACTCTTCGACAACGTCAGCGGTAAACTGCCGGCCGCGATCACATACCACCACACGAGGGGCCCCGTGACGGAGTATAATCGAGTGCAGGAGAAACCATGACACATCAAATGATGTGGCTGAAGCTACCGCCATCGTTTAAGTATACCGCGTCAGGTAGTCTACACACACAATAATCCAGCGGCGGCCAATGGTAGACTTGAGGAAAGGGCCCAATAAATCTATGCCGACTTTTTCGAATGGTGATGTCGGTGACCTAAGGGGGGAGGCTACCATCGGATACTAACTTTTTTGTTTATTGAGATATCTTAATGAAATTTTCAGGATAGACTTATAGCAAAAGCATTAGAAGAACTACAAAATTTCATCAAGTTATGTTCACTGGTTTTCAAGTTACAGCAGAATATCAGGGTAGTGCACATGGTTCTCTTATTCCAGGCCTGGAGAACTTTCAAAAGGTGCTGGAACTGTGAAATTAACTATGGTGATTCCCAGATTGATACTCCAGGGTGTAACAGAGCCCTTTTTTTGAATTTCCTTGCTGAAAAGTTTTAGCAGACCATCAAACTTTGTGTTCGTGATTAGGATATTATCAATCAAATTTTGATTAAATATAATAAATAACACACACAATATATTGAAAAAATGGGCTTGTCACCCCCTCAGAAATTTATTCATGTACATAATAAAAAAAGACTTATGGAAATCCAATGAGTGGTTCCAGAGATATGGCTGGAATAAGCAGCCTCACTAGCCAAAAAAGTCATTTTGAGAAAGCGACGTTTGAAAGTTTTGAGCACATAGGCAGTTCTAAAATGAACCTGCAGCTTAACTGGAGGTGTCCTTTGGCACTCTCTTTCTTTGCCGCCTTTCCATCTTCTCTAGGGATCGCTTCTTAGCCTTTTTCAAGCGCAGAGAATCTTTCTCGGCTGCCCGTTGAATGGCCAGGTGGCCAGGTGTTAGCCCCACTGATGAAGCTAGCTCTTGGGTGGCCCTGTAGCAGCCAGCATTGTATCTTAGCACTGCATCATGCAGTGCTGTCTCCACAGCAATCAGTGACGCATGCTGCTCTTTGGGCATGAGGGACCACAGCACAGAGTGAAAGGACTCTGATGCATTCTGCGTCTTTGCTCCCAGGCAGCGTTGCAGAAGAGAAGCCTGTGAGAGCCTCTCATAAATGGGTAGAAGTGCATCTGCAACATAGCGTGGCAGCTTGTACGAATTCTTCGGAGGTGGAACACCGGTAATCTTGCTGGCATTGTGACGACACCAGGAGTCTGCACCCTCTGGGCACAAGTCGTGGTGCGGCTCCTCATCCGTCGACGTCACATGGTGGTACGATGCCATCACTGCCCGCCGCATTGCAGCCACATCATCGGAATTGTTCCGTAGGGCCCAGCCATAATAATCTGTCAACTTGTCGATGAGGGCCCTTGTCCGCCTGCCCTTCCCTCCCAAAGCCTTGTCACTTTTCTGAACAAGGTTGCGAAGTGCAGTCCCCATCCTCTTCTGAACGTGGTTCAGGCATTCCTCTTTTGAAATGGAGACCAGTCCATAAACATTTTCTTGTACAAGGGCAGAGAAGGTGGCACTATCTCCATCAGACACGAGCGTTGTGTAACGGAGGTTGTGCTTCGACAGTGAGCGTGAAAAGAGGATGATAGCTGCCTCAACCTCCATTCTCCCTGATTTAGAGTCGGTGTTTTTCTGGCACACATGATTCTCCAGCCAGCATGCATAGTCTGCGTCTCCAGGCTTTGGCCCTACTTGGCAACCAAGGCACTGATTAGACAGAACAATGGCGTCCAAGATAAGGCCCGTATGGTATTCGATAATTGCCCCGACTCCAATATGGGATGTGTGCCCACGCTTGTGCCATGTTCCATCATAACAAACTGTTATATCCCTGGTGAAATATTGATCCATTTCTTTGTAAGTGGCTTTTACAGCAGCAGCAGATTCTGCATAGAAATTTTCTATGCATTGTGTCTGCGGTTCCCTGAATTTCTTCAGGTGCTTCTGAAAGGTCTTGTGATGGAGGCCACGATGGGACACGTTCATCGCTGCCCAAAAGTCGTTGAGAGCTGTTTGTCCCTTGCCTATTTGTTTTGTTGCCATAATGGCTCTTACATTCACATCAAAGGCCTTTGTGTCATCCTGACCAGATGAACTCCATGAGCTTGAAACTACTCCACAATGCAAGCATACTAGCTCAAGCTTTGCAGCAAGTCTAAGTTGGGTGCCTCCTCGTACCTTCATCCCAATCGCGGTGCACCGGTGGCACGGGGTCCGAGATAGCAGGTCGTCTAGGGCATCCATTTGCACAAGGAAAAATTTTTCGCCTTCACTTGTAGCGGTGGCAGCTTCATGATCGCGCTCCATTGCCTGAAATTTCTGCTCCGTCGCTGGCATAGCGCCAAGTTCTCTTTGCACAGCAGCGCGTTGTTGATCCGCCGCCTCTTTCTCCTCGCATGTCAGGAAACTTGTTCGCAAATGCACAGTTGCACAGTTGCAAATGCACAGTTTCATCGGCCTCGAGTGCGATCGCACTCGAGGCCGATGAAAGAGAAGATGCGGAAGCCACTGTCGATGAGCACGAGACACCAGGCGCACTTGTAACAACAAATTCTTGCACCGGCGGAGCAGGAGTCCCGTTGCTAGGCGCGTCGATGCGACCACTCTCTTGCGTAGATGAAGCAGAAGCTGCCCCACAGGTACCGTCGGCGCGATCACCGTCGGCGCACGTGCGAGCGGAGAGCCTCGCCGCGCGGACAAGCTTCATAGCTCGCTTCCTTGCACCGAACGATTGTAGCGTCTTCTTTTTCGTTGGGCGCATCGTGAGCGAAAACAACAACGGTCTCGTATAGACGGTTGAAAATCGTCTCGTAAAGACGGTTGAAAATCGTTTCGAAGACAGCTGAAACGTGGAGAGTATGCGAACGGCTGCAACGATACACGGAAGCGAGCGGAACACAAAGACGCCGGACGGAGGAGCAGCAGACGAGCGGCCGCATCGGCCGCATTATGCGCAAGAGCGCTACGTCATCAA